CTTACTTGCAAGATGGTCGCGCGCGTGAAGCGCTGCGAGGCCTGTGTCCGTCGTGGTCGTTCCTGCGATGGCTCCGGTGTCCCAATCTCTACCCGTGAGTTGGCTCCTTGACTTCTGTTGTCCTTCCTGACCCTCTCTAGTGGACCGCATTCTGCAAGAACAACGCCGTATCAAGGACGCTGAACGTCGTGCCGAGCTCGAGCTCGACGAGTCCCAGCGCCGTTTGGAGGAGGCCCAGCGCGAACTATCCGAAAAACTCGCGCGACTCCGACGTCTCCGCCAGCAGAAGGAGTTCTTGGTGGAGAGAGGCGTCGACATGGTGGCGCGTGGCCTGTCGACTTTGGACGAACTAGAGTCTGCTAAACGCGAGGAGTCGTCTGCTGCGCCCGAGGCGCAGCTCAGTGGTGCCGTCGATGTGGTCGACTGGGGCGCCGTTTCGGGGACCGTTCCGGAGCTGGAGCAGTGGGTCGATCCGGGTTCCTCTGGTGGAACTCTGCCAGTTTCTCAGGGCAGTGGAGGTTCGTAGCTGGTTCCCATGAGTTGTCTTCTGGGCCGAAATCCAACCATTTAATCAAGTACTGCAGCTGCCCATCCGTGACTCGTGAATCCAGAACTTCCTCGACGTCCCATTCTTCCTCTTCGTCTTCTGCCTCGACATCCTCCGCAAGTTTGGCATTCTTGGATGCTGGTTCCAAAAGTGAGATGTGAAAGACATTTGTTCGTAACTTCATCGATGCTGGTAGCGACAGTCGATAGTTGGATGTCGAAATTTGCTCGTCGACCTTGAATGGTCCAATCTTTTTGAAGTCCAGCTTCTTGCTTGGTCGCTTCGTGCGCAAATTCCGTGAAATGAGGTAGACCTTGTCTCCCCTCTCTAGGCGAGGACCCTCGAGCCTATGCTTGTCGTAGTACTGCTTCATTTTGGTCCTGACAAACTCGAGTTCCTTCCTGAGTGTGGTGCGAAGTGCGTGCAGCTGGTCTGCTTTCACCTTTGCCCTGGACTGCAACTTCGGGTCTTCTTTGTAAGTCCGCTTCGTAGCCGTAATTCGCGAAGAACGGTGAGACCTTGGTCGTCTCTGTGGGCGTCGTATTGTATGCAAGTTGTGCTGTTGGCAAGAGTGTAACCCAGTCGTCCTGCTGGAAGTTGACGTAGCACCTTAGATATTGCTCCACAACTTGGTTCAACCGTTCTGTCTGTCCATCCGTCTGTGGGTGGTAGGCTGTCGAAAGCTTGCTGTTTGTTCCGAGCCGTGTCATCAATGCTTGCCAGAATTTCGAGACAAACTTGGTGTCTCTATCCGTAATCCATTCCTCTGGCCATCCGTGGACCGAGGTAACATGTCGTAGGACCACGTCTGCAAGCTGTTCTGCCGACCATGTTTCTTTGTAGGGAATGAAGTATGCCCACTTGGTGAGTCGATCTACCACTGTGAGGATGCTGTCGTACTTCACTCCTGTCGCTGTGTCCTTGGAAAGTGGTAGTTTGGTGATGAAGTCCATCGTCACCGAATTCCATGGTCGTTCTGACACTGGTAGAGGTTGCAATAACCCGTAGGGTTTGTGTCGTGCCGTCTTGGCCTTGTTGCAAATGTTGCATTCCTTGATGACTTCTGCGACTCGTTGTCGTAGCGATGGGAATGTGTAGTGCCGTCTCACTTGAGCTATTGTTTTGGTAATTCCCATGTGTCCCCCGAGTTTCGACTCGTGGATGTCTTTGATGAGTTTTCGCTGCTCATCCTCTGTTGTACAGCTGACTCGCCCTGGTCGCTGTTCTCTGTAGTGGCCCAGTGGTATTCAATCATTTCAATGAGAGTGTCTTCTGTGAGACGATACGTATCATCTGGCTCAACGCCCAACCTCCTTAACAAACCAGTGGATGGACTTTTAGTCCCGACCTTCGTAGTTCGTACCGACTGAAAACCCACTGCATTGCGCCGACAAACGAGGTGTGATCAAATGATCACCAGCATGCGAATATTCTTCCTAACCAATGATTCAAGGCTTGCTGTGAGACATGCAACCCAATCCTTACTAGCCTGCGTCACTGCGTGGGGCAATTGAACTCTTAGCTCTGGTTAACTACACTACATAACTGGATGAAAAGCTTCCACAAGACTCACAAGAATTCAAAACTTCAAACTATCCCCACTTCAACTTCCTAGGTAGAAATCATCCTAACTTGTCTTCCTCACCTAAAAGACACGTCGTTTCATCTAAACATGGCCGAACGCGACGAGTCATCGCCGCTCCTTCCGAACACCCACGGCCCGAGAAACAGCATCATCGCGCACGACGAAGGCGAAAGCGGAAGGAGCGGGTTTCAAGCGCGTCACTTCTTCTCGGTGATATGGAGAAGTTCCAGCAAAATTTCAATGGCTGTTAACATCCTCTGGCCCTTCGTTCCTGTCGCGTTCTTCTTGCACTTTGTTGCCGATGCGCCCTTGTGGACCTTCGCGACGAGCTACATGGGAATGATCCCAGCCGCCAACATGCTTGGATTCGCAGGCCAAGAGTTCGCTCGGAAAATGCCCAAGGTAGCCGGAATCTTGATCGAGACGACCTTCGGCTCAATCGTCGAGATCATCCTTTTTGTCGTCCTGATCGCCAACCACGAGTTGTCCAGTGGCTCAAGCGAACACGGCAATATGATCCCGGTCATACAGGCCGCCATCCTGGGGTCGATCCTCACCAACCTCCTGCTCTGTCTCGGTCTTTGCTTCTTCTTCGGCGGCATCCGCCACTCCAGCCAGAAGTTCCACGCCATCGTCTCCGAGGTCGGCAGTGGCTTACTGCTTGTTGCCGCGTTTGGCTTGCTGATTCCGTCCGCCTTCTACTCGGCGCTCAAGTCCGAGGCTGCGCCGGACCCGGGCGTACTTCACGACAAGTTTACCAGAGGGAAGCTGCAGGCTGACGTACTGCAAATCAGCCGAGCTGCTTCTGTTGTCCTCATGGCCTCGTTTGCCCTGTACATTTGGTTTTGCGTCAGCAGTCAGCACAGCATATTCGACGAAGTTATCGAGGCGGATGAGCACCGGGATGCCGACCGCGAAGAAGACCTCCAGAAGCCCAAGTTCACCATGACCGAGGCAATTGTCGCTCTAATAATATCGCTTGCTTGCGTGACGCTGCTGCTGATCTTCCTCGTCGACGAGATTGAGCATGCTGTTAGGAGTGGCGTGCCGGACCAGTTCTTGGGTTTGATTCTACTACCACTGGTCGAGAAGGCCGCCGAGCACTTGACCGCAATTGACGAGGCAAGAGGTCAGTTCTCGCAGACTCATTCTCGCCCCAAGCCCGAGATGCCCCTGCTAACTGGGATGCCATAGACGGGATGATCAACGTTGCGTTATACCATTGCTTGGGCCCGTCTATTCAGACAGCCCTCTTCAATGCCCCGTTCGTCGTGATCGTCGCCTGGGTGATGGGCAAGCCCATGGATCTCAATTTTGAGATCTTCATGATTGGTCTTTTAGTTCTGTCCATCCTGGTTGTCGGAAATTTCCTCCGAGACGGTGAATCCAACTGGCTCGAAGGTGCACTTCTTGTCGTACGTTGTCAATATCTCCTATGTTTACGGTCTGATCAACCGGGGGAGTAACTGACAAGGATTACTAGGTCGTCTACACCATCATGGCTATCGCCTGTTTTTACTACCCGGATCCCGATGTGGCCACTTCCAACGGTCTGGAAGAAGCGGCGATGCTCACGGTAACGATGAATAAAGAGGTTCTTGAGCAGTTCCAGAAGGTTTTGGAGACGGTGCCGGGGCGCTGAACCGTTATTGCCTGCAAGACAAACATAATGGATAGCAGACGACTCCTGTTGAAAGTACGAAGAACCACGAGAACCTCGTATTCCCAAGGCGGTATTTGGATGCTCTACAGTACGAAGGATACATACGAATACAGTAATCACCCTCACAGGCTTCTAGCTCCAGCGGGGTACTCTGTATCTGAGGCTCTCAGTGAGGGTACCGGTGTACGGTATGTATTCTACAGTACAGTACAGTACCCTTTCGAAGTAACTCCCGTGCAATTCCCGCCGACCTACCTAAACAGATCTAGTTTGTCAATCAGCGATAAACACCACGGTTCCTTGATCCTTCTTCCGATCCTTCTGAGGTACAAAAGCGCTGTCAGCACCGTGGCATTTTGCCGCCTCCAACTTTTCACCTGGTGGAGTGTGTCAGTGTAATCAGCTGATCCCGTTGCGAGAATGGGCCTCGAGAAGGGCTTGCCATCGAGGCAAGAGCAAAGGGCATATCGACCCACGGCACGTGCTTTCCTCATTGTTTTTTCCTTCCTCTGTTCCTACTTTGTGGTCAACCACCTCGTCCTTAACCATCTACATCGGGGGGCTCCGAAACATCATGTCTGCCATGAAAGCCCCCGGCCGCCGATCCGCAGGTACCAGGGCGAAAAGATCGAATGGGTTGCCTGCGGCAATGTCGAGGACCACGAGCTGGAATGCAGCAATATCACGGTCCCAATGGACCACTTCAACGCCTCCAATAACGCCCCCGACAACAAGTCCTTCACCATTCCCCTTCTAAGACTCCGAAGTACCAACGCCACGGCCAAAACCAATATCCTCATCAACCCCGGAGGGCCCGGGGGAAGCGGTACCCAGCTGGTTTATCGCAGGGGCTCACAGCTCTCCGCAATAGTCGGCGACACTTTCCATTTGGTGGGGTTTGACCCGCGGGGTATCAACCAGTCGAGGCCGTTGGCCGCTTGCTACCCGACCGAGGAAGCCCGGCGGGCCATGTCGACGGTACGCAACAAAAAGATTGCTGAAGACAGTGGTGAGCTTTGGGCTTGGACCACCAACCTTGTTCGGGGGTGTGCCGACACCATGTCCCTGCACGGCGCGTACATCAACACGCCTCAAACTGCTGCTGATATGAACTCGATCCTTGATGCCCTCGGTCAGGACGACATGTACTACTGGGGGTTCAGCTACGGCACGATCCTGGGGCAAACGTACGCGACTTTATTTCCGGACCGGGCGAAGCGGGTGATTATCGACGGTGTGGGGAACCAATTTGACTGGTACGAGGAGCGCTTCGACCGGGAGATGATGATGGACACGGATGCCGTCCTCAAAGGCTTCGTCGAGGAGTGCATCAAGGCCGGGAAGGAGGACTGCCCGCTGGCGGACATGGCCGAGACGAAGGAGGATCTGTTCGTGGACCTGGTGGGCAAGATTAACAGGCTGCAGTACGACCCCATCGGGGTGTACGTCAACAGCAGCATGCACGGGGTGCTCGACTTTTGGACCGTGTGGTACAACGGCGTGTTCCCGTCGCTGTACAAGCCGGCCACCTGGCGGGATCTCGCGAGGAATCTGGATCTGCTGCTCCGCGGCAATGCTACCGAAGCCTTCCTCGCGTACGGTTTGGAGAGGGCCTGGGAGGACACGTCGGACGAGGCCCTCGAGTTTGTCGCGAACAATGACGGCGTGTCTGGTCCCAACAATTGGGGCTTCGACCGCTTCGACCTGGTCCATGAGCTCGTGGGCTTCTTCAACAAGTCACTGTTTGACGAGGAGTTGTTTGAATTCTACTTCTCCAAGGCAGCCTGGGCAATCCCACGTACTCACAAGTACAAACCCAAGCGCGGCGTCAAGACGGCCCACCCGCTGCTTCTGCTCTCGACGACGTACGACCCTGTCTGTCCGCTGGTGTCTGCATTGGGGGCCAACAATGCCTTTGAGGGCTCCCGGCTTGTTGAGGTGAAGGGATACGGTCACTGCTCGCTGGCTGTGCCGTCCATGTGCATCGCACGCCATGTTCGGGATTTCTTGCTCGAGGGTAAACTGCCGGAAAACAACGTGCAGTGTGAGGCAGACGGCAAGCCCTACTTCGCCAAACCCGAGGAGAGTCTCGCGTTGCTCGAGGCACAGGAGCTAAATAATGAAGAACGGCGGATACGCCTAGCACAGTTAGATCTGGCGAGAGATTCATGGCTGGGACCGTGGAGATAAGTTCTCGGTTTTTAGCGTGCAACGGAGAGCGTATAGTAGTTATACTAGGTGTACCGAGATATCAGGTCACGGAATCGAATTCGTCACCAAACAAGAAGCAAGATTCCTATTTCGGGCGTATGACGCGGGCTGAAGGATGAGAATATCCCTTCCTCCCGAGTTGGTGATTTTCTATCCGCATCCTGAGCTGCCTCAGACTCTTAGCGATCACGATGCCCTGTCCAGGTCCCAACACCGCAGCCCAACCAAAGCACGCCAAACCATGCCTTCTTTCTCACCGTTCAGGCATCTGGTAGGAAGCCCTCTTCATTCAATCGAGCTTCCTCCACCACAAACTCTGCACCGCGTCAGAACCAAACACCAGGTTCAAGAACGTCCCCTCGTCGGTCTTGACGACGGTGTAGTTGCGCTGCAGCGTGCTCCCGACCGAACGGGGAACGTGTGAACCCACCAACGGCCCGTGGACCACCGAACCCGTGAGCTCAGTCGTTGGGACGGCTGTGTACGGGCCCCAGTACGACAGGGTGGTCTTTCCAATCTTGGCCCAGTCTGAATCGAGCTGGTCATCGCGAGGCGGATATGTCAGGTTCAACGGGAGAAGCGCCGCGTCTGACGAGCGGAGGCTGGTGACCACCCAGCCAGACTGGCTGTAGCTGATGGCTCCGTTTATACCTGAGCCCCAGTGCGGAATGATGGTTGGGACGCCATCCTGGATGCTGATTATGAGGGTGATTAGCACCTAAATTCTGGAGGATGGTTGTAAAGATGGGCAGGCTGGGCGGGTGGTTAGGTGTCGTACTAGGTGTAATTGTGCACAGCCCAGGTGCCTACGAGTGCGAGAGCTCCTTTGCCTTTCATGGTGGAAAATCCTCTTTGCTGGTAGTATAATGGCGACTGACTGCAGGAGAGTTACGGCTGTATCAAGACTATGGACGGCTGCGGTGGATGAATCTGCTACGGAACTACGATAGTGGCAGACTTTCAAGTTGGGTCTAGCACTAGTATAAATCTTACGATGGCAACTCAGGGGTCAAGACAATGGTTTTTTCAACTTCTTTGGTACAATCATCAGTGCGGTATGGTTCTATGCCGTCACGGTGGGTGAGACGCAGTCAATATAACCGGTAAGCAACTCTGGCTTCTATACGTTGAGGAATAAGTGTAAGCTGATCATGCTGGATGCTTCATTGCTGACGTTGGGACGGTTGGGTTGATTGATGTAACCATGAAGTGAGCGACTGTGCAGTGTGCTGTAAAAGACCACATGAGGCAAGTTGCCGATCCCCGGACTACATTACTGGGTAAGCCGAATTGTTAGAAGTGTCCAGACTTTCCGTCCTGTCGCTCGTGTTAGGCTCCCTAGATAGGTACATAGACTGGAGGCAATCTGCGTCTCGGCAGAATCATCAACGGGTTCCGCGATATATCTAAGGTACCCAATAAGTAGGTAGGTAAGGTAGGTAAGTAAGGTAAGTCGGTACTTATATTTAGTCCTTGTACCTCGTTTTTCTACCCACTTGTTTTGCTCCTATGAGCCCAAGCTCTGTCGTATACCAATGTACCTGGCATACCTCGAGAACATCATGGATCATATATTTAAAGATTAGAGCTTACTACCTAGTTAGCAGCTCTGATCCTATATGAACCGGTAGGGACGGTTCAAGTTGCAAACTGCAAAGATTCTCAGCCCTACTGTTGAGTCTCTTTGACTCGGTTCTGCAATTTTTATGCAGAGTCAGACAACACTGCATCGAGTCAAGAGTAATCCACACCTATTTTCGTCTGATTCCCCCCCATCATGACCAACGGCATTTGCTAAAAAGATCAGTGCCATTCGATGTAAGGAGAATAATCAGCATGATACGCAGTTTCTAGCTTCTCAATCTCCAGTTGCCCGTGCTGCTTGATAATCTGTGTTACCAAGAATACCAAGAACCTTGGCTTACTTCCAAGAAGAATACTACCTTCCATAACGGTATCTCATCCTCACACTCCAAGCCCGCCTACAACTTTGCATATCTACCATCCCCGCAGTAGTATCTACGACGATGACTGCAGGAAATATAGGCCGAACCATTCTTTGAAGAAGCCCTATCCCGTATCCATTCGCAGCGTACCGTGGACAAGCAAACCCCATCACCCGGGCGCAACCCAGCCGAGATCCCGAGGATGGAGCTCAACAATCGCGGGACACAGTCCCTAAACCGGGAACGGGAAGTGCTAAGCTTCCAGCCTTGGCGCGTCAGTCTCGAAAGGTAAACGATCGGCTTACCTCGCCCGTACACCTTGCCGGTCGAGAACTCACCTCCTTTTTATGGAAGACACGAGTGAGTCACTTGCAGAACTCCGAGGGACATGCGGGCAACGAGACGACTAAACGTTGCTATCAATGATCATGCACTGCGGAGCCAGTGGCTCGGCGAGCGGCGACCAGAGGCCGGGGCTTGCTGTACATATACCGCCCAGTCCGCTCCTTTCTCTCGTAAATCTGGAGGGTCCCTGAGAGATCTCGTCAGAGTCCCGGCTATACGTCCAAGATCTCCCCATCTTCAACTCCTCTTTTCCCCTTCCCCAATTTTCTGTTGCTTCGACGTTGCAACATGAAGGTCACGGGTGTCATCGCGGCGATGGCTGCTGTGGCAGCTGCCGCCGAGTCGTCCGGCAAGATGGAAAAAGTGATGGAGATCAAGACGAAGCAATGGGCCGACGCCAGAGCGAGGGGCCTCTTCGGAGGGTCATCTCGCTATTTCAAGATCGGCTCCAAGTATCCTTGCATCAGGGGCAAATCCGGCCGAGGAGACCAACAGTACCAGTGCAACAACGTTGATATGCACGGCTTCTTGAGCCACGAAGATCTTGGCTCTGTCGACAAGGCCGGCAACGACGTTTGGGGCTGGACGTCGCCTTCTGGGCGTGAATTCGGCATCGTTGGCCAGACGGACGGTGTCGGCTTTGTCGAGATTCTCAACAACGGCAATCTCGAGTACCTCGGGCGCCTCGACACGCAGACCACGGTCACCAGCTGGAGAGATATCAAGGTGATTGGTCATCATGCCTATATCGGGTCAGAGGCTCCAGACCATGGACTGCAGATCTTTGACCTCACCAAGCTCGAACGTGAGGTGAAGCCTTGGTGGAATCCGTTCTTCTGGAGGCCTAAGGTCTTCAACAAGGAGAAAGACCTGACGGCTCTCTTCACCGGTTTCGGTTCGTCGCACAACATTGTGGCGCATCCTGAGACCAATATGATCTACGCCGTCGGGGGCAGGTCAGGTGCCAACTCGAGAAACACCACTTGCGCCGGTGGGATGTTCATGGTCGACGTGTCGAACCCAGCCAAGCCCGTCTCACCCGGTTGCATTCCACAAGACGGGTACGTCCATGATGCCCAGTGCGTCATCTACAAGGGCCCGACGGAGAAGTATCTCGGCAAGGAGATCTGCTTCGCCTACAACGAAGACACCTTGACCATCATGGACGTGACCGACAAGAAGAACCCGGTCGTCGTCTCCCGGACCCCCTACGTCGGCTTCGCCTACACGCACCAGGGCTGGCTGGTCGACGACACCATGACCTTCCTCCTGCTCGACGACGAGCTGGATGAGATGGATGGCACCAACCCTGGCAAACCGGGGCACACCACCACCTACATATTCAACGTCACCAACCTCGAAGCGCCCGTGAATACGGGATACTACCAGAGCCCGGCCAAGTCCATCGACCATAACCAATACGTGAGTCGGGCTGCACACTACAGAATACCATCCATTATCTAACATTTGCATGCCAGGTTGTCAAGGGACTCTCGTACCAATCGAACTATGGGTCGGGGCTCCGCGTGGTCGATGTTTCAGGAGTTGAACGGGATCCCACGGGTGGTCTTTTCGAGGAGGTCGGGTTCTTTGACTGTCATCCGGAGGACGACGCGGAGAACGGCGTGGTTGAGTTCCTCGGGACTTGGTCTGTCTATCCGTACTTCAAGTCCGGATATATTCTCCTCAACTCGATCGAGCGCGGGATATTCTCGCTCAAGTACACTGGCCGCAAGGCCAAGTACTAAGTAGGACTGATAGCCAGGTACATACTTGTAAGCTGGCATTAGTTCAAAGGCCACAGAAAGTCTTCGAACAACCTTTCGAGAGAAGAATATTGGAAATGTTTCCATGATGTTTGTTCAACCATGACTCCACAACCGCGGTTATAACTGGCTGCTAATGCATAATGCACTGCATATCCTGTGGATGGACAGAGAGGCAACTGAATGACAACAGTCAGTCACTCTCCTGGGATAAAGAATGACGGGAGAGCGTACCTCATTGTAACAGTGCCCAAAACCCGAAGGATGTTGCGAATCCATGATATTCGGTACTCACGTTTCGTACAGCCGTCATGGCACACCTTCCGCTATGCTTGCACAGTGACATGGCAGTTTATCGCAGAAGCCCCTTGGATGTCCATTAACCGCCTTGGTTCAGTTGCGTGGCTCATTTCGTGTTCACTTTGTCGCATTCATCCTCTGAGCGATCAAGCTAAATACTGTAACCGATCCTAAGAAGAGGACTGCGTTGTAGAACTGCCCAGCAAGGTCAATGAACATGCCGGGAAGCAACCCTGCATGCAAACTTACAGCTTTCCTGGACACATCCCTTTCCTCGCTGTCGGTCCTCGCCTCGATGAAAAGGCGCCGCAGGTTGGGGAAATTTGCCTGAGAAAGATCAGTCGGGAATCATGGAATTAGTAAGGCCAAGCATACCATATCACTGTGTTGTTCTGCGTGAGACTTGACAGGAAGTTGCTTCAGCACTCATGAACTTTGTGAGTCGGAAACAGAGGCACATAATACATTGACTGAAGAAGTGAATCTGGAAGTTACGGTTCCTTATCAGGATGCTGTGGCGGATATGCCCCACTTAGTTTGCTGTGTGGCTGTGGCTGAATTGGAGCACTAAGCCACAGCATCCCAGGGGACACCGTGATCGCGAATGGTAAATGAGCACCTTACTCGAGCACAAGAGCAGAATCCTACTGTCCTTCCACAACCGCTTGACGGATCGCGCAATACCACAGACGTTTGGTCGAGCTTTACAACACTCGGCTCCGAATTCCGAAGCGCCTTTTGCGCCGACAGAGAACGTGCGCTTTGTTCAAGCCAGTGCAGTCACCACCCCTTTCCTGGTCGAACTCGACGATCTCCGCCCCCTCCCCGCCGCCGGCCTGTCTCTGAGCCGAACCAGACAGGATGGCTCAGGCGGTGAACCGGATTCGCGGGGCATTCGCGCCCCCGCGGAAGGGCGAGACGTTCGAGCTGCGCGCGGGCCTGGTGTCCCAGTATGCACATGAGCGGAAAGAGGCCATCCAGAAGACCATCATGGCCATGACTCTGGGCAAGGATGTATCGGCGCTGTTCCCAGATGTCCTCAAAAACATTGCAACCTCAGATCTGGATCAAAAGAAACTGGTGTATCTATATCTGATGTAAGCTGTCGTCAACGACCCTGCCGGACTCAAGCTGTCGCAGCCTAAATCGTACTGAGTGGTCCTGACAAGCTGGCAGGAACTATGCCAAATCGCACCCAGACCTCTGCATTCTCGCCGTCAATACCTTTGTGCAAGATTCAGAAGATCCGAACCCGCTTATCCGAGCACTGGCGATCCGAACAATGGGCTGTGTCCGTGTCGACAAGATGGTGGATTATATGGAGGAGCCGCTTCGCAAGACGCTGCGGGATGAGTCCCCTTACGTCCGCAAAACGGCCGCAATCTGCGTCGCCAAGCTGTTCGACCTCAACCCCACAATGTGCATCGAAAACGGGTTTCTCGAGACGCTACAGGAGATGATTGGGGATCCGAACCCCATGGTTGTGGCCAATTCAGTGCAGGCTCTGTCCGAAATCAGCGAGACGGCGCCTGAGACCAGAGCTCTTGTCATTACTCCCAACACGCTGAAGAAGCTGCTTATGGCCCTCAATGAGTGTACTGAATGGGGGAGGGTCACGATCCTTAGCACCTTAGCGAGCTACCCGCCTACCGACGTCAAGGAGTCGGAGCATATCTGCGAAAGAGTTGCGCCGCAGTTCCAACATGTCAATCCTAGCGTTGTCCTGGCCGCTGTCAAGGTCGTCTTTACCCACATGAAGCTGATTAACCCAGAGCTGGTCCGGCAATATCTGAAGAAGATGGCACCTCCTTTAGGTATGCCGCCCTAGATCGGCCCCTCTGGCGTGTGCTGACCGTTGCTTGCAGTCACCCTTGTCTCCTCTGCCCCAGAAGTCCAGTATGTTGCTCTCAGGAATATCGATCTTCTCTTACAAGCGAAGCCCGATATCCTCAGCAAAGAGCTCAGAGTATTCTTCTGCAAATACAACGACCCCCCATACGTCAAGCTCCAAAAACTCGAAATTATGGTCAGGATAGCAAACGACAAGAACTTTGATCAATTACTGTCCGAGTTGAAGGAATACGCCTTGGAGGTCGATATGGATTTTGTCAAGCGAGCCGTCAAGGCTATCGGCCAGGTTGCCATCAAGATCGAGGCAGCAAGCGAGAAGTGCGTCAACGCGCTCCTTGATCTAATCTCCACCAAAGTCAACTACGTCGTCCAGGAGGTTGTTGTGGTCATCAAGGACATTCTTCGAAAATATCCCGGCTATGAAGGGGTTATCCCGACTCTGTGCAAGCATATCGACGAACTAGACGAACCAAACGCCCGAGGGTCACTAATCTGGATTGTTGGGGAGTACGCCGAGAAGATCAACAATGCCGATCAAATATTGGCTGGCTTTGTTGATGCTTTTGCTGAGGAGTTCACTCAGGTCAGCCATACTCCTCGTGTCCGGGGATGATCAAGGAGACTAATCTTCAACAGACCCAACTACAAATCCTCACTGCTGTTGTCAAACTCTTCTTGAAGAAGCCCAGCAACAACCAAGGCCTCGTGCAAAAGGTTCTGCAACTAGCCACAGCAGACAGCGACAATCCCGATATCAGGGACCGCGCTTACATCTACTGGCGTCTTTTGTCGGGTGATCTCGACATCGCCAAGGTTTGCAACCCCTGCCCCCTCTCCCCTCCCCTTTCGCAAAAGATAAATACCAACCGCCTAACCCGTCCCAATAGAGCATTATCCTAGCCCAAAAGCCCGCCATCTCCACCACGGTAACCAGCTTGCCACCCGTACTCCTCGAGCAGCTCCTGTCAGAACTCTCCACACTTGCATCGGTCTACCACAAGCCGCCCGAGTCGTTCGTCGGAAAGGGCCGCTTCGGCGCCGAGGCGATCCAGCGCGCGGCCATCCAGGAACAGCGCCAGAATGCTGCCGATAACCCCATCGCCGCCTCGGTCGCCGCCGCCGCCGCCGCCAATGGCACCGGCACTGGCGCCCCCCAGAGCAACATTGAGAACCTGCTCGACATCGACTTTGACGGCGCCGCCCCCGCCAGCGCTGACGCCGCCACCCCGGATCGCATGGCTAGCCCGGTTTCAGTAGGCGGCATGGCTGGCCCCCCGCCCGGCGGTGTCGCTACTGCTGGTGCTGCTGGCGGTGGCATGGCGGATATCATGGGCTTGTTTGATGCGCCTGTGGGGGGAGCGCCCGGCCCGGTGCAGGCCGGCGGCGGGGCCATGGGCGATTTGATGAGTGGCTTTGCAGGCATGGATCTGAGTGGCACGAGCGCGCCGCCCCCGCCGGGGCAGCAGTTAGGTCATCAGCAGAAGGGGACTAATGGCGGGGATGATTTGTTGGGGCTGCTTTAGGAGGGTTTGGATTGGATTGGGTTAAGGGAGGGTTTACTTAGTGGTTGCTTTGGTAGGCTGAATGCTGGGGGATGAGGATGGGAAAATGAATAGAACATGATGATTTCTATTAGGGTTCCTAGTCTGCTAATGTGTTGGCGTTCTGGATTGCGCCGAGTGGGTTACTGAAGTTGTGCTAATCCAGCGATCCTAGCTACCTTATGCGCCCTTGCACAGTTGGTGTCGTTAACCGGCCATGCCTCATACACATCTCATATAAGACCATCCACCTATTACGGTTGTTGACCGCATTCCTCCAAAGCGAATCGGAGCGCTCTCTGACACCTGGTATCGGACCGAGTCCAGACTCGAACAGACAACTCCGTCACTCCGACTCACTTTCATCGTCCAAAAATGCCAGATCCGCTCTCCGCTTTGCAAGCCCTTTCCCGCGAACCACAGGCTTCCCTCCATCCTCATCATCACTTCCGTCACTTTTCCCTTCATTCCGGTCTTTCCCCTCCTTATCCTCATCGCCATCATCTTTCCCAACCCCCTTCAAAGTCTTCTTCTTCGACCCCGCCAACCTCGTCTTTGCTCCCCTCCCCCTGCCACTCTCAACCCCCCAACTCTTCTCCCCTTCCATCACCTCGTTCAAGTCGGCCTGCAGCTCGCGCATCTCCTTGATCTCGCGCGCCTTGGCCTCGGAGAAGCGGCCCGTCATGCCCACGTCGGCGAGCGCCTCCTTCAGACGCTTGATCTTGGCCTTGGGCGTGTCGTCGCCGCGCTTCTTGAACTCAAACGCCCACACCTTGCGGACGCCGCACTTTGCGAGCTGGCTCTGCAGGAGCTTGATTTGGGCTTCGTCTGGGGACAGGTCCGCCGTGCCCGTGGACGACTTGGCGCTTTTGCCTTTGGCTGGTCCTGAGGATGCTGAGCCGTCTTTGGACTTGCGTTTGCGTTTTGGAGGTGGCGGGGGGTCGTCAATAACTGAGGACAGCTCGCTTGAGGAGTCGTTGTCGTCGGGTGTTGGGGGCTTGGCTTTGGGTTTAGGGGGCGCTTTGCTTTTGGACTTCTGCTTCCGCTGCTTTGGCCACTCGTCGATGACCTCGGATAGCTCGCTTTCTTCGTCGATGGCTTTTGGGGTCTCGTCGGGTACGTCGGACAGGTCGCTCTCGGTTTCGTTCAGCCTTTTTGGCGGCGGTTTGGAGGGTGGCTCTGAAGAATGGGAATGCCTCTCGTCCTCGCTGAGATCAGACGCTGCGCCATCTTCGCCGTCGGAGATGACCTTGTTTTTCCTTGTTCCCTTCCCCAGTCTGCGCTTCTTGACCGGCCGTTCGGATTCATCTACGGCGTCATCGACGTCACTGGCCTCGGATTCGGTTGCCGGTGTTGGCTCTTTCTGTGGCTGCTTCTTGTTCTTCCCCTTGCCCTTCTGCGGCTCGGGCTTGCTCCCTTGTTTGGTGGGCTTGGGCTCCACCTTGGGCGTAGGTGCCGACGTGCTGGAGGGCTTGGCTTCATCCCCTTCAAGCTCGGCCTGGCACATACGCGGTCAGCGAATATCGCGCCGAAAGCCGACAGTTTCCGCCGGCACTTACCAGACTGTCTAGAATTATCTGTTTGCTTTTCGCCTTCCAATCTCCCTCCTTCAGAAACCCTTCTCCGAGCTTGAGTTTCTTTTCGACAAGCTGGCGCGCATAATTGACCGTCAATTGGTCGCTTTCTGGACCGTTGTAGACATCGCGTACCACACTGGCCAATTCAGCCGTGATCGCGTCGTCTGCAGGTTTGCGCGGCATGGTAGCCAAGAGTGAATCGGACGTCAATGACTGGATTGAGGGATTTAGGAGTAAAAATACAACCAGGCGAGTTTGGAGACACCAAATACACCAGACTATTTCGCATCCTGTTTCTGGTCTGGATCGTCGAATACGGCGCGACACGCCTCGACGCGAAGTGATGGCGGGGCCGCGGATCAAGATTCAATGGGGTGAACTTGAGTGGATCCGTCAGGCTGCAGGCCGCTGGATTAAGCGGGCCGTGCGCCTCTTAGATACCTACCCGTTGGCTCCACACAGTCCACACTGACAGGCGGGCCGTTGAACTGCCCGCAACGGAGCACAATGGAAGTGTTTGGCTGGTCGCTTGGACATGAATTGGATTGACTGACTTTTCCAACCATCTGACCCTCTCTCACAAACGCTCGCCGGCGGTGCGAGTGATATACGTCTCCCACACCAGGACAAGAAGTCACGGGTCTTGTCAAATGGTTTCCAACCGTGGGTCCGTGGTAATTTCACTTCCTGGGCAAACCGAAGGAGACCCCAATATTCTCGGGAGTTGGGGTGAGAGGTGAGGCCGGATTGTGCCTCTCTACAAAAATGGTGGGACTCAGTCTTTACTCTTAGTACCTGATGTTCCGTGGCTAGAAGCAGGCAACATGGACACTCAAGGAGTCGAGGTCGGTTGCTCACCTGGATAAGAGACACGAGTGGATTACCTACCTTTCCATTCCTGGGCTGATGCCGGGTAGTCCTTTCCCCTATTGACCAGTCGAGCGTGCAGTATTCGCAGCAAGCCACTACTACCCAGACAGGAGTAGGGTGCCGCTTGCCATCAGGATGTTCCTGCCCGTGTCGTTGCTCAATGAGCCTTCGGGTCATCTTCCCTGTCTCCCGTCTCCTGTCCCATCAGACTCAGTTCACCTTAGGTTTCCCTGCAACACCATCTCTGGCAACAATTTCTCCCGCCAACCTTCCTATCTTTACCTAAATCAAGAGCATCGCCTACCCTCATTTATCAAGTCTTATTGATCAATAATCTTGCTACTACATCGATTCTTCATCGGTTTCAGACCGTCATGGCATTTCCTTTGACTCGGACGATCCCAAACATCCATCCTGGCAGGACTGGGCATATGAACGAGAACGACGGGAAGCTGGCATCTGCTCTGATCACCCACTACTACCCGGCTACCGACAAAATCGTCCAGGTTATCCGCTGCAACGGGAAGATCTTTGACATTGAATTATCTGCCTCCTATTTCTTCCGCTCACCATCCATCGAATCCCGCTTCCGCGTGTTTTATGATGCGATGAGAGCCAACTCAGAGGACGGCTCGGGCTCATCAGAAGATCAGAGGACTCGCGCGGACGACCGACGGGAGTACATCTACTGGCTCATGTGGCAATTCACTCCTCTGATCTACGAACTGGCCCAGGACAACCTCCCATGTTTTGAGCCGGAAAATATCGACGCTGGGGAGCCGCAACCGCTTCTCTCACAATATCTCTTCCCCGAGAGGCATAGCCTCAGGCTTGAAGCGTGGGACGATGAGCCCATACCTATCAAAGTCGCGGACACGCAGTTCTACCGCACACCACTGCGTACGCTGTCCGAGTCCCTTGTGCAGGAGCTTCACGATTCTTCCGTGGGATTTTTTGATCCGTCATCGATTGAGGCTTATTTTGCGAATAGCAAGGAGGCGCTTAACTGCATCTATGCCCCTTCCCGGGTGCTGGTCGATTTGGATGGCTCGGGCCAGAGATCCGTATGTTTCTTCAAGGGAATAGCACATGCAGACGCCAAGGACCGCAGTGCAAGCTTTTTGTCGAGCTTGCGGGCACACCTGCGAATTTGTCAGTCCAAGCTGGGCCCGGAAACATATGTCGTTCGTCTTCTTGGCGTAGTTGGGGGCGCGGCAGGTATGATGGAAGGCCGAGGGTCCAGCGAGTCGAGCAGAGGTGGCGGCTCAGATGATACAGTTGACATGCGCATCCAAGCCGCGGGCCTACTGCTCACCTACGTTGACCATACCGGCAGCGGTCTTCTTGAGGACCGCCTGCGCGACAGGCTACTGCCGAAGACATTCAAACTCCGCTGGGCGAACCAGCTTCGGGACACAGTTTCGGAGCTCCACGAAGCCGGCATCATCTGGGGAGATGCAAGGCCTTCCAATGTGATGATAGACAAACATGACGATGCTTGGATTGTTGACGTCGGCGGCGACTGTGCTGGTTCATAGGCGGACGAGGACAAGCGCGGAACGAGAGAAGGCGATATCCAGGCCTTGGGGAGGATTGTTGAGTATATGTTTGGAGGCCAGCGTTGGCCTGGGTTTCACCATCGAATGTTCGGAGTCACGGACTGGGTGCTCAATAGACTCGATGACGCAGTTGACCCGATTAAGGAGGATAGCTTATCGTCGAGCAGAGAGGAACCAGCTGATCCTGAGCACGTGCTGGCACGTTGCGGACATGGCAGTGCCCCGTCGGTGCCACACCAGCATCATGGCACAGGGAAATGGATCCCAGAAGAGGAGTAAAGGCGGATGGTCAGGGGCCCGTTACGAGGCAGGCGGACAGCGTGGTATGACAGCGCACTTAGTGTGTAATTTCAGCGTCGTAGAAACGACAAGCAGCGGCAACGGACTGTTCTATCCCTCTGTTCCGGATTCCGTATCGCGTGTAAGTGATGAACTGGCCACTGGCATATCGATAATCGGCACCCGCCGAGTGACGAGTCAGGGTTGGGGTTGACCTTCCCGTTCGGGCCATTCCGCGATAACAACCGGTACAGGATCTTCACGTTGCTCCCTACTCTACGGATCCATGCCTATTGTAAATAGCAAGGACGAGGTTGATATGTATATCACTTCATTTCCTCCTAAGAATTTACTCTTTGCATTCCACCAATTCCGATTCCACCAACTCTATCACCATGACACGCCCTACCGCCGTCATCGCGACCGGGCTCTTGCTGCTCACCAACCCCACACAAGCCAAGCCCTGCTCGGACCCCGTTCCCGGCTTGCCAATCGTCGTCAACACGTGGGGAGGCCCGTTCACGGCCGCCACCGACGCCGCGTACCTGGCGCTGATCAACAACGACTCCACCTCGGCCCTCGACGCCGTCGAGATTGGCTGCTCCACATGCGAGCGCCGGCAGTGCGACACGACGGTCGGGTTCGGCGGGTCGCCCGACGAGAACTGCGAGACGACGCTCGACGCCATGATCATGGACGGCACGACCATGAAGAGCGGCGCCGTCGCGGGCCTGCGGCGCGTGCGCGACGCCATCGCCGTGGCGCGCGCCGTGATGCGGCACACGCGCCACTCGCTGCTCGTCGGCGACCTGGCCACGCGCTTCGCTGTTGAGAACGGCTTTGTCGAGGAGGATTTGTCGACCGAGGAGAGCCGGGCCCGGTGTGAGGCTTGGAAGAGAGCTGGCTGTCAGGCTAACTACCGCATCAACGTCACCCCGGACCCGAGCGTTTCGTGCGGACCGTACACCCCGCTGCCGGTGGACGATTTGCGGTTGGCGAGGTCTGTTGCGGACGATGAAGGGGCTGCGTCGCATGACACCATCTCCATGGTGGTGGTGCACGCGTCGGGGAGGATGGCGGCGGGCACGTCGACCAACGGCGCGTCGTTCAAGGTGCCGGGCCGCGTCGGAGACGGGCCGATTGTCGGGAGTGGGTCTTACGTCGACGGGGATGTCGGCGGATGTGGGGCAACCGGGGACGGAGACATCATGATGCGCTTCTTGCCGTGTTACCAGGCCGTGGAGAACCTGAGGCGGGGCATGAGTCCCACAGAGGCGGCCGAGGATGCGGTAAGGCGCATGCTGCGCAAGTACCCGAAGATCTCGAGCGGGATTGTGGTGGTGAATTCGAAGGGCGAGCACGGTGCAGCAGGCTCGGGATGGACGTTTACATATGCTTATCGTGGTGGGCGAATGAACGCTACCGAGGTCGTGACTGTGCCACCATTGTTGCCTGAAGAGTCTGATAATGTTCCTAGGGAGCTGATTTAGGAATATGGCAAGAGATATAGTAATTCGGTACACCTCGTCGTCGGTTTCCTTGGAGTTTTGGCCGATCGGTGCTTGCTTGATTCTTGAAATCCCCTCAGTCAACGGGAGACCCTAACCCAAAACCCCAGATTTGCATCCCGTGCCTGTGCGCTGTTCCTGCAGGTCGTCTCGCACATCCAGCCAATGATGGTGCCCCACCTGTCTCGGTACCTGGCGCTAGGCTGAAACGGGGTCTCGCAGGTCTTTTTTCCCTCGCCAGCTCAACTGTCAACGAGCGCGCCTTTCAATCGTGCCTCTGGCCACCCGTGTCAGCATCGCGCTCCGTCACCATGGTGCCATGTCCTTCGTTCTAAGAGCTCGAACTTCGCTTTTGACCTAGCCATTCATTAGTTACTCGCTCCTTCCCCGATCGTTAGCGATTTGCGACGATTCATCCCTTCGCGATTGTGGGCGCATTCCACAAATATTGAAATCCGCCATGCGCTTTGCCGCTCACTTCTCCGCCCTAACTGCCGCCGCCACGACAGCACGCGCCGCAAGCGGGGCAGTATGGGCGACGCCACACGAGAGCTACTCGTCTTCAGTAGGGGTTCTCGGCTGCAAGGTTGACACCAACCGCATTGCGTACTGGCCGGGCTCCGTGGACTGCAACAACATTTGCGTTTCGTTGAGTTACGAGGGACGGACCGTTCACCTGCTGCGCATCGACCAGTCCGAGGGCGCCCACGACGTCAGCTATGATGCCTGGAACTACCTGGTCACGGGCTACTCTGCAACCGAGAAGCCGACGACGGGCGGTGCGATAGCCATGGAATACCAGGACGTGGATGCCTCCGCCTGCGCTGACCTGATCCACACCTCGGACGGCAAGCTGCCCCTGAGCGCTTCCAACAGCATGAACTTTCTTGCCAGCTGTCTCGCGCAGGACACGTGGGTCGGCAGAAACTACGCTCTTTACAACATTCTCGATCCCATCTGCAGCTGGGGCTATGACGAAGTCTGCACCCTGGATTGGCCTACCGCGAACCAGGCTACGTGCCCGCATGCGCTGGGCAACCCCGTGGCCTTGACGACGGCACCCGTTTACAACATTCAGTATATGACTGGGCAGAGGATCCTGGCCTCGTCTGGCCAGGTCGTGTCCAGCGGCGTTACGACCACGAGCTCGACCTTGGATTTGAATTTGAGCCAGAACGGCGGCCGCCGCGTGGCGAGGGTGAATGACGTTACGGTGATGGCTATTGGGATGCTTACAAGTTGGCTTTTTGTTCGGATATAGGCACTTGCCAGGTGGCGATTGGAGATGTTTGGGATGGTATGATGATCTTTGGATACCCAGTACGCGTGGCAATATATGTTTTGAGATGATGAGCGATGTTTGCTCCTCCATATTACTGTACACCGTCCAGCCCAGTGGCCACTGAGGCCTGTACGTGCCTTACTCCCTATTGCTTTTTATACGTACATTCTCGCTCTGCCAAAGTACATACGACCACAGGCAGTAGAAAATACGGGATCCCGTCCGCTCTCTCTTAGTCAAGCTACTGACCGCCAGACTAGTAGTTGGGTCGGTGACGACCAGCGAATCCCTGGTGTTGTATGTTTTTACCCCTTTTTACCCCCTTAACCTTACATCCTGCTCTTTTGCTCCTTAGCGTTCGTCCAAGACAATGATCGAGGCGTTGTGTTAACGAAATGTGACTGCACTCTTTCGACACAAATGAGCCTTCTTCTATTCTTCTGAAGTTGACGGAAGTACTAGTAGCTCATGCTCCCTAGTCTTCCGCCATCCTTCGGTCAAGAAATCTCTGAGCTCAGCGTCTATACATATTCCGGAAACTTGGCCAGCTGTTCCACAATTTCTGAGAGGCTGTGATGACGCGCCCTCGGCATCTAAAACGGTTGTAAACTTCCAAGCTCTTCGATCTTGTCATAACAGCCCATTGAAGCTCTCACTACAAGCTTAACAAGCGACATGTCCAAATCTAGTCGGCAATACATTTGCATCTTCCAAATTACCTCACAACTGGCGTCAAATAAACGTTCAATGGACCCTTCTCCCACAGATTATAGATGCGCTGTTTGCTCATCCAGTTCAAGCTGTCCTCGGCGATTTGTAAGTCGAAGTTCCACAGGACACGAGCCAGAATAAGCCGCATCTCGACGTAGGCAAGATTCTTGCCTAGACAGTTTCGTGGCCCAAGATGGAAAGGTTGGAACGCGTCCCGGTGATCGCTGGCAAACGCTGGATTGTCCAGCCATCGCTCTGGATGGAAAACAAAGGGGTCCTTGAAATGCTGGTCGTTGTGATACATCGCCCACTGATGAACTGCAACTACGGTCTGTGCCATGTTTCGTTAACCATCATGGCCTTCTCACGCCAAGGTTTGTATCAACTCACGTTTTCCGGGAGGTAGGTCCCAGCAATAGTTGCACCACCTTTCGGCACAACACGGGGCAGCCCAATTGGCACAGGGGGGTACATCCGCAGCGCTTCCTCCAAGCAAGCCAGAAGATAGGGCAGGGTACTGACGGTAGCAAAGTCGATCTCGTCCTCAGACTTGAACGCCCCACGGATCTCGGCCGTGAGCTTCTTTAGGGCTTCGGGGTTTGTCAAGAGGAGAAATGTGACTCCTGACAGAAGCGTGGCTGTTGTTTCAGATCCACCAATAACCAGAATAGCGCTGTTGGCCTGCAGCTTCTCAAGCTTAAACCCCTATTCAACGTCAGTCAGGTTGATAACACAGAGCCCCTGGAAGATGGTCAAGTACCCATTCATCAGCCCGTTTGAGCAACCCCTCGATCAGGTCAGCGCGATCCTTCCCAGCTTCCATGCGCCTGCGCAGCTTGGCCAGTGACATGTTCATGTGCTTCTTGCGCTCCTCAATGAACTTCTTAGGGATAACAGCCAGCAGCAGTTTCTTCAAGATTGGATAATGGGCGAGGCTCTGGAACACGGTGCCCCCGCGAGCAACCGCGAAGATGGACTTGACCCAGGGATGGTACTCGGAGTTCTCGAGACACCCAAAGCTGCTGTGTGTCAGCATTCCTTCCATCCCCGCGCATAACCACAAACAACCCACCTCTCCCCAAACGCCAGATCCCCAATCACGTCGAACGTGGTAAAGTTGTACCAAGCCGCCAAGTCCACCGCCTTCTTCCCGCCTTCCCCATGTTCCCTCAACCTCCTGATCAACAAATCAATGTAACTCTTGATCAGCGGCTGCTGCTCGCGCATACTGCGGTCGCTGAACCCGTGCGCCATTGTCCTCCGCAGGAGCGCATGCTCCTCCCGGCCGGCATTGACAATGTCTGTGGGCATGTCGGCAACGGGCCTGTAAAAATTTGGCCACTTCTCCATCTCGGCCCCGGCCTCGCCACCACCACCGACGCGGTGGCCCATGATGTCCCTCCACGCCTGCGCGTCCGAGAAGGCCAGTTCGTTAGGCGCCACGCGCACCACGGGGCCGTACCGCTTGTGCAGGTCCAGCATGTCAAACGGCAGCGTGCCGCCCATCTGCCGCAGCGCGTATCCCCACCGAGTAGCGCGCATCAGGAGGGGGCCTGGGAAGCGCCGGAGAGGGTGCAGGAAGAGGTTGTACAGCACATAGCCGGCGACGTAGAGGACAAACTGCAGAGGTGTGAGCTAGAATTTGCGTCTGGGCAGTGAAAAGGGGGTGGGATCCTCACCGATGTGAAGCCGAGCGCGGCTAGTTGGCTAGGACTGAAGCTGAGGAGCGTCATCTTGCTAACCGTGATGTGGGAGAGGTTCAGGGTATGAAGTTGCGTGGGCGCTGAAGGGGTTTCATTTGCGGTTGCATTTTGGAACCTGGAGGTAGATGACCCTGGAACAGAATGGCTTTTACCGAAAGCGATGGATGTCATAGGACCTACCTTGCGTATACGAGTACGAGGATGTCTGGTGGTTTGTGCAGTTTACCTTATGCTGACATTCTCTCAGTGGTTGCAAAACTTTCAAATCTTTGATTCCCGTCTATAGCGGATCGCCCTCATCAAACCCAACGAAATACGATAAGCAATGTGAATTGCAGGATTGAGAGAAGCTGAAGATCGAGCATGTGAACGCTCGATGCGGTGGTGTTGTGCAAGACCTCTGAAGGCTCACGCGTTGACGGTTAAGGGCGCCAAGTTCCTCAACTACCCAGAGGACCAGTTGTAGGCCGGGAGATATGAAGGGAGGACGACTTATATCGGTATCTTGCAGCCTTTTTCTGGCCGGCGCTTGCTAGGAGATCACGGATCATCAGGAGCTCAGGTAGGTACCGACAGGGGAAGAGGAAGAGGAATCTTAGAGGATAACCTGGTGACTCAAGATGAAGTGCAAGGGTTAGCAGTAAGAGCTGGAAACTCGATTGTCTTGATCGTCTTGAGTAAATTGTCAGGTTGTTGACATGCAATGGGAATTTAAACCCAGCATTGGTGGAGAGAAGAGTCACGGACGCCAAACAATCTGTTAGTGAGGCGAGCAGTGGTGAAACCGACTAGGAGTACTGTACTGTACTGTACCTCCGTAGTACAATACAGTACTGTACCGTACTGTACAAACAATACAATACAATACGTATATGTATGCTTATGTATCGCCCAGGGGCCAGCGGAGTTTCCGGGACTAATGGTATGGGCTATGGAATGCTTTGAGGTTCTGGGAGCATTACCTCTAGGCGCTTGCTCCCAAGTAAATGAATATTCTATCCAAGATTCAGAGTGACACCGATGACAGTAACGAATGGGCCCATCGATAACGGGTTCCGTTTGTTTCTGCAGTGGGGCTGAGAGCAACCATCTGGTAAGGCTGTTCGGCCCGGACAGCGGCAGGTATCAAACTATCAATCCAACAAGGTGGGCTTGTGCCTGGTTGATTGGACTGGGAAGATTCCTGCATTGTTACCGAACTCGACGGCTAAACTTATGCCGCAGAATGATCAAGAGACAGAAAAACGGCTCATGGGATGGTTTCACCGTTTCAGTACCACCACGTCAACCGACACGGCAAGCGCGGTAGCGCCCATTGTTTGCGGCGCTGGCTGCGGGTGAAAAGAGCATGTGGTCGATGGGTACTGTCAAAGAGAGTAAAGAGGGCAAATCTACCGGGTACGAATACTCAGAAAAAGCCAGTTGCTGCACAATAATTCGCTCATGCAGTTCAGTTGCGCTCCATTTGCATCTTTGCCTCGATACAGATTTCGATTCAGGTGGGCCTGGAAAGTGTTGTGGGGTTGGTTACAACCTTACAAAGTGGATCACAAACCATTGTACAATGGGCTCTGGCACGAAACACAAGATACCTACTGAAGATGATAGTAAGAGAGGGATGGAGGTTGTAAATACGTCGAATGGAAAATAAGAAGAGAAAAGAGCAAACGAACAGAAACGATCTTGACAGCAAGGTCTTTGATGTTGAGGCCCCGGGAATTTATCGCTAAAGTTCGCCAAGACCTGGCATGGAGAACAATCCTCCCCGAATCCAACATCCTTGCTCAAATTACGTCGTTAAACAGGGCCGAAGAACAGCTTCCATCTCTCGACCTTTGCTTTCGAACAATTTTAAAAGAGACCTTCACAAGCATTCTTTCTAGCCAACTCTCTCTACTATAAGGTTCCCAGGTAGAACCTCTGTTGAGCATCCCTGAAAGTTGCCTTGAGTTACTTCAAGGAGCAGCCGCGGTTTTCCATTCGTTTCACTAACACCTGCTACCTACCCCGCCCTGGGCCGCTGGGTGCTGCTGCCCCGCCTACTTGTAAGCTTACCCGCCCACTCTCCGGCAAGGCCATCACGTCACCACTACCGCGATCGAACTCCTTGCACCCAATCGCCCGAAAACTTACAGCCAGCAGCATCAAATACGCCGAGCCAACCTTGCCCCAATCTTGCTATCACCAACTGCGCGCGACAACATAGTCCCGCCAACGTCTTATTGTGCAACCGGCACTTCTAGCGCCGAACTCTGGGCGCTGCTACTTCGTCATTTTCAGCTTCGTGTTCGCCGCAACCACTAATCACAATGCCCGGTGCTGTCGGGAGCCAGGCCGGCTCTCCAGGCAGGTTACTATTGATATCCAACCGTTTGCCCATCACCATCAAACGCTCCGAAGATGGCCAGTATACGTTCTCCATGTCGTCGGGCGGCCTCGTCACTGGGCTCAGTGGCCTCTCCAAAACCACAAGCTTTCAATGGTACGGCTGGCCGGGTCTGGAGGTTCCTGAGGCCGAGGCGGGCCCGATGAGACAGCAACTGAAGGAAAAGTACAATGCCATTCCTGTGTTCGTTGACGATGACCTGGCCGATCGTCACTACAACGGGTTTGCAAGTGAGTTCACATCTCCCTGCCTCCACCAAAGGGCATACCTTCTAACAATGCCTCTTCTATCAGACTCCATTCTATGGCCCCTGTTCCACTACCACCCCGGCGAAATCACGTTCGACGAGTCCGCATGGGCGGCGTACCGCGAGGTGAACCGGCTCTTTGCCAAGACTGTAATAAAGGACGTGCAAGATGGCGATCTCATCTGGGTCCACGATTATCATCTCATGCTACTGCCACAGATGCTGCGCGAGGAGATTGGCAGTTCAAAGAAGAATGTCAAGATTGGCTTCTTCCTGCATACGCCCTTCCCCAGCAGTGAGATCTATCGCATCTTGCCCGTTAGAGAGCAGCTCCTGCTGGGCGTTCTGGAATGCGATCTGATTGGCTTCCACACCTACGACTATGCAAGACATTTCCTAAGCAGTTGCTCAAGAATACTGTTAGTACACACCGGCCTGCACCGGAACTTGAAACTGACTGCTGCAACAGCTCGACCGCGACGACTCCGAACGGCGTTGATTGGAATGGTAGGTTCGTTACTGTCGGCGCCTTCCCAATCGGCATTGATCCGGAGAAGTTCGTCGAGGGGCTGAAGAAGCCGAATGTCCAAAACCGAATTGCTGCCCTCAAACGCAAGTTCGAAGGGGTCAAGCTGATCGTTGGCGTCGATCGACTTGATTACATCAAGGGTGTTCCCCAAAAGCTTCACGCTCTCGAGGTCTTCCTCACCGAACATCCGGAATGGATCGGAAAGATTGTGCTTGTACAGGTCGCCGTCCCTAGCCGGCAAGATGTTGAGGAGTACCAGAACCTACGCGCTGTCGTCAACGAGCTGGTAGGCCGTATCAACGGCAAGTTTGGCACCATCGAATTTATGCCAATCCACTTCCTCCACCAGTCCGTCAACTTCGACGAGCTGACGGCCCTCTACGCCGTCAGCGACATCTGCCTGGTCAGTTCGACGCGCGACGGCATGAATCTCGTCTCGTACGAATACATTGCGACACAGCGTGAGCGTCACGGTGTCATGATACTTTCCGAGTTCACGGGTGCCGCGCAGAGCCTCAACGGCAGTCTCATCGTCAATCCGTGGAACACCGAGGAGCTGGCCAACGCCATCCACGACGCCGTCACCATGTCGCCCGAGCAGCGTGAGGCAAACTTCCGCAAGCTGGAGCGTTACGTCTTCAAGTACACGAGCGCGTGGTGGGGGCAGAGCTTCGTCACGGAGCTGACTCGCATCAGCGATGCGGATGAGGGGAAACGTGAGAAGTCGGGCGCCAAACTGGCCCTGCGGAACGCGGCCGAGGGCGTTGCGGGGGCTGCGAACACGGCTATCAAAGGGGCTCAGGATGCCGTTGCCGGTGTCACCAGGGATGACAAGGAGTCTACATGATACGCGGGGCTTGCTTCCTAGGTTGATCTTGCATGGCGGTTTGCTCAAGTATCAGTGCTAGAAGTATCTTCAAGTCATTTGACGCTGTGGGACTGGCCAAGAATACAAGCTCACCTGTGTAATGATTTCTATCTTATGACCATGTTCATTTGTATTTCCTAATCCTAGCAACCCCCTCCCACTGACGATAGATATGCTCGCTTGGAGGTACGGAGAGGCGTTTGGTTTAGATGCGGATATCAGCTGTTTGATCCCAGGTTGGATTTCCTAACTTATGTTGTGATTTTGGTAGCATCGAGACAGAATGCGAGCCCTCGGATCCGTCGGTTTCGCCTGGAGCAAACAGCATAGCATGACGAAACGGTTTGTGGCTGGGCCCGATTAGCAGGCAGCTGCTTACCTTATGTATTCGTGCAATGTAGGTATGTACGTTCTCTTCGTAAAAGTGGCGAGATTCGATTGGCGATCCTTGGCGCTAACATTGCCGGGAGGTTACCGGTAAAAGCCAAGCTCCGAAAGCGAGGAATCCGATCGGGTTTCCAGATCGGCCCCACAGTGCAAGCGGGTCGGGTTGGGGGACGTCCTCTCTGACCAATCATGGCGTCTCTTTCAACGTGTCACAGACTCGCAGCCCTGGGGCTCTGAATCCTTGGTGTAAGACACATGGGGTTGGGACACTGCTCGGCCTCCTTCTGGCCTAGCAAAGGCGAGTATCAAGAATTGACGAGATGCGCATTGGAGGCACCTCAGATATGGCAGATATAAGTGAGCAGTCCTGTCTAACCAAGGTCTAACCTGGTCCTGGGAGGTCGTATCAAGGTGCACCCTTCATAACTGAGAAGTGACTACTAAACACCATTGCAGGTCCATTCCGCGACGGGGACCTCCAGTCGCCTAGACGGCCAACACCATGTATACGGCCTTCAAGTACGCGAGAAAGCAGTACAGGGGTTATCAAGCTCGAAGAGCAGCTGAGCAACAAGGACAGCCTGCGGACTCCGAACCTTACGCACACAATGGAGTACCGTTCCACGATACAACGGCTCTAACCACCCGAACCCCAACCCCCGACGTCTCGAACAACAGCACACAAGAACCCCTGAACAAACCCAGCAAAGAAACACCCGAAGAGCGCGCCGAAAAGACCCGCCGCCGCAAGTACCGGTGGAAGATCATCGTGGGCCTGTTTGCGCCGTACACGCTGCAGGCGCTCGACACGACCATCATCGCGTCGGCCGTCAAGTTCATCGCCGACGATTTCGGCCAGCTGCACCAGCTCAACTGGATCATCACGGCCTTCAACCTGACGTCGGCCGCGTTCCTGCCCGTCTTTGCCCAGCTGGCCGACGTGTTTGGGCGCCACGCCGCGCTGCAGACGGCGCTCGTCATCATCCTAGTCGGCTCGGCGCTGTGCACCGCGTCCCCGGTCTCGGCTTTCCCCCTTTTGCTCCTTGGGCGAGCACTCCAGGGCGTCGGCGCTGCGGGGATCAACATCTGCGTCCGCACTATCTTGGCTGATCGTGTCTCGCTCGCGGATTATGCCAAGAATTGGACGGTGTTTGCACTTCTTTCCGCTGTCAGCTTTAGTATCGGGCCTGTGGCGGGCGGGTATCTTACTCAGGCCAGCTGGAGGTGGTGTTTTGCGATCAATCTCCCCGTCGGAGTCGTTGGGATCGGCGTCCTGTTCTGGCTGTTGCGGGGCGAGTTGGTGCCCGCGCAGGACGTGGATGAAGTGCTGCTTGGGAGAGGGGTTCAGGGAACGACCAGAAAGGGGAGATTCTTCGCGAGGTTAGGGACAATCGACTACGGCGGTCAGCTGTTGTTTCTGTGGGGCCTGGGGTTGTTGGTGCTGGCGTTTACATGGGCCGGCGCCGAGTTTCCGTGGGACTCAACTGCCGTGCTGGTATCACTGGTCGTTGGGGGCGTCTTGACGGTTGCGTGGCTAGTGTATGAGTGGGCCATGGTCCCCGGGAGATTGATGGCGAGGGTCTTCCCAATGCAGAAGGCCATGATGCCCTGGGAGCTGCTCATGCAGAGGGATATCGGATTGCTGTTTCTGATCAACTTTGCCAACGGCGTGGCCATGTACTCGGTCATGTACTTCATGGACCTGTACTTCACGCTGGTGCAGGGCCATAGTGCGAGCAGGGCGGGTGTAGGACTGCTGTTCTTCTTGCCCGGATTGGGCGGTAAGTTATCGGGACAGATCTCCAAACCACCATGTACTGACTGTTCCTGCAGTTGGCGTATATATGGCCATGTTCTTCATCAATGTCTGGCCGCGACAAACCCTTCCAGCCCTGCTCCTTGGAAGCGTTACCTCTGCCGTCGGGATCACAGTGCTGCCATGGGCGTGCCAATCCGACAATACGCCCCTCATATACGGCATGATGGCGCTCGCCGGCTACGGGGTCGGCATGAACACCAATCCCGGATCACTCCACGGCCTGGCATATTTTCCCTCAATGACGGCGCCTATTTCCTGCCTCGTCTCTTTTGCGGTCCCATTCGGCGGTACAATCGCATTGACGATCATGTCCACCGTGTTCAACAACAGAAGCGGGCCGAAACATGATGACCCAAAGACGGGAATAGTATGGGCGTTCATTGCAATGATTCCGCTCATGTGGGCAGCAATGATATTGACGACATTTCTGGGGAATGTTTGGATCCGGAAAGACGGTGGGCACGATGTCGTCCACGGCGCTTGGTTGTGGCATCTAGTCAGAGGAAAACGCCTCGAGAAGGTGACGATGTCGAAAACAGAGCTAGTCGGGAGTGGTTGTGAAACTGGTGATCTTCCACTGAAGAATCTTAGAGTGGCAGATCTTCCAAATGACATGGAGCGAGGCGCCTACCGGAGAGCGGTTGACGACGGGAGGATAGAGCCTTAGATCATCTGGCAATATGTATACTTTAGCAGTTGTCGATGATGCAGGCATTGCATATTGCAGTGCGAGGCTATGATTGAGCTTTTACCCTCAGCCGAAGAAAGGGCGATTTCGGGTGGTTTATTAGTAGCTTAGGACAAGTGGCGGCCCTGGTTGTCATTATCCCCTCTTTCGTTTCTGTGATCGATTACCGTTACGTGCTGTAATCTCGGTTGTCAGGGAAGAAAAGAATCGCCATTCTGTTGAAGATCGGAATGATAGAGGCACCTAATGGCAAATCAGCCCAACTGGTGATGGAATTCTTCGTGGTTGTCTTCCAGTCTATGGAAGTTATGATTGTGGATATTTATCAGAGGCCTCAACGGCTCTCCAGACCTCTAAAAATGGTTGATTATCCTGGCAGGCGGCAGTACCGCGTAATTTCCGCCCAGACAAGAGCCACATGTGGCCTAAGCGCCGCCTGCAGCTTCCTCCTACCTGTGGACACGACCATCCGCACGACACGACCACCCGCACGACACGACCACCCGCACGACCTACCCGACACCCCAGGTTTACCTAACGCTGAACTCTCAACAGCGGGTTAATAAAGACCAGTAAGCTCTTCCCCCGCTTATGGTATGTATGTACAATAGTGTACGAAGGTAGTGCAGTGTAGCAACGCAACCATAAGACACATCCCTTGACAAAAGGCCCAGATCCACGATCAGCTGCAACTGCAACAATGACTTGTGCAAACACCACTGCAGAATCAGACCCTGATCAGCTTACCCTCGAAGCTGGTAGCCAACCAGTCTCTTCTACCTCGACTGCAAGGCAGCCTAGCATTGTCTCCAGAGCAGGGTCAACTGCCGCCATTTCCCTTTACATTGTCTGCGTGCTGCTCTACATTTTGACATCCCAAAACCAGCAACATGTTTGGTCTGATGTTGCACGCTTTCTGTACGTACTTCCCAAGCCCTTGCCAATCCACACAGTACGAGGAATTCTGACCTCACTGTACTTTAGGATCCTCGTCGTATGCTCGGCCGACGGCGCGGTAATCTTTCTCCTCCACAAATCCCATTTCGTACAGTGAGACACGTCCGTTCCTCCATACAGTGTCATAGCTGACATGCTAGCTCCCGCCTCAGGAACAAAGTCGAGATAGTCACCACCTTTCTGATGCTTGCCCTCATCCTAAGATTTATTCTAGACGGCGTCACAGACGGATTGGGCATCATCATGGCCTCTCTGTTTCTTGCGGGCAAGTTTCCCGAGTTGCGGGCTGATGTTACAGGGTGGTGGCTCCATGCCGGGGCGGCATAGGCGCAGCTCTCTCTCTTTACAGTGAGGTGTCGGTCCGGTATTGTATGTACTGTACAGGAGGGTCCGAAATGATGAACGGCCTTTTCCCAAGCGTCTGGGAACGATATGTGGCTTGGGACTCGGGTTGTCATCCCGGTGTCAAAGGAAAGAAGCGTGTAGCTGTTAGTTGAGCATGTCAATTACTACTACGTATGAGGAAGATAGATCAGCTGGGTGATTGGCAGCTTCATGCCCCTTTTGTCATGGCAATTCGTTCCACACACCACGATGACGTCAATCGGCCCAGCAATGTCATACAGTTATACCAAACCAGCAGACATGAATCCAATAGCAACCTCCAACTTCCTGTAAAAGGCACTTTGCATTTCACATCAAAGCAACCGGACAACGAAGGTGTCAATCTTAATTAAGCCAGTACCTAGAGTCCTAGACACATTTCAACACCTGAAACCTGCACAATGCCCGATCTCAAGGACAAGAACGGCGAACCGATCAAGGAAGGCGATCAGGTGTTTGCCCGCTCTCGAGGCGGGAGCCATCAGGGAAACGTCGAGAAGATTGTGACTACAAAAGAGGAGGCTGAGGAGGAGGGTGTCAAACATCCGCCAAAGGTACATCTTCTTAATGATCACATCAATGATCAAGTCCCGTCATCGACTTCTTGCTGAAACTTTGATGCTTCAGGTTCTCTTTACCGACCAGCATGGCCATCATGTCCAGCATAATCCTGGGACGCTTCAGCATGGAGAATACAAAAAATAATGAGAAGTTGCCAGCTGAGGCCCTGCTAGCCTCTAGGCGACTAGTGATAGTTGATTCCAGGTAGAGAAGGAGTGCCACGCAAGAATGGAAGGGAGGGGTGGGTTTCATAGCTGCTGGCTTGGGAAGATGCCAATTGAGGTAGCGTTTAGGCAAACCCGTTCACAGTTCCAAAATCCGCATTGACTGTATCCTCGCAGTGGTGGACGTAAGGAGGCAATATTTATTTACCAACATTGCAGGATAAGCTCGGCGGTCTATGTTCCGGACCGAGCCATCTCACGAGCCGGTCCGACTTGAAGTTTAGGACTCTCATCCCGCCGGTCCCGGTGAGACTCTCGCAGATTGGAAGTCCCGCTTAGGACTTGTGGCCGTTCATGACTGGTCTTCCGAGGCGGCGAAAACACGAATGAAGGCAGGATGATGACCTCCACCTTCTCGGGCAACCTGATGACACTTGTTTGTTCCTCGCATGAGCTAGAACATATAGTACCGCCGATAGCGGAAAGGCAGGCTGGGCAGAAGGGCGTCACAATGAGATGAGGCGAGAGGAAACTGAGGCTGGAGAAAAGCACCTGACAGCGTAGCTATGCTTTTTGAATGGTTTCTGGAGCGGTGAAGCCTCCGAGTCGGCGACATGGATGTTGTGGCCTAACCAAGTTTGATCGAATGCCTGTTAACACGGACTTGTGGTTGGCCAGGCGCATGCAGACAGAGCCTATTTCGTCTCTTACAGTACTTCTGCTTCAAGCAGGCAGTCATTGAACTCATCGACGATATTTAACTGCTAACTTCAATTGGCGGAATAGGTATTAAAGGTACATCTCTCAATGCAAAAGTGCCACATCTGGCAACCATCTAGGCTGTTACACTTACAATGTAAGGTAGCTACGTATGTGTCGTCCATATGATCTTGTACATTCGCAGAGTTAGCTGAGCCTTCGAGATATCTCCACGTTAACCAACCGCAGGAGGTAGATATCTTGACAACCGATCAACTAGGTTTAATTCTAAAGACTGATTTGATGCTCAAAGACCTAAGATCGAGCCTAGCTCTTCATGTTGGGCAACAAAAGATAGAATAGTTCACTTACATCCATGATATAAAGTTCTAGCGAGCCGTTCTGGTTGCAGAACACTTTAATCTAAGTAGAGGGAACATCCTATCAACCTCGACTTTGATCAGCAGCTCATTATCTCATTGTTGCTTACACAAACGCAAGGGCCCGCCAACATGTCACAAATGACCAATGTAACCACCCGTCCTTCCGTTCATCAGGAACCGGGACTACAAGAAGCCAATCGCCCCTGGTGCTATACCGATCTCATCGACTGCAATGGCAAGTAATCAGTAGTATCCTTACCACCCTCCATTGTGCACTAGTCGTTCTCAACACATCCATTTTGGGTGAGACTGACCCATGACTCGGTATCAGGCAGCTTTATGCGGCGTGACATGTCCCGGTGGCGACCCAAAAGAGGTGTCGTCGGCATCTCATCAAGATCTTGGTCAACGATTACAAACCCGACATGTGCTAACGAGCCGGCTCGTACCAGACCGGCTCCGAAGCCGGCCGATCCTTCAAGAAAACATGCCAGTGGTTGCCAGGGCGATGCAACAAGCCTGGCTGGGATTGGTGCCTGGATTAGGGAATAGGCCAAGTCTTTCCCGGGTCATTTCGTGCTGTAAAGGGAAGGTCTCGATCCAGCTCTGTGGGAATAGATTGGAGGGGGCGTTCAATTTCGGTTGTCTCTGCTTCATGCCAACTATTTTACTCTTGGGTTCTCCTTTTATGCCACGATTTCTTGCTCTCGGTGCTGTTTTCTTGAACCGCCGTTGACTGCTCATTGTGGACTTGGTTTCGTTTACTGGTGCGCTTGAATTCTTGTGTGTCATTTATGAGTTGGACAGAATTCGAGTCGTTAACGTGTTCCGTGGATATAAGCGTCGGATTCTGGACGGTAATGAGTCCAGAAAGAGTTAGATAGTACCTAGAATTGCCTGCTGTTGGAACCATTTGCTTGTCAAATCCGTTTTCGAGTTTGACACGTGTAACTGCCAACATGTATATATCAGTTCTTTGTCACCAGGCTGCATGTCCCCCTCATCGGCTCCTCCTTAAACCTCAGATCTGATTGGGCCATAAGAACAATCGAAGTATGCGCAGAAATGGATTGAGATACCAAAATGTCGCACTTGATTCGGGTGCTCTTGTACTACTGCTCATTAATATCATGGAATGGCAGGTGCGAATGGCGTTGGGAAGTAGCTACGATGGCTCGCTTCCAGGTTTCAGACTTAAGACGCGTCACAGTCTCATCAGAGTCACTCCATCCCAAGGATTGTGTTCATGCGAAGAGTCGTTTGGACCCGTGCCGGGACAGCTGTCGTTGCATTTTCATACGCGATCTCGGTAGCAGCCGCTATAACAAACATGTCGACGCTTTCAAGGATCGTTCTATTTACCATTCTCGCCTTGTGCGCCATGACACTCGATCTTCGGTACGGCCTGCCCATGCTCCCTATGTTGCCAGCTGGTTCAAGTTCCGCAATCCACTGGAGGCAGATTGTGAGCGAGAAGCTTCGGGTTGACTACGCAAAGATTCCGAGGCAGTGGAGACTCGAGACCCATGTCATAGAGAAGGCAAGGACAACCAAGCAGATTGCTGGCAGTTTCATCGAGCATCTCCTCGACCCTGAAACACGCAACATTACCTCCCTCGACGTACAAGATCTGGTCGCCGCCATGGCCAACGGCTCGCTCTCCGCGGTGAAAGTCGTTACGGCCTTCTGCAAGCGAGCCTCATATGCACACCAGCTCGTACGTCTTTCTCCAAGTTGCGGCTGAAATTCCTAGAAGGGACGGGGCGAGCTTGACATTGGGTTGACATGATATCAACTAGAGCAATCTTTTGCTGGAGATCGGTTTCGATAACGCACTGGCACGCGCAAAGGAGTTGGATGACTACTTCGAGAGCAATGGGAAGCTTTTTGGGCCCTTACATGGTATACCCGTAACTCTCAAAGATCAATTCCACGTCAAAGGACTCGAAACCTCGATGGCGTTTGTGAGCTGGATCGGCACTTTTGAAGGGAAGAGAGGCACGGGAAAAGAACGAGTCTTCGAAAGCGAGCTTGTTCGTGAGCTCTGGAGCCTGGGTGCCATTCCGATCGGCAAGGTCAGCCGCATCACTCCGGGGCTCAAGTCCATTCAGCCAGGAAACTGACATTGACTGTTAGACCACACTGGTGCAAACCCTGTGGGTGAGTATTTCCACCCGTTGTTCTATTGGAGTTTGGCCTTGTGTGTCTACTAACCAGAGAAACCGGATATTAGGCCCCTGAAACAAACAACAATATTCTCGGTTACACCAGGAATCCATTCAACCAGGGTCTTTCTAGCGGTGGCTCGTCTGGAGGTGCTGCCTTCCTCGCCGACCTGCTTCCCAGTCTTTCCAGCTGACGATGTCTTGACAGGAGAGGGGGTAATGCAGGCATTAAAGGGGAGCGTATTTGGTATTGGCACTGACATTGGTGGTTCGGTGTCCATGCCAGCAGCCTATCAAGGATTATTCAGCATCAAGCCCTCCTCTGGCCGCTTATCGTTCAAGGGCGTGGCGAACACGGTGCGATATGTCCCTGTCCTCGTTCTCTCCGCGGGCTCCACTGACCAGGCATCTCTTATTAGGGCCCAGGACAACAGGTCATGCCTACGGTGCCAGGTATCATGGGCCACTCCATAGCTACACTCAAGCTGGTCTTCCAGTCGCTGTTATCCACCGAACCGTGGCTTCATGATTCACACGCTCTGCCGATCCCCTGGAGGCATGAACGGGAGTATGATCCCGACAGCGAACAAGGCTACAAGCCCGCGTTTGGATTCATGTCCAACGACGGCGTTGTGACACCCCATCCCCCAATAGCCCGCGCGTTGAGAATTGTTCATGAAGCTTTAGATGAATCGGGTTATCAGGTTTGTGTCCATTCCAACAGCAATGCTCCGGGAGCGGTTTTGTATATTATATGCTAACAGTCTCAGCTTCTTGATTGGAAACCCCCGTCGAACAATGAATCCGAGGAGCTACATGTAAGTGTCTGCCAGCCCTAACTTCCCGACCATCGACGCTGACTAATATCAGGGTCCAATCGCACGCGGTGACGGCTGTCCCGACGCATACGAGGCCATCAAGATGTCAGGCGAGCCCATCGTCCCTGAGATTGACGACGTGTTTCCGGGCGGCAAGCTGATGCCGCCTCTCCCCCTGCCGGAATATGAGAAATTCGTGATACATATGAAAGACTTTAGAAACCGTTACCACGACTATTGGATGTCATCTGCCGGGAAAACACACACGGGTAGGTGCTGGGGCAAAGGCATTATGAGAATTGATTCGGATCGCTTACCCACATAATGTTGCACAGGCCGACCCGTTGAAGCAGTCATATCACCGGTTACTCCGTATGCTGCCGTAATCCCTGGGAAGTTCAGATACTCTGGTGAATCTCGGATATGTGGCTTCCCTTTCCAAACATAGCCGGTGCTAATCTCTTGAGTCAGCCTACACGAACTCCCTCAACGTCCTTGACTATGTCAGCATAGTCATTCCGGTAACCTTTGCAAACAGGGATATCGATCAGGTCAGCCACGACTATAAGCCACTAACTAACGAAGATAGAATCAACATGGAGCTTTGTATGTTCTCCTGAATATATGTGCAATTCACCTTTTCGGAAGTGTAGCTCACTGTCTGGATAGATGACGCCGAAGCGCACGACGGAGCCCCAGCCGCGGTTCAAATATTTGGGCGGAGATGGACCGAAGAACGGCTACTATCCATGGCACATCTAGTCGTTGATGCGCTAGAAAGGTACGCACAAAGGCATGGCCGGATGGTATGATCATAGCAGATCGTGATATGGGGTTTCACTTGGTCAACTTCAGATGGGCATTGGTATTGGTACTATTGAATTGCTTCAACAATGGGAGTAAGTTTATCTGTATGCACCATTTCAACTCGAGCCCGTGTTCATTCAGTCAGACAGTTTCGAAGTATCCATCACTGAACTCTTCAAGAGTGGCATGGCATTCAAGAGTCCCCCCGGACCTGCGGATGACCTGATTCAGTACCTCGGTCATACCATCCGTATCTTGCGGCTCTCCGAGTTGCAGCGACTGGATCAGCATATCATTGCATCAATGAGACTCTACAGAGCCTTATTCTCCTGGGATTTGTGCACCTACAAACGTCGGCTTCACGTTGGATCACCGACATGCCTACCCGCCTCATTGGAATCCCTCAAAGTTTCAGGGTTAACACGCGATCCCTGGCTTCTAACGGCAAAGTCTATGTGATTGGCCAGTAAGTTCCTATTAGTGAGTCTTTCTCGTCTTGGACAATCGTTTCTGCCGCGAATTCGGATCAGTGCAAGCAGGGCGTGTGCGGGCTGTTAATGTGATGGAGACAGTGATTCGTCTTCCTCCGTCTTCCATAAGGCTGTGGCGCACGCCCAGCGAGACCGGGCAACCCGGGCACCATGTGGGATAATGGCCCAAAGACACTCACCCCGCAACCGACCAAGTGGAGGCGCAGTACATATGGCAGAAAATCATTGGAATGGAGCGCCGGGCTCCATTGGGCCTTTGAGAGACATGCTTAGAGGTACGTCTGTCGTGCAACAGGGCTACGTACTAGCCGTACGCACACATGACGCATCGGGAAGGAGTTCAACCACCCTTTCGGCCTTCTCCGGAGATGCTTTTTAAAGTCAGGCTTCGTTCCGCCGAGACTTGAGGCTCAAAATGTGCATTTTGGACTTGGAAGACACGGCCAGGCTCCGGCACCAACGGTGCCGGCCGATCCTTTCAACAAGTAGGCAGAAGTAAGTAGGTAGTAAAGTAGGCTTCAGAGTTTGAATGTCGCCTCTGAATACTAGTAGTACCAGGTCTCTTTTACATGAGCACTCATCATCCACCCTCCCTCCAACAAGTCTGACAACTTTTTCCTTCCTCTAACTCAGAGACATCTCTTCTGCCCCCTCAACTTGCTTCTCCAGCTTCAGTTGTAGCAATGGCCCCAACCGCAGCCGTCCTTCCGGCCACTGATTACATCGCCGCCGCGGCCAACAACGCCGTTCTCAAGGACTACTACTCCTCGGGACTCCGTGCACGGTTTCGTCTCGACGCCGCTAGGATCTCCACGCCATCTACTCTCAAGGGGCCGTATGCTAATATCAGTTACGAGGTAGACGAGAACTCTTTCCGCCGTCGTTCGGCGGCCCGTCTCGCTGCTGGGGGTCTCGCCTCCTCTGTGCCAGAGGGGTGGCCCACCAAGTTAGAAGGGCCCCTGGTTTGGACCGGAGCCGACTTTGAAGGACAGGACGAGTCTGCGTATGTGTACTACCTAACGGATGGTGACAAGAGGGAGATTGATGCGGCGTTGAAGCACTTCAACAGTGAGCAAGCTCCTGTCTGCTTTTTCAAGTTTGCTATCGCTTGATAGCTTCCATGAGGTTCTTGTACTGACCTAACCTGGTAATGTGCTATTAGAACTTGGTCTTGACGGCAATGAAGTATCGCCCGAGACCTTTCCCCTGCCCACATTGGGGGTAAAACTCGGCAACATCTGTACGGACGTGTACGAGGGCCGGGGATTCGCGATTCTCCGCGGTCTGGACCCGGACGCCTACCCATCCGTCGAGGATCTCACTGTCGTGTATCTCGGCATTTCAAGCTACATCGGCAATCGCCGTGGAAAGCAGGATCAGCTGGGGTCAATGTTGAGTGAGCACACTAGACTCCTGACACCTATTGAAAGTTTGAAACGATCGCTGACCGTGACCCCTTCACCCCCTACCTACTAGTGCATGTGATCAGCAGAGACGAGCACGCAGTAGATAGTGAGGACAGGGTAGGTAGCGAGAACTCCAAACAAACCCAAGCCAGCAGGAAATGTTGCACTTCTAACCCCTTTTCCCCACGCAGCCCTTCCACACCGACACTGTCACCGACTGCCTCTGCCTCTTCACCCAAAGCCTTGCCGAAAAAGGCGGCCGCAGTGTGATAGCCTCGGCCTGGACCGTGTACAACGAGCTCGCAGCCACCCGGCCCGACTTGATCCACGTTCTGGCAGCGCCAGACTGGCCCTTCGACACGTATGCCCCCGTTCTCCTTCTGGCCCCTTTCCCTATGCCCACACTGACGACATCACCATGAAAAGCTTCCTCCGCCAACCGGCATACTACACCCGGCCCGTCCTCTTTTACCACGACTCCAAAATCATCGCCTCCTTCTCCCGCCGCCTGCTCGTAGGCCACCCGCCACAAACCCCGCGCACGCCAGGGATCCCGGGTCTGAGCGAGGCACAGGCCGAGGCGCTCGACGCCATGCACTTCATTGCGCGCAAGCACGAGTTCAAGCCGCGCATGCAGCGCGGCGATCTGCGCTTCATCAACAACATGGCCGTGCTGCACCGGCGCGAAGCCTTTACCAACAGCCGGGCCAACGACGGAGTTGTTCGGGTTGCTGACAACAAGGACGGGGTGCGCCACCTGGTGCGCATCTGGCTCAACAACGAGCTTCTGTGCTGGAAGCTGCCTCGTCCACTGCGCCTCGCCTGGGCGAGGGTCTTTGAGGACGACGAGAGAGAGGAGCGCTGGGATCTGGTTCCGCCGCGAAGGCCTGACGGAAGGATCTTGAGGGTGCCTGGAAGCTGTGATTGAGATTGTCTTCGTGACGTATGTGCCTGTCTGTGCTGGGGGGGGGTGACAATTCAGGTTGTTTCTTCTCCCGCATCCTCCCCAGCCTCTCTTGTTTCCCCTTTCAGTTATCTCGTTCGAGTATCCGACGCTAGTTGATCCCACAACAATCAATTCCTCTCGGTTTTCTAGTGAACAATGGAAAAACGTGTTCCATCTTGCTACGTAGCTCGTATGCCTGCTGAGGCTCCGCGTCGCATCTTGACCAAGCACGCGGGACTCAGTACCCGTATATAAGCCCCTAATCTCTATTGAAACCGGCACCGTGGTCTGCAGCGTGGCTCGAACGCCGAAGGTTCAAGACCCTCAAACTCCTCGCTCTGGACTCGCCTTCGTATTGTTCAGGCGGTTGGGCCAGGCACCCAGTTCTCATCGTAGAGCTGCGCAATCCAATACAAGTCGTGGTTCCAGTCCAGCCTCGTCCTCACACTTTGGAATTCAGCCACTGCCGTTAATCTTGTCAGCAAAGCAACCAACCTCTCACAGTATATCCGACTACACACCTCTTCGCGGATCGTTGATTAGACTGGAGGTCAGTCTGACTAAGCCAACTTGGTCGGCGTCTAGGTCTGCGGCCTTGGACAACTCGCGGAGGCCTTCGGCGTTGTACGTCAGCTTGAAGGGGTGCACGCCTTTGTTGAGGTAGTGGAAATGAGCTAGCATCACGTTCACCCCCATTTGGTGCTTAGATATGCTTTCGTGATTGCAGTATGCCTCCTGTTGCGCCAGGAATCAGCACAGAGCTGGGATGTTCGGGGACTGATGACCTCACCTGAAGGCTGTACTGCCTAGCAGTCTCCCAATCCCGCCGCGATATCATGGCGCAGCTATGAAGCAGAATGAAAATTGCCAGATAGATTGTTAGCCAGTATTGGCGTTTATTGTGCTTGACGAGGGAGTTGAGCTGGTCAAGAAGCTTCTTATGAACCGGCCGAAGTACCGTGCTGTACATGATGCACTCCATCTGGGCAACCATGATAACAGGCAAGGGAACACGATTATGGAACACGCTGGATGGGTCGTTGACAAAGTCGCCCCCAAGCTTGTCCTCGCCGATAATATGCTCAGGATTGCTGGTCATGCGACATGCAACCCAAAAGCGAAAAGCATTGATCAAGAGATCTCTCTCTTCAGGTGTCTGAATTGCAGGAGGCAGTATTAGCAGATGTCCCTTAGAAAACATGGCAGCATCAACCTACGTTTGCATTACGTGAGTGCCTGAAGGCAAAGAAGTACGTTTGCCAGATGAGCTCATCGGAGTCCCCTACGGTACCGCTGATGTAGACGCCGACGCTTTGTTGAATGAACGCTTGGAGAACCTTGGCCGAGTTTTTCATATCGGCGAAAGCGTAACGGGGGACTCTATGAGTCTTGACGACGCCATTACTTGTCCATTTCTCCTCAAGCATGTCGCCCTCGACGGGCAAGAATTCCCTGACTTGGACCTCGTACGGCGCATTGAGATAGATTTGGGACACACGAATGGTTCTTATCTCGTTGGATGCCCAGCCGGTAATGTCGACCAGGTCCATACTCTGCCACCTCGTGGAAAACATCTGGTACGGCTTGCTCTGCTCTCGGTACAGCGACGAGTCGGTGATGATCCAACGAAGGCAAGGCAGCTTGCAGAGGATGGGAACGGTAACCCGAGAACAGGTCAGGCATTGTCCTTCGCGGTCGGAGGCGTTAGGAATACACTGGTGACGTTAGTACCGGCCGTGCGAGGAAGACGCCGGGAGAGCGCGGCCATTACCCTGATTCTCAACATCCTGCATCTTACGCAGGACCTTAGCTCTCTCGTTAGCGCCGTCTCGGTACGCTGTTCTTCATTTTGAAAAGGGCGTCGTTTCAGCGGCGGCCTCTTCTTAGCACTATCGGGAATTCCGTTCGGATTGGCCGGTTTCCTTCTTTTGCGCTTTTTCTAGGTTGCTAATTAGCTACTTTGTGTGGTGGGATATCAGAGAAAGGAAACAGAAACGGTAAACTTACCTTTGGGACAACCCATACCTTGCTGCAGATCCCGCGGGCTACATTGTTTATGACGCTCGCGGTATCCTCTTCCGGTGTGGATCGTGCTGCAATGGGGAGATACGACGGAGTGGATTGCTGGCTGGCATCGTCACTTGACACTGGTGTCGTGCTAACACCCGATGATTGCGTACTACTACTTGGTGTTGAAGTTGCTCGGAAGTCCGATTCCGGATATAGCGATGGTTGTCCGTAGGTCCCAGGGAAAATGGGTAGGCCGTCTAAGCCGAGTGACTCCCGAGTCTGCTCGGTTCCTAGTTGCGGTCCGGAGCGGTTCGGGCCGAACGCGGCAGCGTCACCATGATCGTCGAGCTCGATCGTATCCGTAGCTGCTGCATGACCCACATGACTGAGCTCAGCGCCACTGCCCAGACCTTGCAGAAGGATTTCGGCCTCGCCAGTGCCCGGTGGGGATTCGAGAAGTGAGTATTCGAGATTGATGTCTATGGCACCCGAGCTCCCAATGGCATTGAGCTCAAAAGGCTGGAAAATGAGTGCGTGCGCGACGGCGCTGGCGCCAACGCGTCTATCGCTTCCCGGCTCGCTTGGCACGAAGACGAAATCGTCCGAGCCGTTATTTGAGGCCTAGGTGGTTCGTTCAGTATTGGAGAGATGACATTTTGTACGACCTTGCATGGTATATGTCTCATATTTTTTCCCGTCTTCCAGGAGAACCGGTGCATGGCTTGCTCTGTTTGTTCCGGCTTCGCTCTTGGGGTTACAGGGATGCTCTTACCATCGTGTTAGCGGTGTCAGGCGGCAAGACGTTGAGAGCTCCCCGCCTTGGAAGCAAGGATGCTGGCTCTTGTGGGTGAAAGCGGGGCAGCGAGCGATCTTCTTAACTTCTGAGCCTGGCGGGAGTTGCCGTCGCACAGAAATGAAATCATTTTATGTATACATACATACTCCTAACCTCCATCAGACCATGGACTAATTAAATCGCTCATTCTCTCTGAAATAGGTACTTTAGGACTTTGACCTGAAGGGTTAATGTAAATCTACCTAAGTACGGATAGAGGAGGTAGCATATTGGAGGTACGGGGTAATAAAGTACTAAGAACGCGGTTCGGCGTTATGGTACCTCCGTACCAGTGCTTATGTTTATGTAACGTTAGAACGCCGCCAATCAAGGTTATTCGTTTATGCTCGACCGATGAATTTGAGCCTCAAGGAAAGTGCCAAACCGTCGGGTTTCATCAAACGATGTCGGCGCCCAAAGCGCACAATCTTTAGTCGGATGTGCTACCCGAAATGGCCCGCTGCCTGTCCCGGTTTAGAAGGGGTTTGCTTCGTACCGATACCCAATTTTGTACACCGAAACCTCGCGATCTGGAGCATACACCCTGATGAGTCTGCTCAGCAACTCGTCTCGATTGGAATGCTAATCAAGGAACGAAGGATGTATGCCACGCGTCCCCGCCATCTTTGCAAAGCCGGCTCTATTGCCCAATTAGCACATGTGAGACCGGCTTATGGGCAAATAAAATGGCTGATAAGGGCGTCGACTTACGGAGCTCAACCTCTCACCCATCAATGCCGTTTCTAGACCCAGGTTTCTCCTGGAATGGGGACGGGTTTGTCTCTCAGCCCGGCTAGAGCCGTTTCCGACTCTTCTCAAGAGTTATCTCACTCCTTGGGATTTCTCGCCTCCCAACCCCAAAAACTGAGTCGACTCGCTGGACAATGGCATTTCAGGCTGGCGAATAGATGGGACCCGTTTTTTATTTTTTTTTTTTAATTTTTTAATTTTTTAAATTTTTATTTTTTTTTTTTATTTCGCCGTTCCCCTGAGCCTGCTCCCGGATATCCCTCCGCTCGACATCTTCATCGCCTTGCCGGACCAAACTACATACCTTCCCTCCAGCATTACGGTTGACTCTGGATGCCTAGGCTAGCGCAACTCTGCGCAACGGACATGCCCTTGCCAACCAGGGCATCTCGCGGCACATACTGTCGCGCGCTTGGTCGCCAAGGTGTCAAGGACCCGAGCATCTTACATTGGCACCGGGGTCTGCACTTTGAGTTCGAGCTCGTCTTTGAGCAGATCGTCCCAGACTCGGCAGATATGCCCCTGATAATCGTGCTTATCTACCCCTTGGAGAGGAAGACTTTACCACTGAGTACCCTCCACGAGCTCTGGTCTGGCCTTCCCTCGAACGGCTGGCCCGATGCAGTCAACATCTCGTCGCTACGCTTCGTGAGGCAGATCGATACCGTCTACCTTGCAGAAACCCCTGGTCCTGGCGGTAAAGAGTTGACAATCTTCATTGGCCATCGGCTCCCTGGATTGGCTGTGTCACGAGAGCTCCGTTTCCTCCTCACGTCCCGCCCCATCCGCACGTCATGCCGCAAACCCTTGGGCATTGTTACCAAACGTAGTGCGTTCGGCAGCAAGCAGGGCATCGTCGGTTTCCTGCTCCGCTACCTCCCTGCTGGTTCCATCCGCGACATCCTTCCCGCTAAACAACGAGCCGGTACCCTGTCGAACCGCGTTACTGTGCAAGTTGAATTGGTGCCGGCAGGTCACAAGCGCAATCATCCCCGGTCGTCTCTCGAATCCGTTTCAGACCGGCGGCCAGATACCGTCTTGCTAGATGGGGACCGGGGTGTGGTCCTCTTATGCGACTTTGAGCAGTGCAACGCGGCAACTGGCATGAGTGGTGTGCACCCGAGGTCTTGTTTCGGCAGTACGGATACACTACACCGAGAACGTCCGTGCTGCCCTCCTGCCCTTCACCGAATTGCCTTATGAGGACCTCAGCGTCACAATCGTGCGGCTCCTTGCTGGCTACACCCCTGTACCGAGGCTCACCGAAAGTCCTGTGCAGGCCATGAACTGGCCGTGGTCCCTTCTAACACCTGCTGCACAGGACAAGGTCGCTGTGTACTCGTTGAAGGTGTTCATCTCCACCGCTTCGAGGGTCTAAGTAATGTGTGTCCAAGTACGAAGTATAGTAATCAGCATGCATCGAATGCCACGAAGCGGTTCCCAGCGCCCAGCAGCGGGAATAACTAACGGCTCTTCGCTACCGAGGATCGCGCAAATGCGGTCTCCCACCTCGTCACCCGGCCTGTCCGACGAAGGCTCAGGGGTAACGGAAAGCTACATCCTCTTCCGTCTTACGCTCACCACCATCACGGTGGAAGGGAACGAAGTGGCCATCAAATTATCCGGTTCTCTACAAAGATCGCTAGGAACACGAGATTACAACACATGGGTATAACAAACAACGCCATCATCCCCCTGCTCGTGAGAGCCGAAACCACCATCGAAACAGGCAGAACAAGAACAGCTTGTTGCTTCACCCCTCAATGGCTCCAATCTCTTTCTGTCCACCCCGTTCCCACAAGCCACTGATCTTTTTCTTCAGGCCCATTCGCTGCAGGAGCGGCGTTTTCCCACCCTTCCCAACAGTCTCCGACGGCAGTGAAGCCAAACTCACGGGTAATGCGCAAGGCGGCAACCCATTCAGATTCTGGATTTCGGGTACGGGACCGTCCCTCGCGTCTTGCCCATGTTGGCTGCAGGGCAGTGAAGAATTTCCCCCCTTGTGACCAACCGTGAGCCCCGTAATACCTAAGCCTACCGCTGATGCCGTAGGTGACTTCCCCCCTCTCTGCGGCTGCTGCTGATGCCCGCTCAGGTACCCACTATCAACCGACTCCCTCCCCGACGAACTCGGCGCCTGGTTTGGCTCAAATGCGTGGGCTGCGTTGTCCGCCTTCGGGCTGCCCGATGATGTGGAAGGGCTGGACATGTGCTCGTTGGCGGCGGCCCATATGTGCCCTTCATCGATTTGGCCGTCAAAGCGTGTGGCTCCAAAGCTGCTGAGAAAGGCAATCTCCTCTGGTACTCTGGTATGATACGGGGCTCCACCATATCTCAGGGACTTGATGCTTCGAAATGACGGACGAGACTTGTCTTGCCCAGGAGAGCTAGTGGCGCTGCTGCGGGAAACCGGGCGCTGATGGCCATCAATTCGTTCCGGGATCTGCAAGGAGCTTAAACGGGTCGTGTCCAATTCCTCGTGGCGAGCAAGGCGGGAAGCCGGCTTCGGAAATGGGACCTGTGTGCTGCCGCTGCCTCGCATCCGTTCTATAGGGGAGGCGGTCTTAGGCTGTGGCACAACGGAGGGACCGCGAGCCAACTCTGGCCGCTGCGTTTGAAGAGGCTCCTCCTCGTCTTCTTCCGGCACGGCATTTCCATAGATCCGTCTCATCGATGTGTCGACACTGCGGTTGCGCATTGAGCTTGACCCCGACCTCCGTCCTCGACACGGAGGTCCGTTACTGAAGGGTAATTCTGAATTGTGGTCTGGAGAACCGTCACTCGAGCCCGTAGTTTGCTCGGTAGGTCCATCAGGTTTGGATTGGGGCTCTTCACAGTCCCTGAGTAGTGCCTCACTCTTGCTCCTGTGAAGCTCATTGGCTAAGCGATGAACGTCTGGGCTTGCGGGCAGTCCCATCTTGCCAGGTCCGATTGGGATGTCCAGGGTTTGCTTCGGACGTGACGTCGCGTTCTTTGTCGTAGATTTCGTTACTGGCTGGGTTTCCTGTTCCTGAGTCTCGGATTCGGCTCGCCGTTGCAGAAGAACCTTGCTGTGAGTGTGGTGCACAGATGATGGCTGAGAGGACGGCACGCTCAGATCGGCGGACCTGGCACGTCGGTGAGTCTTCTCTCGGGTAGGCGGCGTGCTTCGCTTCCTGGGGACGCCGTGTGCTGACAAGCCCTCATCAACAGCCCTAGACGGGGCTTTGATGCGGCTTGACGATTCGGAATCCGATGATTCCGATTCTCTTCTGCCTGCTGCCCATGGATCTCGATCTCTGCGCGGGAGTTGCTCATGTGGTGTGTCTTTGGAAATTGACAAGTCGTGGTGGGCTTTGGTACGGACCCGAGCTCCCCCCGTCTTTCCGTCTGAGCTATCTCGGACACCAAGCTCTTCAACGGTAGCCAGGGGTAATGAATCGAGAAGGGGTTGCTGCACGGCAACCAGGCCGTGGATTGGGCAGGAGAGAACATTGGAAGACAACTTGCTGAGATGTTCGAGCTTGGTTGAGCCTTCCAAGGTGCAGTATTTGTTTGTTTGGACTGCTTTTTTGCATTTCACCCATTGAATGTAGAAGTGCTGCTCCCCATCTCTGCAGCCGGTGTACGGCGTATAATCGTATGTGCACATCTTTGGTGACAGTGCTGATGGTTCAGGGGAAGAGTAAGGGAACTCTGCCAACACGATGCCGGACACTGAAGGTCAGCTGGCCATCGAAATACCGAGAGAGTGGCCGAAGCGAACGTGTCGCTAGTCTTATAGCTGAGGGTTGAAAGGGACTTGAAGATTTCATTCGGACGACGGAATCTTATCGGTCGGATGGGCGGCTGGGGAATCACTGCATGCCAGGCATGGGATCTCTTCACAGTCTTCAGATTCCCCAATAACCTATAGGCTCCTCCGTTGGATGATGGATCCCAGCTCTGTGATGGGGATGCCGAGGCTCGCTGTTGTCTTCACCATGGACACTCGCAGAACTCAATCACCAAGCTACTGCATGAGCCGTGCAGAACATTGTCCCGACTGACAACGCAATTGGCGCTCGTGGCTGTCACCGTCAATTCAGGTAAGCCGGGATTGGTGTGATCGAGTTTATCACCCTGACATTTATGTCTACGGCCCACAAAATGTGACCCGGATTTGGCTTGGTGTAAGCACGGCAGTGCGACGGAAAGGACGAACGTGCAGGACGGCGCTTAAAGATTGTGTGATCCAAGCAACGACTAACCAAAACCGGTAAATGTGAATCGGGAATTGATCGATAATGCCTCCGGCGATGCCAGATATGGTACGGTTTCCGACAATGAATGCCCTCACAGACCGAACCGTTAGTCCGAGATTCTAAAGATGAGTTCATATCAGCTTCGCTGTTGGCTCTCTCATCGAAAGACTAGGGGACATAATGGATAAGAATCTCAGCGGAACTCATTGCGATTGGGATTGGATATGACAGCTTGATCGTTACAAAGAGCGCGATTCAGCCCGTTGTGATCCTGTTAGCCATGTGCTCAGCTTAGGCGAGTTGGCGCTTGCGGGAATGATAATCTGTACGTAGATAAGATGATAGGAAATCGAAATACTTACCAGCATGCGGCTGGCGGAGGGGATGGGCGCAGATACCGCAAATCAGAGGAACGAAGGCTGTTGCCCATATTGTACAGTCAGTACAGTCGAAAACCGGCGGTGATCTTGTCACTCTCGGCGCGCTAAGCCCGGCTGCAGGTCGAGCGGGAAGGGATGAACTATCACGGAAGCCACTTTAGACTTCCTGGCCTGAGTGAATGCACTGAAGGAACAGGAGCCAAGCGCCGCACCTTCCTCTACTCAACTATTGGAGCTTGAGTCTTGGTGGCGTTGATGAAAAAGCCGCCGAAAGTTGGAAGGAAAATGCAGTATTATCACCTTCATTGCCACCATGGTCAATGAGGTGCTGGTTATGTGTACTGTACCAACACCGTTTCAGCTCTTCAATATTCATTTCGGTGTTTCAACAGGACCGAGAAGTACCCTGGGTTGAACATGCGGCTGCAACGCAGACTACACGATACTCCCTCGGTGCCTCCATTGAGAAAACTTGCATCCCAACCACTGATATCAACCCCTCCGCCGCTCCATCAGCCACCACATAACATCCTTCGCCAATATCAGCATATCCAATTTGTCATTCTTTTCCCCCAGCGCGTCAGTCTGCATCAGGAAACCCTTGAACAGGGCAAACACACGGGACGGTCAAGCCAAGGAGGTACCATAGCTTCGTGGCAGCATATTGCAACCGGTATCATGTTCGGCGTATCTCGTATGTTCCGGAAACCCCAAGACCCGGCGCGTTCCAGCCTCGCTCCCATCCATACGTTTATACCCCTGATTCCAACGCCTTTATCCCTTATTGCTTATCGTACAGACATAATTCGTCACTCATAAAATCCAATTCCAGGCTTCTCATCCACTTCCGTCAGGAGTACCCCTAGCTAGTGGTGGTGTAGTACCTCCCCGCCGAGCGGCTACGTGACCTGCCCTCCGGGTAGACATATGTCGCCGATGGCCGCCTGGGGGCGTAGGCGACCTTCTCCTCGAGTACCACGGGCCGTGAGGTTGATGAGCGCCGCCTGCTGTGGTGGCGGCTGCTGTGATGGTGGTGGTGATGGTGCCGGCCGTGTGACCGCGACCGCGACCGCGCCCGTGGGGCTGTGTCGTCGTACCAGCCTTGGTTGCTGGCATCGGCGGCGCGGGGCTGCGTGCAAGCCCGGATGATCCACCACAGCAGCAGGATGCCGACGACGGTGCCGATGACGATACCCGCTATGGCGCCCCCGTCGAGGCCCGAGTTGGACGTGGACCCTGAGGCTGTGGTGACTGCCGTCACCGTTGCTGTGGTTTGACGGCCGACGAGGCGGGAAATGGCCAGTGGGAGGGTTTTTGTTGGAGCCATGGTCCTCGACCGGATTCTCCCTGTGATTGGGAGCTGAGCTAAAGTTTTGTGGCGAATGGAATCAGACTCGGGGATGTCGAGCCTAGGACCGGAAGTGCGGAATGGAGTCTAGAAACGTGGTGAATGTAAAAAGATGGATTGCCCTGATATCATAGCAATGATAGCATCCGCTTCGTCTCTGTAGGAAGTCAGGCACAGGGAGGCAAAAACAGCAGTTATATGATGTGATACTCGAGACTTCCAAAGCTTTTCATAGCCTGCTTTACCATGATTTACTCGTCATGAGCGCATCAGCCAGCCATCTTTCACAAATCGTAATACCACCTTGATCGGAGCGAGGCTAGCAGGGGCCGGAGTGTTCACGGAGCTGCAGCATGACGACATACCGGCAGTTTCTCCCTTGCAGTTCTTGTTAGTTGCTGCGCAGCCGAATACCACCCTAGATATCACTCTGCTGGTTGGTGGAGTGAAAGAGTGAGACAGATCGTCGGGGTCGATAATCGGGGTCGATAAAGCCGGCCGATGACGTCATAACACGGCGCCGTTCGAACCCCGTAAGGAGCGCTCAGCTGGCAGCTCTTACCCGTCGCAAACAGTGTGTTCCGGCTTCTGGAAAGCACATTGGGTCCACAGAATCAAGCATCGGATCAAATAGGGCAAGTGCGATCTGTAAATGCAACAGAATGCTACTGCGTACCTTAGCCGGTGCCATGGACCGATCGATTTTCAAGAAGTTTATTCGCCGAGGCACATACAATACAATACTACAGACCCTTGAATAGGAGCACTTCATAGTTGCGAACCTCTACCGGTTCGTCCGATACGGATAGCAACACAGGCAGCCAAATCAGGGTTGAGTTTTGGCGACTGAAAAGTTGATACGAGCTACTCACCTTACGTACACACCTAGGTACAATACTAGGTACTGAGAATACCTACACTTGCTTGCCCCTTACCCAATCAGGGGTTTTGTGACGCAACACACCATAACCTGAGCGACGCCACGAGGTCACCGTAGACTCATACTGGGGATGATGGACACAGGAAAATAAGATAATACTTTGCCGCAGAACGTTGATGATTGATCCGCTTGTATGTAAGACCTTGAGCAACTTGAACGTTTGCTGCACTCGAACCCGTGGCTACTAGAATCAAGGAGAGTCTCATATCCACACTCGAAGTACAGCAAAGTCCGGGTATACCGTATAGCCATGTCGGACCACCGCCGAGGAAGAAGACACAGTCGTTACGACCAAGGGTACCCCTACTACGACTACGACTACGAACGTCCTCCGCGTCACCGGTCACTTGGCCGCCAGGCTCTTGACAAGCTCGGCGATGCCATGGGCAGTCTAGCCCTTGACGATAACAGGACTCATGATAGAGGCCATCGCTCCATAACAAGATACCGCTCTCCAGAAGGCTATGACCGGCATCCTCGAGATCACTACCATCACGGCCACCACCACGCCCGCCGCCGGCATCACAGCAGTTCGCCGACCAGGCATTCTCGCCGCTCGCGACGTGGCGGCACGGCGAGCAGTTCCAGCACTGCCCGCCCGGCATCCTCTCGGAGCCGAAGCCGTCTGGACCGGGGCCTGAAAGCGGCCGTAGATGCTGCCGCGATCGAGGCAATCCGCCTGCGCAACGAGCCCGGGCGCTGGAGCGGCGCCAAGGGCGGCCGCGTTGCCACGGCTGCCATCAGTGCTGGTGTGATTGGCACGGCAGCTGAGAAGAGGAAGCAAGACACCGGCAAAGGCACGGTTGGAACCTTGGGCTCGGCGGTTGGAGGCTTGGTGGTGAATAGGCTACTCAATGGGCCTCGGGATCAGCTGAGATGAAAAACATCCCGGCCTGGCCTCTTGTATCCTGGATAGGGTGCATTTCTGATACACAGAGGGCTTCACGACGTTATGAATTTGGGCATAAGTTGACATGATATAGTACTATCTAGATCAATCGGTGCATGTGTACAGTACACTAGTAGAATTCACTATTTGTGGCATTCTCCTCTGTTATTACTGTCGATGCTACCGTGACGGATCTCAAACCATATCCGACATGTTCCTAAGAGCATGTCTGTTCCCTCAGTTCCCTCCCGTCCATGGACTGTGCGTGTCTCCAGTATCCATACGGAACAACGTAGCCACGGTGATCATGATGAGATGGTCGCCTGACTTACACGTGTCGTACCCGACCCTCCTTTGCGGATTGCGTCTGTGGCTCTCATGAAAAGGGGCGTTATGACGCCGAATGAGATCACTCAATCCTAACAACGGTCAGGACATCGACAGAGTATGCCCGTCTATATCGCTCATAACCCGTTGAATCCGCTCAGCAAACACTACCAATCAGCTAAAATCTCTGAAGTAAATTAACCGCTATCACTACCACAGTACTCCCATCCCACCTTAGACACAGCCAGACAACAATCGCATCGATAACGACTAAACTCACGAATCATGTACACCCGCAACGAGCGCGGCGTCCGCCAGGGCGGCCAACCGCCCCAGACCTACGGCGAATCCGCCGCCTCCGGTCCGGCGCCCAGCACCGCCGGCCCGCACCGGCACGACATCCTCAACAAACTCGACCCGCGAGTCGACAGCACGCACGATCGACAGCCCGCAGCCACCTCGAGCAGCGGGATCCCGGAGGGGACCTACGGCCCGCACCGCAGCCGCATCGCCAACGCGCTCGATCCACGTGTAGATTCCGACCTGGACAGCACGCGGGCAGGCGCTGGCACCGGGCCGGGAGGCGGAATGGGTGGATCGGCTGCGGGGCCACCCATGGCCCACAGCCAGGCCGTTGGCGGCAGCCACGTTCCCGAGGGGATGTACTACGGCTCGAAACACACGACGCGAATGGCCAACGCGCTCGACCAGCGCGTCGATTCCGACAGGGACAGGCATGTGAGAAGGGGCACAGCCGGTGTGGCGCCAGCGCCGGTTGTGGGCGGTGGAATCGACGCGACCAACATGCCCGCCGGCACCACTGGCAGCTCCACCACCATCGCGGGCACGGGGATCTCGGCGCCAAAGACATCCGGGCCACATCGCTCGGATTTGATGAACAAACTGGACCCAAGGGTTGACAGTAAGACGGGGGCTTATCGGCGAGGACCTGGGACATGAGGGGCGGGCCGAAAGAAGGGAAAACGGTGGAATCGGATTCAGCGGAAAAGTAAATCGATGCTTCGTGAGGATCATGTCAGGGACCATATTGCGGACACTGTGGCAGAAATTGGGAAGTGGTTCTTGTTCTGGTGATAAATGGGCTCAAACAGACCAAAGAGGCAGACTGGCGATGGATACAAAATGATACCCCATCATATTCACCAGCAGTAGGAGAATGCGAAATAGGGAACAATAGTGCAGCTAGCTAGAAGGAAAGATCAGGAAAAGGTATCGTCCTAGCAACAGCCAGCCATGTCCACGAAACATAGGAGAATCACACCTCAAACTCCAGATCATCAAATCTTTCTTGCCTTGTGCAGTAATGGGTCCCAACCTTACACACCCCAAAACAAAATACACGCGCCGTAGCGTCTGTGGTTCTTTAGTCGAAAACAACGGGTAGAATGGGAGTCCCGGGTCGATAGCCCGAATCCGTCGCTGCCACTCAATAAGCCTCCTTGACAATGTCGTCTTTGCCCAGCTTATATCTGCTGCTAGCCGGCGTGCCGATGCGCCCCGAGCTTCTGCGGGCGGCAATGCCAAAGTCGCCCGCAATACTCTCGCGCGTCGGCCGCTTCAGACGGGCGTGGTTCACCATATTGACCTCGTGCGGGAGAGCGACAATGACGTTCTTGTCGGTGCCAAACTTGAAGTCGTCGGCCTTGACATCATCCGTGTAACGCTTGATGAGATACGGTGCCTTGCGTCCGTTCAAAACCTTTTTGAGGCTCCACTCAATGATGTATGGGCCTGTCGCAGTGATGATGCTAGTCTCCTCCGCGCCCTCTCCGGTATTGAACTTGGCCGGCGTGAAGCTAACCCCCTTGCCAGTCTCGTAGGCAAACTGGGCGACGTGCTCGGGTGTGAGCGCGAGACGGCGGGGTTGGGGCTTGGCATCGGCGGCAAACGACTTCTCAAAGCCTAGTTTGCCCTCGTTCTTGCCGGACTTCTGCAGGGCATCAACGAGCAGGAGGTATGTCCGGCACGTGGCAAGGACCCAGCGGCCGTCGGCGGATACATCAAGACCGATTATGGGCTCGCCGAGAGCAGGAATGTGGGTTTTGGCATTGACCCCGAGACGATCAAAGAGCCGTACGTCACCCTTGTTGGAAGCCACTGCGATGTAGCCCTTCTCCGTTGTCGCGATCGCGGAGAAATCGTTCTTGCTGGCATACTGCTTGAGCTGCGCATCAACGAGCTTGCTGCCTGACAGCCGAGGGTCCACGCGGTACAGGGCATTCTGGCTGATACCGAGGAAGGTCGGCTCGTGCGTCATCTGCGCAAACTTGTTCTCTGGCGCGAACGTTACCACGGGTATGTCATCGTGAACCTTCCATTCGTCAACAACTTTGCCGTATTCGAGATCCATGCGGTACAGCCTGTTCGGATCCGACTCCTTTTGCAGGATAAGATTTCGGTCTTCGTTGTGCAGCATGACCTTCTTGGGCGAAAACAGCTCGCCGTCCGGCGTCTCGACTTTCGAGATGTTGGTGCTGAACTCGAGGTGGTTGTTGGGCGTGTGCTTGAAGACACCAATCTTGGAGCCACGAACAACGAACGACCGATCATGCTTGTAGCCCACGGCGATTTGCTTGTTGACATCGCCATCCTTGGGCTTGTACTCCACATCATCCTCCTCCTCATCGCTGTCAAAATGCTCGCTCCGCGGCCGGTCATCATCGGCCTCCTCTTCATCTTCAACATGCTCTTCTTCTTCCTCCTCTTCAGGTTGCTCTGAATCCTTCATCGTCAGGTCATTGAAGGCATCTGCGACGTAATCACGCTCCTTGTCCTTGATCTTGGACCACTTCATCTCGTTGAGCTGCTCCCACAGGGCTTGCAGGAGCCCCGCTTGGAAGCGCTCGAGGGTGGCTTGGTCCTTGAACCGGAGAAGCCATGAATAAGCGGATCCATCGTCAGAGAACTGGTTGAAGATGAAGGAAAGGAACTCGAAATTGAAGACGGGGTTGATGTCCGCAACAACGGGAATTCCAAGCCAATCCCGGTCGGAGCTGCCAACCTGCAGCCAGTAATTCCAATCGCCGATCTCAGTCACGGTCGCCGTCACGGAGGCATCTTGGAGAACGAATGCTCCCGAAGGGAAGTCAAAGAAGTGGAGCTCGGCAACCTCTGCCGCTAGAATCTCGCGCGCCTCAGGATGGGCAGAGACTGCTGGAGGTTGCATATCCTTAGTTTTACCCTTCTTCGTGGGAGTCGTGACGGGATCAGGGACTTTCTCTCGCTTGGCGCTCATGTTGTTGGATGAGTTGCCTAGAAAAATAGACTCGGACGAGGCGATGGACCGTGTCACTGTCGGGCTGTGGATAGGGCTTGCCTGTGGGATGGGTTGCTCGTCAAACTCAAACTGGAGTAGGTCGTCTTCGGTGGCCGTAGTATGCGGCTTCCGGTACTTGCGCTCGTACTGGCACTGCCTCGCGACGCGCTGGAACTGCTCCACCTGGGCTGGGGAGATGCTCGTGTCGCATACAAACTCGTAGACGTCTCCCGCGTCGCCGCTCAAATCCCGCCAGGCGAGAACTTTCTCGCTGCCTTCCCTGTTCTCGACTCGAAAATGGAGGGCCTCGTCGAGTAGGAAAGTCTTTTCGTCGCGCTCGCCGGCGAGAATATCCGCGTCGGTCTCAGCGTCGTCGCCCTCCTCCTCGGCAAGCAATTCGGCTTCTCCCTCTTCGTAGACGCGTTGCACAACGAGCTGGTATTGGAAGTCCTGCGCGGTACGTCGAATTCGGGCGGACGAATCTTTAAAGATAAGCTCTGAGTAGCCTTTTGGCGAAAGCGGCCGAACGAGGTACAATTGGCCTTGTGGCAGCTCGATCAGGGATTCCTGGTTGCTGGAGCCGAAAAGAAGTTTTCCGACTGTGGTTCAGTTAGCGGATATGCTTCTGGAGGTGAGAATTTGCATGGGTGATTGTCCGGTGGAAAATGAGTTGGCGAGGAGGCGCTGGGTGGTTGTGGAGGGGTCCGGGGACTATTGGCGCTGCTACTTACCATTTCTGAGCACGAACATGGTGCCGAGGAATGGAAACAAGGATCGCTGACTCGCAGAAACGGGCCGTTGAATCGCCAAAGAAACTAGGAAAAAATGTGTCGTGAGACTTTTAAGTCCCAAAGGCGGTGGGAGGAGGAAGCAGGAATAAAACTTTCTTGCGATAAGATCGTCCCCTCTTAGGCAAACCTCTCTGGGCGCCTGGCTGCTGCAGGCAGGACACGATCGATCTCCTTGGCTTTGTGTGAGGGGCAGATAAAAGCTGCGTCATAACAAAAATTGCCCGGGTGATCATTGATGGAGGGGAAAGACGTGGCGGTGCAACAAACCAATCGCCACACTTGCTCCTGGGACAGTTGACGCCACATCAAGGCAGCAAGCACCTGCTGACTCATTGGGCTTGTGTGGCTAACGTTGCATTAGTTCAGAGCCAAAACTCACTCCGAGTTCACTTGCATCAAAATATGCACGCCTAATTAAAAGGATGCATCAAAGGAGAAAATCTAGGATAGATATCATGGTTCGATGCCTATCCCTCACAAGTCGCGAATCGGTGTCGGAGAAGCAGCTTGGTCCTTTGCCGGCTGGGCCAGAATATGCTGCTTGCCTTCCCCTACCAAGTCATCCACAAATACGGCACCATTGTCCGTGGCAGTCGAGCCCAGAATGTCGTCAACCAACAATCGGGCGACGTTCTTGCCCATCAGCGCGTTTGTCTCCATGGTTGAGATGAAGCTCTCCATGCCCGATGTGTAGTAAATCCCACGCCCGACGACAGGATCCTGGAAGGTAACGCGTGGCAGGGCCTTGGGGTATGAGTAAAAGACATGAGGGTAATACCATGAAATTGGACTGTCGCCCCCTGATTCTCCGTTGTTATCGATGAAGGTGCCCGGAACCTTGGCTCCAAGTAGATCACTGGATCCAACGGTCAAAGTCAACCACGCTGCCAAACCGCAAGATGAGAAGGATTTACGAACCTCAAGAACTCGGGAGTAATCTTGTTGGGAGAGAAGATTTTGTAGATATACTCCTTCCTACCGGTCTTGGGGTTGATGGCGTTGCGGAGAATGCTTATGCTAAAAAAGCCTGCCTTGCCTGCCCCTGGATCACCAGCCGCTGGGTCGTTGGCCTCGGACAACGTTGTTAGAATCGTGCCAGGAATGCTCGTCGAACCGTCCAAGCCGAAGAATTGCGGACTGTATCGGTGTGTCGATGAGAAGATCGTGACATGCAGCTGCACGTACGGTATCTCGTCTATAGGATCAGGGATGACGTTCTCTGCAGCCACAATATTGCTGAATTGGTAAGGGCCGGCAATAATGACATCGTCAAATGTGACTGGATATCTTGTTCCTGATGAAAGAGTTGAAGATGCAGTTCTAATGGCATACTGCGGGCGTGTCGATGTGGCTGACTCTTCCGCGAACTCGAGTGCAACAACGGACGTATTCAGGGCAAGAATAGCGCCAGAGCTCTCAACCATCTTGTGGAAGATTTGCCAGTTACCGCCTTCAACAGACATGGCACCTTCGGGAGCCATGGAGACCTGGCATGTGTCAGTCATAGATGGCGGATGATACGATATGGGGCGTGCAGCCAGCGCACCATGGTATCCAGCCCGTGTATAAACCCCAGATTAGAGGCATAATTCACCCGCGTACTAGCTTGTACAATGTCATGCGCGTAGTGATCGTCGATCTTACAAGTTAGCAATAGCTACTATCGCGGGACGATGCGACTTACCTTGTTAGCCTTCAAAAGCTCTTGGCCCGTAACTGCCGTGATCTCCACCAGCCCCAATTCGTGTGCTCGCTGCGTTAGAGATCGAAAAGGGAAGAAGGGTTCTTCGTACATGCGAAGGAACTTGTTGATTGTGGTTTGCATCAGCTTCTGAGTCCTGCGTGGTGCCATGAACCCGTATTTCCATATCACTTTGAGTGCTGTCCACCAAAATGGGCCCCGCTCATCAATCGTGAAGACGAACTTCTCGCCGTCCCAGATGCCCAAGACGGGATCCTTGTCCTCATCCGGTATTCTTTTGGATAAGTTGAATTCCTGGAGTGCGCCATAGAGGATATGGTTCTTCTCAATGAAGATGCTGGCGCCCAACTCGACCCGTAGTGACGGATCATCGTATGGGTTGATGGTGAGGGTCCGGCCTCCGATGCGGTTTGTCTTCTCAAAGAGAGTGATGTTGACACGGATTCCAGCCTGTTTAGCGTACGCGTTTAGGTGGTACGTAGCGGAAGATCCAGCCGCTCCAGCCCCTATTCATCCTCTTTGTTAGTGGGCGTGATGAGATCATGAGAGGTTGGGCACGTCGATGGCTTGCAGCCTCGCTACACATTACAAAGGGGGTGGCCGAGGCGCAGAAACCACGCTCAACGGGGAGACTGACCAATAACAGCGATTTGGTGGACGGTTTGGCCATTGTCTGTCTCCGATGAATGCGTTAAGCCGAGTCCCAAAAGAGCCAAGACAGCGGAGACGAGGTTCAGTTTGAGTCTCATGGTAATTAAGTTACAGGCGGGAATGTGTCTGGGACTGCCAAACGTCTCAATATACTAGGCAAACGGGACGAATCACAATATATTAGACCTGAGCACTGAACTCCCGAAAATTGTACAGTTGGCAAAGTTTCTCGCCCGTGAATTCCTCCGCTTACGACCCCGGTGGTGAGATGTTGCGTCTAGAGAGTCATAGTAAGATACCTCACTTCCCCGCCTGATTGAGAGCAGGAAGCTAGGTAAAACATTAACGGGAGGTATCCGTAGTTTTACAGTAGCTCACTGAAAGCATTTTGCTTTTGAGGCAAGTGAATCTGACGCTGAGAAGCGTTGGCCCGAGCTTCAGGTGGGTCACCCCTGCTCGCAGCCTTTCCCCTCCGCCTAAACCGCCCGCCTGGAGCGACAAGCACGAAAAAAAGTTCAAGATCGGTGACAGCTCCAGCAGAGCCACCTCCATATCGTTCACCTTAAAATTCGATAAAGCCGTCTTAATACCAGATTTTGGCAATGTCTGCTGCACAACTCCTGAACCCGAAAGCCGAGTCGAGAGTATGCCTTACTTGAACCTTCACTTGCCGACGCAGTGCTAACCAGGTGTTTACAGAGACGAGGGGAGGCTCTGCGGGTCAACATCAGCGCCGGCGAAGGTCTGCAAGATGTCCTGAAGTCAAATCTGGGTCCTTTGGGGACTATCAAGATGTATGCAACAACTCTGATGGCTTCGAGTTTCTTTGGCTAATCAGGAAACTAGGCTTGTTGATGGTGCTGGTCAAGTACGGTCGACAACCGAGCAGAAACGAACTGGTTGCTGACGGTGCCGGCAGATCAAATTGACCAAGGACGGGAACGTTCTGCTTCGCGAAATGCAAATACAGAACCCCACGGCAGTCATGATCGCGAGGGCTGCGACTGCCCAAGACGACATTTGCGGCGACGGCACAACATCAGTGGTGCTGCTTGTGGGCGAACTGTTGAAGCAGGCGGATCGGTATATCCAAGAGGGACTGCATCCTCGTATTATTACAGATGGGTTTGAAATTGCCAAGAACGAAGCGCTTAAGGTTGGTCTGCAGTCCTTCACGAACGGCCCGAATCATGTCCTGACCAGTACAGTTCCTCGACGAGTTTAAGCTCCCTCGCGAAGTCGACCGCGAACTTCTGCTCTCTGTCGCGCGAACTTCACTCGCTACAAAGCTCAGCGCCAGCCTGGCGCAAAAACTGACCCCCGATATCGTTGATGCCGTCCTCGCTATCTACCAGGCGCCTGCGAAGCCCGACCTACACATGATCGAGATCATGAAGATGCAACACCGGACTGCTTCAGACACACAACTGATCCGTGGCCTTGCCCTAGACCACGGTGCTCGTCATCCCGACATGCCGAAGCGCGTCGAGAATGCCTACATTTTGACGCTGAACGTCAGTCTTGAGTACGAAAAGACCGAGATCAATTCGAGCTTTTTCTACTCCAGTGCGGAGCAACGGGACAAGCTGGTTGAGAGCGAGAGGCGCTTTGTCGATGCCAAGTTGAAGAAGATTGTTGAGCTCAAGAAGGAGGTATGCGGTAATGACGGCAAAAAGAACTTTGTCATTATCAACCAAAAGGGCATTGATCCCCTGTCGCTGGATGTCCTGGCGAAGAACGGCATTCTGGCGCTCAGAAGAGCCAAGAGGAGGAACATGGAGCGACTACAGCTCGTTTGCGGCGGTGTTGCGCAGAACACAGTAGACGACCTTAGCCCTGCGGTTCTTGGATGGGCGGGTCTTGTCTATGAGCAACAGCTTGGAGAGGAGAAGTACACGTTCATCGAGGACGTGAAAGACCCCAAGTCGGTCACCATCTTGATCAAGGGCCCCAACCAGCACACCATCAACCAGGTTACCGACGCCGTCCGGGATGGGCTGCGGAGTGTCTACAACATGATTGTCGATAAGAGCGTGGTCCCCGGCGCGGGCGCCTTCCAGGTCGCCTGTTCGGCGCATCTCAAGAGCGATGCCTTCGCCAAAACCGTCAAAGGCAAGGCTAAGTGGGGTGTCGAAGCATTTGCAGATGCTCTCCTGGTAATCCCGAAAACATTGGCGGCGAATGCTGGCCTAGATATTCAGGATGCTCGTAAGTGTGATGCCTAGCAAGTGATCTGGCCAGGACTAACATTCCACAGTTGCCGCTCTGCAGTATGAGCATCGGGACGGCAATGTGGTAGGCCTTGACCTCACAACAGGCCAACCTATGGACCCAACCTTGGAGGGTGTGTATGACTCCTTCAGGGTGCTGAGGAACTGCATTGCTTCCAGCTCTGGCATTGCCTCAAATCTACTGCTTTGTGATGAGCTGTTGAAGGCGAGGCAGATGGGCCGGTCAGGTGGCCCTGGGCCAGGCATGGATGGGCCTGAAGAGTAACAGGTATTTCATCTTTACGTGTAAGATACCTACTTAGACATAGATCTAGGTCAAGAGATGGAAATACCAGTTAAGAACAATGTTTGTTTTCTGCTGCCGTTGGTCTTCCCCTGTTCCTCTCCAATGATGGCCATACCCCGAGGCAAATGGCGGGGCAGCAGCTGTGAATGACCCCGCCAGGTTTTTTTCAACTGTCTGCGAGCTCCCCTCCAAAAATTCCTATGTCCCAAGAACCTCGAAATCTGCCAGCACCTCAAAGTTGGAAGAACAGTGCTGCCTCGTCGTGGTCAGATTTATTCAGATCACCGCTATTGTGGTCAAAAAAGCCCATCAAACCATCCATACCTCTCTAGCTCCCTCCATCTCTGCGTAACGAGCCTCCACCCTCCCCGCCCATGGCGCCATACGATAGCGACTCTTCAGGTGCGGAAAACAACGACTTCACCGAGACCAATGTCTTGCTCGGCTATGCCTCTGCTGAGGCCAATGGAGAAGAAATCAGTCGATTAGGGGGCCGTCCGGTATGAACCACCGTTACCGACCGCTAGTGTTTGCTCTCTGCTAACATCGGGCGCAGGACTGGTTAGATACAGACAAACCACCCTCGGCTTCCCTCGCGAGATGCAGAGTTTGCAAAGACCTCATGGTTCTTCTCCTGCAACTAAACGCCGAGCTTCCGGACAGATTTCCGGGCCACGAAAGGAGATTATACGTTTTCACCTGCAGGAGAAAAACTTGCCGCAGGAAAGATGGCTGCATACGGGCCATAAGGGGAGTTCGGGTCTCTGCTGATGCGCCGGCGAGTAATGCTGGCAAGGTCGCCAAACAACAAAACCAAGAGGAGGAGCTCACAAAGCCGAAGGCTGCATCACAGGGCCTGGGCGAAGCGCTTTTCGGCGTCAAGCCGGCCGCAGGAACCAGCAATGTCTCCCGCGCCAACCCCTTTGCGATTTCATCATCTGGACCGGCTGTCACCTCGACGAACCCTTTCGCTCCCAGACAGTCGTCTCCCCCAGCTCCATCGCCCCCCTTAAGCCAGCCATCCACCCAATCCCATGCATCTCAGGAAGCAGCAAAGGACCTCCCCAAATCCTTTGCCGACGCCCTCAACCTCAACAAGCCCGACCTCGTTTACGGACCGCCTTTCCCTCCAGAACCTTGGCCCAAAGAGTCCGCCCAGCCTGCGGCGTACCCGGTCCGGTGGCTCGCAGACGCAGAGTACGAGACGCTCGACCCGACGCCGCTGCCTGCAGCCGCCACCACCACCACCACGGCAATGGACATTGACGCGGGCGAGGTTTCCGGCAGCGGCGGCGGGAAGGAGGACAAGGAGGTCTTTGAGAGCAGCATGGACTCGACGTTTCAAAAGTTTGCGGACCGCGTCGGGCAGAACCCGGAGCAGTGCATCCGGTACGAGTTCGCGGGGCAACCGTTGCTGTACTCCAAAGGCGATGCGGTGGGGAAGGCGTTGCACGCTGCTGCGGAAAAGGTCGCGGTCGGCAAGGGGATGCCCCGGTGCGGCAATTGTGGCGCCGGGAGGGTATTTGAGATGCAGCTCATGCCGCATGCTATTGAGGAGCTGGAGATTGAGGAGGATGGGTTGGATGGCATGGACTGGGGAACTATCATCGTGGGTGTGTGCGAGAGCGATTGTCAGCAGAGGGGGTTCGCGGTTGGGGAGGCTGGGTATTTGGAGGAGTGGGCTGGGGTGCAATGGGAGGAGTTGACTGTGAAGAGGTAGATACATTGATAAGGATGCAGGAGAATGGAAAGGATGGAAGGTATCAAGTCATGTCGTCATGTTTGGCATCTTCTTGCGAGGAATGAGGCTATGACCTGAACATAGAACCCGTAGTAGTAAATTCAGACAGACACCCAATTGCCATCCCGCCCGCGGCCTTTCGGCCGTGCCGCCTTAACAACCCATAAACGCCAAAGCTTTTACTGCCCGATGCAAGCGAGAAACAGCCGCCAGACAAAACAGCGGCCAGTGCTCCAATCGTAAATAATCAGCCATTCCCTGCCGCGAGAACCTTTCTAAGCCCTAGGCGCTCTCCTCCCATGCCCTCTTGATGACCCGGCTGAACATGTCTATTGTGACGTCCTCCTTGATCTCAGTCTTCTTCGCCTCGTTCTCCGGGTTCCTGGGGATCTGGATCATGCCATTGTCACCAATCCTCCAGCCGCACGTCTCGATCGCAAACTTCTTAACCTCGTCCTCGCTGTCCAGCCCCAACCAGCTTTCGAGCACGCTGACCTCCACCTCCCGGTATGCCTGGCTGACCAACTGGGCGATTCGCACCCGGATCATCTCCTCAAAGCCTGCGATGTCCGTAGTCAAGTCTGCGTAGATGTCGTCACTGTCCATCGTCGCCCAGAAGCGGGCATACTGGGCGCTTTCCAGCTGCAAGTTTAAATCCCGTAGCTTGGAGACGGCCTCGGTGAGATCTGAAGAGGAGTTGGGCCCCGGGTTGGAGTGCGATGGGGAGAGAAGATGGAGAGCGAGGCTAAACTGAGCCGAGGGGAATTGTGTCATGGCCTTGACCAGGATGTTGGTTACGACTTCATCCTTGATCCGGTCGGGGTTGAGCTGGTAACTTGAAGGCGTGATAGTCAGCATATGCCCCTGTTGCAGATAACGAACGAGTCGGAAAGGCAGAAGTTCTCCAATTTCAGATAGAGCTAATAGATTTGACTTCATCTGCGGTGGGTTGATTAGGCCCAATCCGCGGTCAGGTAATAGGAAACGTTTACGATTGCTCATCACCTAGAGATGCAAGAGAGAATGAGTTCATCAACACCGAAATCAACTTACAGTTTGAGCAGCGCCCTATTGGCATTGCAGTCGCAGAACTTCTCCTCGCATTGCTGTTGGAGGTATCCCTCGAGAATCTCGGCAGCCTGCGGGTTATACCGTTCGAGTCCGTTGATTATGTTGCGGATCTGCTCTGGCCGCTCTTGGGGGTCTTCGCCGTTCATGGTGGGCGATGTTGGCGTTTGCTGTAGCGGGGTTGCAGGAGGAAAATTCACTCCTCGGCTCTGGCTCAAACCTTCCTCAAAGGTGATCCAAGACGTTTGATGCGATGGTGGGGCAGATTTCCCGCCCTCTTTTTTTGTGTGTGCGGCACCGGCCGGAAGAAGCGAAGTGCGGTGGGTCCCTAGCGTTGGACTGAATCATGTGGTCCCGTGGTTGGCTCGCGAATTTGGAGACGCGCCACGTCCGGCTTCCGCAACGTCATGAGACTTCCGTTGGATACATAACCAATTCTTCATACATGGGGCATTTTGAGTATAGAGCTCAAAATTCCTAAGAGTATGTGCATTCCGGGTGCTTCCACCCATGACTTAATCAGGAGATCCAGCAGTACTGGAATGATACCTGACTAAAAGTATCCCACGTTGTTGTCCGTCTTTTCCTGACTTGGACGGCTTCGCAATTGGCACCTGAAGCCCTGCTGTTGATCTGTCTCATCCATTGCAACCGGAATTCACTTATCGCGTCTATCCATTCCCAGCTGCGACGCCATGGCGAGCCCAGCCAAGAAGCGGAAACTCAATCCGGACTCCAAGAATAGCTCTGCTCCTACGAAAGGGCTCGAGTACTTCTTCTCGAAGCAAAGACAAAATGGATCCCAACTGAAGGCATCTCCGAGCCCGCAGGCGACGGCACCCCATTCGCAGCAACCCCAAGTCCCGTTGACAGACGAAGAGCTAGCGCGCAAGCTGCAAGCTGAGTGGGATGCAGAGGTCGAGGTGGTATCAGATGCGACCAAACCGGCGCCGGAAAATGCGGAAACTTCAAGCCGGGGGCCTTCAGCGCCCGTATTGGGATCGTCTCCTCAACCCACGCCGGCTCCTCCTCCAAACCCGCCAAAACTACAGCAGGGAAAGGTCAAGGGCACTCTTTCGCTGTCCTCAGCAGCTGCGACAGAAGACCACGCTTCTGTATCCATTCCCCTTGACGAGAGCCCTTTAACCTTTCAACCGGCCAAGTACATCCCGCAATTGCAAGAATCGTGGGCTGCCGACGGAGGCAGTGCATCGTATGCCCTTCTCACGCGGTGTTTCGTTCTTGTCAACGGTACGCAGAGCCGCATCAAGATCGTGGATACACTTGTCAACTGCGTCCGCTTGTTGATAGAGGCAGATCCGTCCAGCTTATTGCCAGCAGTGTGGCTGGCGACTAACGCAATATCTCCACCCTACGTTTCTATGGAGCTAGGTCTTGGTGGTTCTGCAATCTCTAAGGCACTCAGACAGGTCTGCGGCCTAGATAGCAGGGCGCTCAAGGCCATTTACGACAAACTAGGCGATCCCGGCGATGTGGCATTTGAGGCCAAGAAGAAGCAAAGCTTTACACTGCGCAAGCCGAAGCCTCTAACAATCAAGGGTGTGTATCAGTCGTTGGTGAAGATTGCAAGCGCTCAGGGACAAGGCAGCGGTGATGTAAAGCAGCGAATCGTCGACAAGCTCCTACAGGATGCTCGCGGGGGCGAAGAGAGCCGGTATATCGTCAGGACGCTGTGCCAGCATGTAAGCTGCTTGACTCTTGCTTAACGTTCCTCGCTAATATGTCCAAGCTCCGGATTGGCGCTGTCAAGACAACCATGTTGATCGCCCTTTCCAGAGCGTTTCTGCTATCGAGACCGCCAGGCGCAGATTTTCCTGTAAGACACCCACAGGATTTGGCGAGATTGAAGAAAGAGAACCTCGCCGAAGTGTGGGCAAAGGCGGAGGAACTTGTCAAGGCCTCGTATGCGCGTCACCCCGACTACAACGACCTCATCCCGGCGCTTCTCCAGGTCGGAATCGCCGAGGAGCTGCTTGTCCTATGCGGTCTAACCATGCATATTCCACTGCGACCCATGCTAGGGAGCATTACCCGAGACTTGTCCGAGATGCTTACCAAACTCCAAGGGCGCGATTTCGCTTGTGAGTACAAATACGATGGGCAACGGGCTCAAGTCCACTGCGATGCCATCGGCAAAGTGTCCATATTCTCAAGGCACCTGGAGCTTATGACGGACAAGTATCCCGATTTGGTTGCCCTTGTTCCCAAGATTAGGGGGGAAGGCGTAGAAAGCTTTATTCTAGAAGGCGAGGTGGTTGCCGTGGACCGTGCCAGCGGCGAGTTGAAGAATTTCCAAACACTCACCAATCGTGCCCGCAAGGACGTTGCAATTGGTAGCATCACAATTGATGTCTGCCTGTTTGCCTTTGACCTAATGTATCTCAATGGCCAGTCCCTCCTCGATCGGCCGTTCAGGGATAGGCGCTCCTGGCTGCGCTCGCAGTTCATTGAGATCCCACACCACTTCACCTGGGTCAAGAGCCTAGACGCAACCTCACAAGACTCGGAAGTTGTCCTTGACTTCTTCAAGTCGGCGATCGACAGCAAGTGCGAGGGGATAATGGTCAAGATATTAGACAACCTTCCAGAGCTAGAATACCGCGGCGGTGACGAGACTGGGCAGACAGTTGAGGAACCACCAAAAGAAGAGCTGTCCGCTCCTCCCAAGCCTAAGCCCAAAAAAACAAAGAACGCCACCAGGTCCTCCGAATCCTCTAAAGATGCGCAGCCGGAAAGGAAATCGCGCCGCAAGCACCTTCTGGCTACGTACGAACCCGACAAGCGGCTCGACTCGTGGCTCAAGGTTAAAAAGGACTACTCGTCGTCCTTCGACACGCTGGACCTGATTCCCATCGCGGGCTGGCACGGGCAAGGGCGAAAGGCCAAATGGTGGTCTCCCATCCTGCTGGCGGTGCGCAACGAAGAGACGGGGTGCCTCGAGGCCGTCTGCAAATGCATGTCTGGATTCACCGACACCTTCTACAAGGCCAACAAGGAGTTCTACGACAATGGGGAGGACAGCGGCGAGCCCAAGAACACGCATCGACAAAAACCCAGCTTTGTTGAGTACGCGGGTGGCTACCCCGATGTGTGGTTTGAGCCGCAGGAAGTGTGGGAGGTGGCGTTTGCGGATATCACCATTAGCCCGACATACACAGCGGCTATCGGGCTGGTGCAGGAGGATAAGGGGTTGAGTCTGCGGTTTCCGAGGTTCTTGAGGAAGAGGGAGGACAAAGGGATTGACGAGGCGAGCACAAGTGAGGTCTTGGCGGCACTGTGGAGAAAACAGGAGGCGAAGGTCCCCGCGGCGGGGGGCAATGGAGAAGGTCTTGGAGATGAGGCAGATGAAGACGAGCTCATGGTGGAGTGAGCTCCCTCCACTGCGGCAAATCTACGCTACAATCCGAGTCCCTTGGAATGACGACTGCTATTACACCCTACTCCTTCCAGGCCCGATACACGATGCGGCAGCCGTACTTCTCCCCCTTCTTCAGGAGCATCTGGCCCTTCCACTCCGGCACGTTACACGCGTTGACATACCGGCTGGGCTCCACGCAGAAACCGCTGCGGGCCTTGCGCGCCGGGACGCCTGCGACTTCGGGAACGTCGATATACTTGCCAGTGTAGAATTGGAAGGCTGGCTCGGTGCTGTACACCTCGAGGTGGATTTTAGACTCGGGATGGAAGGCGCTCACGAGCTTTGTCAGAGGCAAGGGGCGGGTGTCGATGGGGACAGTGCCCGGCACCTCGTTGACAATAAAGCAGTCGTCGATATCCGGCTCCTGGGCACCCAGCGTGACTGGCTTGTTCGCTTCGACCTTGCTGAACGGCTTGGGGCCGCCGGTGGGAATGCCGCCGTCGTCGACAGGGAGATAGCTGTTTGTTGCGAGGGTGACGACAGTGCCCTCGATTGACGGACCCCCAGTGAGGTTGAAGTACCTGTTGTTTAGTGTCAATAAGTCGACCCGTCCCGTTGCTTCACAGCCTGCCGCGGAGAGAAATACTCACGAGTGGTTTGTCATGTTGATAACCGTCTCATCCGCGCCCCCCACCAGTTCCGCCTCGTACTCCATCCCGAGCACAACCACCTCCTTCCCATCCTGCACCTGCTTTCCAACGGTGTACACCACGCTGGCCTCGACGGTGCCAGGGAAACCCTCGTCCCCGTCCGGGCTGACCAGGCTGAACTTGACGCTCTCCCCACCGTCGAGGGAACCTCCTGGGATCCCGGGGATGTCGCGCACGCCGACGGGGGTCGGCCCGTTCCAGATCTTCTTGCCCCAGCCGACGACACCGCCGTGCAGGTTATTGGGCCCGTTGTTGGCGGCCAGCGAGTAGGTCTTGCCGCCGTTGAGGTCCTGGATCTGGGCACCCTTGATGCGGTTGGCCACGCGGCCGATCGTCTCGCCAAAGAAGGGGCCGTTGTGCTTTTCGTAGTGCCCCTGCTCGGGGAACCCCTGCACAATGTTCACCCCGCCGACGCGCAGCTCTTGGATGATGGCCCCTAACGGGAGGAAGGTCACAGGTGCGTCTGCCATTTTTTGCTCTGTTGTTGGTAGGGTGGTGGTTGGTGGTAATTTTGGAAGGTGGTTTGTGTAATGTGGGATGATGTCAGAGGTGTTGATTGAGGGGGGGAATTTGGAGATGGAGGGGTCGAGTTTCTCTTCTGTTCCCGTCCTTTTTAACTTGTGACGCTACGGAGTATTATCCATCCCATTTCCGGACTGATCGATAATCTTGTGCTTCCCATGATCACCTGCCAAAGAGGCCGAGTTTCATGCGCGCAAATGATCACGCTGCGTGTTGCGCTTGACAACCGTCTGATTTCAGGCTATATCCGTTGATGGAGGCGCTGCCCCTCTTTCAGTGGGGTTACCTCCGAAAGGTAAATTCCCGGCGCTGTGGATATTATAGGGTTAGGGTCTGGCTTACAGCAGTCGATCAGGGGGAAAAGACCAGGTCCACGCCCTTACTGGAAAGTTGAGTGGAAGTCACACTTGGAACCTAAAAATTGACGGAACGAGCTTCAGATCTCGACCACGTCTCATCCGCTACGCTTGTTGCTACGCGTGACCGATACCCGATCAACGAAAATCAATAACAGCGGAAACACCTCCCTACGTTCGGGTGAGGACTCTGAGTCTGAGGAGTAAAATCTCGTGCCCTTGTACCCATCTGAGACGACAATGGCGGCCCGGTGAGGTAGTTCTTGGAACTCAGTGAACTTGGCGTCCAAGTGGGATTGCATCTAATCCTCACTCTGTATGAGACGGTTCACGTAACTTACTTACATCCCAGAGAGGCCGTCAGACTGCGAGTAATGGCAAACTCTTTCGGTGGGCCAAGACGAACCAGGTGAGTCCCATCTCTCATTCACTGAGTCGACCACGCAAATTTCTGGGTCAAAAGGTACCATGGTCTATAGTAACCATCCTTTTTCAGTTTTTTTTGTTTTGTATAGCTTGGGGACATTAACATTAATACAGTACCGTTAATCAAAAGACCGCAGACCAGGACGTTTCTCAAATGACAGCCATGGGGGTGTAGATGTTGTAAGTCACTCAACAGTGGTGGTGTTAGAGTACGGGGACCCTGTGCTTGCCGTGGCAAGATGGATCGAATGGACTGACATGCGGAAATGGGTATCGACCTGGGCCATCTGATTCATGGCTTGCTGAGAGTAGGAGGAGGTGGTCGGGAAGACAGCCATGACCTGGTAGAGAAGCGCGTCTGTGACTCCGGCCATCTCACGGACAGCGGCAGGAATTCGGAACTCGGCCTGTTTATCCACGGTGATGAGGTCGGCTGCCGATGCAGTAATGGCGTCCATGAGCTCGAACACGCCTTGCACGAACTGCGAAAGACAATGTCAGCAATGGGCGACGGCTCCATGCGATAACGGAGTTGGCTTACATATGAATAAGACTCATAGATCAGCTGTTGGTCATTCTGGTCCGTTATCACCGGGGTCCGGATCATGACACCAATGGTAGAAAGACACGAATCCGAGATATCCTTGAATTCGTCCATAATGTCCTATTGAAGCGGAATGGAACAAGACACGTTAGGACAGCCAAAGATGGAGCTCGACGGCTCGGACACGGAGCCTACCTGGAATGGCCCCGGATTCTTCAGCTGGACAACGACGTTTATGAGATCCTTCAGATCGAAGGCCATACGGGCCAAGCTGTTACAGGCAACAATGATATCCGGAGGAGTCATGGCAGCGTCCGCAGGCCTCACGGACAGAAAAGCCCCGAGGAAAAGCACCAGGATGGCTCGGATCGGCCAGGCACAATCAAAAAACCGGCCGACCCTCATTTTGGACGAAGATCGAAGCGGCAGAAAAGACGTATAAAATGAGTGGACGAGAGCAATCGACAAGCTCTCAGCGATAACGAGCGGCAGGGTGAGCGAAACGACTGCGTGTGTATGAGGGAACGATCTTCAGAGAAGACGGTAAACGAAGGACTGACGGAAGGCTTGGGCGGTAGGAGAGAGGAGGTCGGCCACTTCGGTCCTCACCCGACGTAAAACGTGCAAAGCGTGCGAAGCAAGGATGCCGGGTTCTACGTTTTACCGCCACGACCGCCACGGTCGGTCTTGATAATGGCCGAAAATGCTTGGGTCAGTTCATGCTCGCTAGCGTGTACACACCATCGACGCAGGTGTCAGGGGTTCTATCGATTCCCACGATTGCTAAGCGAGGACAAGGCAGATTTCTCCTCAAGGCTCAAGAAGCTTCTGTCGAACGTGACGAAGAGTTCCAAGAAGCAGCCCTTTCCCGGGTGACTGTCACTCCGATGTGCAGAATCTTCCCCTGGTGGCGGCGGTAGCCGTGGGTTTCTGAGTGGTGTGCTTACCCGATGTGGCTATCTCTGCGGCATCTCGCACGGCTTGCTGTGGACGTGTCTGTATGTAAATGTACGTGGAGTGCACGCTAAAAAAAGGTTCTTTCTCTTATCTCTCGGCTTACTGCGATCATCTTACGGGTTGCGGGCCGTGCGGCTGAAGATCCTGTTCACTCAAAGAACCACGGCCAGGTTTCATCAGCCCTAGCACCACCCTATCGGAGCCATCTTGGTGGAATATTCCGGTCCCGGTCCTGCGAAAATATGAGGTACTACCTCCAGCCTTAACCATCTGTCGGGGTAGCGCTGGCAACACCGATGTGTGTCTTGATTGGATTGTTTCCGCATTTTCCACGCCTCATTCCCACAGGCCAGAAGTTACCCAATTTCTGTTATGCTTAATACGTAAGTCAGAGTTTCAAAAACCGAAAAAAAGGTTGCGGCTGGATGTGCTAAGGGAGAGCGTACCGGCCAGGCCGATGAAGTTCTCAACAAACCAAGGAGATTTTCCTGCGGGCCGGGATCTGCTTTCTGGCACCAGGGCGCCCCTTGCATCAGCGTTCTTGGCATCTGTGGCGGGCGCCTCTTGCTCGGCGCGAATCGGCGTCCATCCACGACACACGCTTCAGTGCTTCTGCAAAGAGGGTGTTGGTGACCTCCATCCTGCGTACAGCAGTTGATATTGGGATGATCTGATTGTTGTGATTCAATATCAGATTCCATTGTGATCTGTATTATGGTCATCAGCACGACTGCCTCGACTGGGCTAAAAAATGGGAATATGGAAGTTGCGAACTTGCGATGCCCGGTCGTTGTTGCTTCTGCAGCGTCAGGTTTCTGCCTAACTCCAGTTAACTGGCTGATGTCTCGCACCACCCTGGTTGCAACGATATGGCTAACAAAAAAAACAAGACAGGAAAAATAAGATACGGAAGGGAACTGTACTGTCCGTGTTTCCCCCGCCGAAGCCATGCAATCCAAGAGCACGTCGCTCGTAATTATGCCGGAAGCAGTGTGCCGCCCAGGCTCACCAAGATCAGTGCAGCTTCACTAACGTCGCCGCCGTGGAGTCTGGCAGGGTTTCGTTATGGTATGCTCAGCGGCTCAGCGGCTCAGCGGCTCAGCCTTGGGCTCATGAAGTGCCAGAGGTGGAGTCTTGATGCATGATGCATCCCACGCACTTGGTTCACATTGCCAGGGACACGCTTACACTATACGAATAGTGTGTGTACCAAGTACACTAGGCGGCGGGACTGAGGTGTGAATCATGGCTGCTCGGGAGGCGCTCGCTCTGCCTGACCGGAAGCAGAGAGATGTCAGATATCGGCATGGGAGGTTTGACTTTGTGACGGAGGTCTTCATCTCTTGCTTTTGCACCTGCGTTTTCAACCTTTCCTTCCACTATCTTCGTTGTCTGGTGGCACCTCTGGCTTGTCATCATCCCTTCGTTTCCCCTCCATTTGTTCGTGGGATGTCGGTCGTTTTCTCGTCGTTACGATGGTCGTGTCAATACAGTCGCTTTTCTCTCTCATTGTCCTTCTTTTCGCGCTATCTTCGTTCGCTCTTCCACATCAGCCTGAGTATGAGGCATACAATCTGAACCAGAACCCGACGGCAAGCTCGCCGTTGGAGTACTGGGGTGAATGGGAGGATCATGTGTTCCACCCATCGCCAGAGAACTGGCGGATGCCGTTCTACTCTCTTTTCCTTGACCGATTCGTCAATGGCGACCCTACGAATGACAACATTAATGGCACGGCGTTCGAGGTTGATATGCTCTCTACCCAGCTGCGGGCCGGCGGCGACATCAGCGGACTCGTTGACACGCTGGATTATCTACAAGGCATGGGAATAAAGGTTCGCAACTTCTTCCGTCGTCAGATAAGGGGATATTCGCTCACCGTTTGCCTTATCACACTATTACAGGCAATATACATATGCGGGAGCCCCTTCATCAACCAGCCGTGGATGGCGGATTCCTTCAGCCCCTTGGATCTGACCCTGCTGGATCAACATTTCGGCACCATCGCCGAGTGGCGGCGGGCGATTGATGAGATTCATCGGCGGGGCATGTATGTCGTGTTCGAGAACACCATGTCCACGATGGGTGATCTGCTGGGCTTTGAGGGCTATCTCAACACCACGACTCCTTTCAGTTTCACGGAGCACAACGCAGTCTGGAAGTCCACGAGACGCTACTGGGATTTCTATCTCGGAGAGGACTCAGTGGAGTGTGAATATCCCCGGTTTTGGGATGAGCATGGAGATCGGATAGGAGACGACGTCACGTCTCAAATGAAGACTTGTCGAACCAGTGACTTTGACCAGGTACGTTTACGTCCTTCGCCCGGTCTACAACCTCTCGCTAATCCGCCTCTTCAGTATGGAGACGTCGAGTCGTTTGGCAAGTACCCGGAGTGGCAGAAGCAGCTTTCAAAATTCGGCTTCGTCCAAGACCGCCTGCGGGAATGGCGGCCCAGCGTGCTTGACAAGATCAAGCATTTCTCTTGCATGACTATTGCCGCCCTGGATATTGATGGCTTCCGCATTGACAAGGGGCTCACCATCACTGTCGACGCGCAAGCGGACTGGTCCGACTACATACGGGCATGTGCTCGAAGGTTCAACAAGACTAACTTCTTCATCCCTGGCGAGATTGTCGGCGGCAATGCCCTCGGTGCTCTCTACTATGGCAGAGGAAAGGAGCCTAAAATGGCGGCCAAGACGATAGAAGAAAGCTACAACGCCACGAACGAGACCAGCCCTGGATCATACATTCGCACGAGCCAGGCACTGGACGCTGCCTGTTTCCACTACTCTGCTTACCGAGCCCTGACACGATTTCTCGGCATCGACGGTATTTATGGTGCTGAGATGGACACCAGGACCAACTGGGCCGAGGGCTGGGAGGACATGCTTCTGACCACCGACTTTGTTAATGCCAACACTGGCAAATTCGATCCCCGTCACATGTTCGGCGTATCCAACCAGGACGTGTTCCGGTGGCCATCAATCCAAAACGGCACGCAGAAGTATTTGGTTGGGGCATTCATCATGACCCTGCTGCATCCGGGAATACCCATCGTCAACTGGGGAGAGGAGCAGGCATTCTATGTGCTGGAAAATATCGCCGGCAACTATTTGTACGGCCGTCAGCCCATGAGCTCGACCATTTCCTGGGAGCGCCACGGATGCTACAAGATCGGGTCAGAGAAATATTTCAACTTTCCACTCGATGCAGCTCTTTATGGTTGCGACGATCCCAATGTCAGTCTCGACCATCGCGACCCCTCACATCCAGTCAGAGGCGTTGTGAAGCGGTTGCTGGAACTCCGCTCGACTTATCCCGTGCTTAATGACGGCTTTGAGATGCATCAGCTGTCAAACCACACCCACTGGATCTACCTTCCGGGCTCCAACGGCACCGGTACTGAGCTCGGTCTGTGGAGCTACGTTAGGAGAGGGCACGACGGGCTTCAGAATCTCACATCCCTGCCGCACGGTGAGGACGAGGTGTGGCTTCTCGCAGGGAACGAGAATCAGACCATGACGTATGTTTTCAATTGTTCGGATTATCAAACGGCACTTCTCTCGCCCTTCGCGTTCAATACCACGGTCAAGAATCTATTTTATCCGTACGAGGAGTACACACTTGACGCTTCGACGGTGAGGTTGAACGCAGAGACAGAGTCCGTCCGTGGATGCCTCGACAAGCTGGAATTTCCGGCCTGGGGTTTCAAAGCTTTGGTGCCCAAGGAGAGTTGGGAAAGCCCTGCTCCCATCATCACCAAATTCCTTCCCGGCCATGACTATCGTCTTGAGTCTAAACCGGACAAAGAGACATCTGTAGAAATCCAGATTCAGTTCTCGCACGAGATGGATTGCGAGTCGGTGTTCAACTCTATGGAGATCACGTCCAATACCGCCAACGGCAAGACTGCATCGTTCAATCATGGCTCTCTCCGATGCCGAAAGCTTGATGTCGATCCAAATGCCCCCAGACTCGTCGGAGAGGCGCCCTCGGTCTGGGAGTTCGCAGTCACAATCAATGCTATCCCAGACGGCATCCATCGGATCACTGTCAGGAACGCAACTGACCAAACCAAGACAATGACCACCGGCGCGGTGGATCATTTCCTCCTCCGCGTCGGGTTGCGCAACAATCCTATCGTTTTTCCTCGCCACGCAAACTATTCCACAACCCTGGTCCAGGCCAAAAGTGAAGATATCTACGTTCGCCATAATGCCGCCGGCGCGACTCACTTCCGCTGCTCCCAGACCTGGGGTTCGTCGTGGACACCGTGGCTCAACTACACCGGAGACGACTTCAAGATGCCGCCCAAGAACTGGACGGGGACGGACCTCCAGGCCTGGAGCGGCGAGCACGTCGTCTGCCAGTACTACAGTAAGCTGGCTGGTAGCAGCCACCACCAACAGGAAGGAGACCTAGACGTGTCCCGGCTGCCGCGCCGCTTTCCGCACCTTTTCGTCAACGGCCACTTCAACGCCTTTGGTTTCGACTCGGGCATACCCAACCAGATGACGCAGGATCCCGAGACTGGGATATGGACGTGGGAGTTCATGGCCGAGTGGCCGACAGGCTTGCAGTTCAACGTATGGGGTCTTAATCCCGACGGATTGCCGGACCAGACCTTTATATTTGGCGACGTAAACTTTGACTACGTCCTTGACCGGCTTGCCCCTAGTTCCCTGAAGCAGAATGTGGTGAATGTCACGGAACCTCCTCCGGCACCGTTTTTGGGATGGCGCTTCCAGATCGATGACTCGCAGCTGAAATACAGCAAATACCCCACGGGAAGCAGAGCCCGGCAAATCGCCATTTTCGTGCTGATGTGGCTGCTCCCGCTGCTTGGAGGTTGGATCATCGTCTTCATCTTTGCCGGATCATTCTATAAAGTCAAGCACAACATTTCTGGCAATGCCAAGCACGGTGGGCTGTCGGAGAAGTTCCGTCAGGCCTTCGAGATGAAGGAGAAGCTCTACCACCGACAGAATAGGCATTCAACGGACTTCCCGTCTCCGGGCCCAGCAACTCGCCCAGGGACCTCAAATGGACCTGGTAGCGGTGACGGACTTCGCATGGAGATTGGAGGAGCCAGGAAAAAGGTGCTCATTGCCACCATGGAATACGACATCGAGGACTGGAAAATCAAGATCAAAATTGGCGGTCTGGGTGTGATGGCTCAGCTAATGGGGAAGGCGCTGGGACACCTGGATGTCATCTGGGTCGTGCCATGTGTGAGCGGCCTGGAGAACGCGTATCCAGATGGGTACCCGGTAGACCAGCCTGCCGAGCCGATGGAGGTCACCATTCTCGGCTCAAAGTACAACGTGGCCGTGCAGTATCACAAGCTGCGCAATATCACCTACGTTCTCCTGGATGCTCCGGTTTTCCGCCTTCAAACGCCGGCTAAGCCGTATCCTGACCGAATGGATGACCTCGACAGCGCCATCTACTACTCGGCGTGGAATCAGTGCATCGCCGAGGCACTAAAGCGGTTCAACCCAGACATCTACCACATCAACGACTTCCACGGCGCGCTGGCACCCCTTTATCTGCTTCCGCGCGTCATTCCGTGCTGTCTGTCGTTGCATAATGCTGAGTTCCAGGGAATGTGGAGCCTGGGAACCGAAGACGAAAAGCAAGAAGTTTGCAAGGTGTTCAACCTGGACGAGAAGGTGGTGGAGCGCTTTGTGCAATTTGGCGAGGTTTTCAACCTTCTCCACGCGGGCGCAAGCTATCTCAGGGAGTTCCAGCACGGCTTTGGCGCCGTAGGCGTCTCCAAGAAGTACGGAAAGCGCAGCTTTGCCAGATACCCCATCTTCTGGGGCCTTTCCAAGATTGGGAGTCTTCCCAATCCGGACCCCTCCGACACGGCTGAATGGTCCCCGGAGCTTGAGGCAGCAGCACAGGCCGAAGAGGTTACGGTTGACCAAGCCTTTGAGGCCAGCCGGGGTGGGCTACGCCGGCAAGCACAGGAATGGGCCGGCATCGAGCAAGATCCTGAGGCTGAGCTCTTTGTCTTCGTCGGTCGTTGGTCCATGCAAAAGGGGGTGGACCTCATCGCGGACGTATTTCCGTCCATTCTCCAGAGCAACCCCAAAGTCCAACTGATCGCTATTGGGCCGGTGATTGATCTTTACGGCCGGCTAGCGGCCATCAAATTGGCCAGGCTGATGGAGCAATACCCCAGACGTGTTTTCTCCAAACCCGAGTTCACACAGCTCCCACCTTACATCTTTAGTGGTGCGGAATTTGCGCTGATCCCCTCCCGCGATGAGCCGTTTGGCCTTGTGGCCGTCGAGTTTGGCCGGAAGGGGGCGCTGGGAGTAGGAGCTCGAGTTGGTGAGTGCGCTTACAAGTGACGCAAACATCGAGTTCAGACAGCTAACGATCACAGGGGGTCTCGGTAACATGCCGGGGTGGTACTACACGGTTGAGTCCACGTCGGCCAAACATCTCATTCATCAATTCAAGGATGCGATCCAAGGCGCCCTGTCATCGGACACCGAGACTCGTGCCAAGATGAGGGCCGTCTCAGCAAAGCAGAGGTTTCCAGTCGCCAGATGGGTCGAGGAGATGAACACCCTCTACACAACCTCGATTCGCAAATCCCAAAAGCACCGGGACAAACCAGACCATCTGCGGCTTGTCGGCTTGAGCCGCCACACCCTCTCACGCCCCGCTTCCCCGACGCCGTCAGAAATGCGCGATGCCCCAGGTCAAACGCCTACGTCTTTCCTAAACAACAGCGAGGTTCCGTCGATCGTGACCCCGACGCCGGATGCGGGAACATGGCCCCTGCCGCCCCAAATCCCCCCGTCGCCCAACCGCAGGTTCTCGGGTGTCTCCATCACGTCCGTCACCAAGGGCCGCCGAGACTTTGCGTTGCAGCGAGTTGATCCCTTCTTCACCGACGCCGACGGCGAGTACACGGAGGAGTTCAAGCGCAAGCTCACCCAACTGGACGCCAAGACGTCGGAAACAGATCTCTGCATTGAGCAGTACCTCGTCCGCTCTGAGAAGCAATGGTTCGAGGACTACAAGAGCGCCAAGTTTGGCCTCTCGCGCAACACATCCAAGGTCTCGCTCGTGGACCCTGCCTCGGCGGGCCCAACCACGTCGCGCTTCCTGGACGTGCCGTCCCGCTCCTCCAGTCCCTTCACACCCAGCGTCAGATCATCTGTTTACTCTGCCACGAGTAACGACGGTAACGACAGCAATGACGGTTACGTAACTGCACCAAGGCGGCTCATCCCTACCACCGAAGGACAGATCCCCACGCAGGCCTCCGCGATACAAAAGTTCATGCTGCGCAAGGTGCTCGACTGGCCTGTCTACACTCTGATCCTGGCCCTGGGGCAGATCCTTGCTGCAAACTCGTACCAGATCTCGCTTCTCAACGGGGAGCAGGGTCAGACCGCCAGCATGCTGTACACCATTGCCTCCATCTACGGGGCAACGTCTATCCTGTGGTGGATCGGCTTCAGACAGCTCAAGTCTGTATGGGTTCTGTCAACGCCCTTCGCCGTGTACGGCTTTGCGTTCATCCTCGCTGGCTGTGCGCCTTTCGCGTCGTCGATCGAGACGCGCGGCTGGGTACAAAAGGCCGCGTCGGGGATGTATGCAGCAGCTTCGTCCAGCGGGTCCATGTTCTTCGCCCTCAACTTTGGCGACGAGGGCGGGGCGCCCGTACGGACTTGGGTCATCCGGGCCTGCGCCGTGCAGGGGGTTCAGCAGATCTACATCAGTGCGCTCTGGTACTGGGGCTCGCTGCTCAGCTCATATGACAGCAACGGCATCCCGGTGGCGCGCGCGGCGGGACCCGTCGTCAGCGCCGTCTGTCTCCCCGTCGCCGTCCTGCTAATTGCCCTGTCGGTCCTGACATTCCTCGGCCTGCCGGACTACTACCGCCAAACCCCTGGCTCCATCCCCTCCTTCTTCAAGTCCATCTTCCGCCGCAAGCTGATCATTGTAAGCTCTCCCGCTGTCCCATATTTTTGGTACTTAGCCAAACTAACCATACATCTTACAGTGCTTCCTCGTCGCGGTAATCATCCAAAACTACTGGCTGGCCAGCGTCTACGGGCGCAGCTGGCGGTTCCTGTGGACAACGGCCAACGCGCCGCCCTGGGCGATCCTCCTGCTAATCCTCTTCTTTTTCGGGCTGGTGTGGATCGTGGTCTTCCGGCAGCTCGCCCACCTTTCGAACGAGCACAGTTGGCTGTTTCCCATGCTGGCCATCGGCCTCGGCGCGCCGCGCTGGGCCCAGATCTTCTGGGGCATCTCGGGTGTAGGCACCTCGCTTCCTTGGACGGCCTCGCCTGTCACGGGCGCCCTGGTCTCGCGTGCCCTGTGGCTGTGGCTCGGCGTGCTCGACGCCCTCCAGGGCACCGGCATCGGCATGATGCTCCTCCAGACGACGACGCGCTTCCATAATAACTTTGCCCTGGTCGCGGCGCAGGTGCTGGGTTCGATCGCCACCGCGGTAGGCAGGGCTACCGCGCCCAACGCCGTGGGGCCCGGGCCCGTGTTTCCTAACTTGGCGCTGAGCCTGGACGGATTGGCGAATGGATGGTTTTGGGTTTGCTTGTTGATGCAACTGGGGGTTTGCGTCATGTTTGGCACCTTCTTTAGAAAGGAGCAGTTGAGTAAGCCTTGAGGCAGCTAGCTGGCTGGAACTAGGGGGAAATAGAGGGGTTCAATGTGAGGAGTTTGGCTACTATAGACAGGGATGGTTTCTTTGGCGAGTTCAATGTTGGTCTAGCTCGAACGTTTTACGTTTTTCATATCATGTTAGTAGAAGCAGTTCAACTTCCTCCCTTCGTTGCTTCTGGTGCCTTAGTTGAAGTCACAATTGTATATGGAGTCCAAAGTCTCACTCAAAGGCTGTCCCTTAACGCAATTGGCACCCGAATCTCGATCACTCACTCCCAGGTCATGCCCAACCTCTGCAAAAACGACCACAGCGATCCCTTTCTCACATACCCACCGTACAGACTCTGCCACCACGCCGCGAACGAGCCTAATCAACGTCAGCTCAGCTCATAACCAGGCATACCCCAAGGACCTGAAAGGAGAACCAAAACGGAAAGACTCACCAGCAACAGGCCCCTCCCTCGCAAATCCCAAAAGCCTCAGCAGCCCAGGCACCAACCTGGCCATGACCCCGAGCGCCAGCACCGTGAGCAGCACCTCGGCCGCCACCTCGACAGGGTGGGCCTTGGCATAGTCCCACAGCTCGCGGAGCTCCTCTTGCGCGAGTTCTGTCGCGCGCGTGTAGGCCTCGGTCAGCGCCTCGCCCCAGTCGGCCTGGTGGTCCTGGGCCCATCGCAGCGTCTCCTCCAGCCCCCGCAGCACCCGCTCTGCGAGGTACTCGCTCCAGCTAGTCGCCGGTCCGACATTATCTGAGATCTGTTTGGTGAGGGTAGTTGGGGACGGGGCGGTGCGGATTAGGGTGAGGATCTTTGTGGCGCGCTCGTCGTCATGGGAATGGTCACGGTTCTTGGTTTTTCCTTCCTGGTTATTCGAGTCATGGTTCGGTGTGGTGGTGGAAGGGGCTGGCTCGAAGCGAGGTTTCTCGGTGATCAGGCGGTACTGCTTGTGCTGGGTGGTGGTTGGAGCGGGGTGTGGGTGCGCGTTCGGCAGCCCGCAGAGGCAGGTCAGAAGTGATGTGGGCAGGTCCATGATGATTATTGTCGAGTCAGGTCTGGTTATTTTGATGGAGAGAGTGTCGAGCTAGATGGGAAGTACACCCTGGGTTTGTAATTTTGTACGTTTGGAGAGAGTCTGAGATAGATGAGAGATGAGGGGTTGTTGTTGCCTGGAGCCTTTCGCTGTAGGCCTCGCTGCATAGGCCAGGTCATCAGGCTTGGATGCTGTGTAACGTTAAACAGCGCAGTCCATCCTATTGTCATTCGTGCTTTCCCGAGGTCCTCTTTAGCAGCATGCGGTCCAGCATCGTCGCCAGGAGCGATCGTGGTTACTGACACAGAGCCCCCCTACCCACCCCCGGATCTCTGTCCTGCTCAACAGGGTAGCCAGACAGTATGACTGCGAAGAACAAGCCGCTCAAATGCCTTCGAGGAGAAAGGTAGGCATGGCCCGATTCCCGTCAAGCAAACGTCAAACCTAACGGATCAAACGAACAGCATTAAGTATTAACTGGCAACTGGCAACTAACGGGCCGTACGAGGTCCAAACAGTCGGAGCTGACCAATTGGCTGACTTTCGATTTCATCCTCTTGGCTACTGAACAATACGTTTGATTCACCATGTGGAAGGAGCGTTCCCGACTCAACGAGTTAAAGCGAAAGCAGAATTTGAAGTTGAAGTTTTGTTTGTCATTGAACGTTAGCCGTAACCCTAACCCTACACCCAGCGGTGCAACCTCCCTGTTTACTGTTTAGGTACTTTGCTTACTCTGGACTCCTGAGAGCCTGGACTGCTACACCAATTCCAAAGTACCTGTCTGTATCACCGCTCGCATTCGCACCGTTAATTGCGAGCATATTACTGAGCCAGTCAGCACGCATTGCAGCGAGTAAGCAAAAGGTGGACTTTCTATCTTGGTTTTGGGCGTCGCTGAGTCGCTGACTGAGGCCCCAATGCCCCATACAGTTCCCCGGAGCTCCGATTCCGGCACCTGGAATGCTCTCAGTCGACTTTTTACCCCCCAAAGCTTCACGAGAAAACCCGAGGTCCTTACACAGTCAACAACAGAATTAGCGAGTGCACGCAACATGGCCTGCAATGAGGTGTTCCAATACTCCATCGTATCAGCCCTCATGGACGGTGTGGCGACCCACGGCACGCCCATTGCCCGAGTCCTCGCCCAAGGCGACCACGGGCTGGGCACCTTCCGCAACATGGTCGGCGAGATGATTGTGGTTGACGGAGAAGTCTACCAGATGAAAGCCGACGGCTCCGTTGTTCACATCTCCAACCCCGAAGAGACCGTCACGCCCTTCGCTACTGTGACGCGATTCCGCCCAACGATGCACACAAGGATATCCTTGACAGGCAAGGAGGACCTCGAGGCCCTGCTGACGCGTCTATTCCCAGCCGCGAAAAACCACTTTCTGGCCGTAAGGATGGATGGAGTGTTCAGGAGGATCCATTTCCGGACCGCTGGAGGCCAGATATCACCGAGGGAGGGGATGGTCGATGTGTGTGCGCGGCAGACGGTTCACAGCTTTGAGGGCGTGAAGGGAACCATTTTTGGGTTTCGTTGCCCCCAGTACGTGATGGGAATAAACGTGGCAGGAGACCACATGCACTTTATTACCGACGACAGGCAAAGGGGAGGGCACATCTTGGCATTTGAGACCGAGGGCGAGGTGGATGTTGCCGCTGCGCAGATGTCCAATTTCCACCTGGAGTTACCGACCGAGGATGACGAGTTTAATCAGGCGACTTTGGTGCTCCAAGCTCAGGGCATTAAAGCGGTTGAGGGATAACGTTAACGCAAGTCTGTCAACTGCTGCTGTTTAGGTCAAGAGGGCGGTCGTCCAGCTCGAGCTACAGCACCAGTAGCCAAGTTGGTCACATATAGAAAAGGAAAAGGTTCTGATATAGACTGAATTGCAGGTAAACCCGGCTCGAGCCCGGGTCAACCACAACGGTAACATAACCGCATTGTCCAGTATTGATAGCGAATAATCTATGCTCAATACGGAATATTAACCGAGAATAGGGGCTTACGAGTACAAAATCCCACGTTGGTATCTTAGCTCACTCCTCTCCTTCCCACCGAATCACACAGTTGGAAAAGCCACCATGCCCGTGGAATCTGAAAGTTCAAGACCTGAACCACATCATGCCTACATGTATGCTTCGTACTGTCGTTGAAAGACGACGGTAAGACGTCCCTTCTGGTTCTAACAACCTGCAAACCTCGCAGGCTCACCGCGACTTAGCCGGCACTTTCATTCTTATTCCCAGTCCCTGACTGAGCTCCCTCAGGAGTCAAAACGAATGCCACTGGGCTGGGAGAAGTTAAACCACCGACCTGAAACAAAGAGAAGATGGCAGCCGTTGTTCGATATGTAGCTACCATTCTTCTGGCATCCAGCTGCATCGCGCTCAGCGCAGCTCCAAGTTCAAACAACAGAACATTTGGCCCTAGCGAAGAAGCCGCCCGGCAGAACGCCTTCGCCATCTTCAACGCCGTGCACTCGGCCTTCCGCCAGTGGGGCTCTTCGCTCAACCACAACGGTCTCTCGGCCTTTCTGGTCACGGTGCCCGAGGGCGTCGTCCTCCATCACGGCACTTCAAGCCCAAACCCCCCGCCAGGGCCGGAATGGCTCGCCTTTGAGATTGAGCACGCCGAGCTCTTCGCTCGCCCGCGGAGGGAGAAGTGCCCTACGAAATATGGATGCCCGCCGTACTCCAAGCCCACTAATCACCACCCCTCACTGCATCACTCTGAGCAGCAGCAACAACTTGAAACCACCACCAAACAATTTACGGGCGAAACCTTAGTGCACCAACACGAACCACCTGCCGATGAGCACGACGACTCCGACTCCGACTATGGGGAACACGGCTACCTGCACCTGTACCGCACCACCGCCCCGCTGCGCCTGCTCTACCTAGACGGGATGAGCGCGGGCAACACGGCCATGGGCACGCTCGATCTGCAGGACCTTGTGCTGCGCGGCGAGCGCGACGCAGACATCATGGACGAGCAGGCCCGCGCGGCCGCGCTGTGCGCCCTTCTGGCCGCGGACTGGGGTTTGCACGGCGTGCTGCGCATGGAGGCTGGGTTTGAAATCATCAAATGTGCGCCGTTCCTGGACGGGATGGAGTTACTGGAGGCTAATCGGCGTCCTGAGCGCAGGCCTGGATTGAGTTTCGGTGGTGGTGGTGGTGGTGGTGGTGGTGGTGCGAGAGAGGGCCCAGGTGGCGGGACGGAGGGTTACACCCGCGTACACACGCTCGAGCTGGTGCGGGCGCTGGCGCAGCGGTACCACGGGATTGGCGGCGGGAGGGTGGTGGTGGACTACTCCAGCATGGTGTCTGGGCTGTTTTACGACGTGAATCTCACCAACCCTGACGCCAGCCGCGCGGCGTTGCCGAGGCTGGTTGGGCTCTCGGACGGGGAGTTGCGCGGGATTAAGGAGAGGGTTGAGGAGGTGGTACGAGCAAGGCGCGAAGGTGGGAAGAGGGTTGTTGACTGGCAAGGAGTTACGGATTTGATTGTCGCGAGGTATGCGGACCGGCTCATGTACATGGCCTGGCATATCGATGCCCTCGAGGACATGCAGGGCGAGGTCAATGCTCTGCTGAATACTTACATCGACTATGGGGCCGAGGACAAGGGATTCAAGGCCGCCACTGCGCGCTGTTCGAAGCATTATACCAGAACAGTGCGACCTGAGACGCTAGAGGACGGCGTAATCCTCACGGCCCTCGAGACCGTAACGTTCAGGATCTGCCGAGTCTTGTTCGATGTGCGAGAGTTGGTCGTTGGAGATACTAAAGCCGGTGAAGAGGCCTTTACATATGCCAAGTTGATGCTGCGAGGGCTCATGGACCAGTTGAGGTGGACAAGATGGAAGGAGTGTCTTGGTTGTGGTTACCATGAGGTTTGTTTCGTCCCTATGTGGCCATTTGGCGACAAGGACTCGTATGAGCGGCCAAATTGTAGGAACGCTACCTCCATCCAAAATGGATGGCGGGACAACGGGTATTGGGAGTGGCCCAGAAGACGGAGGCCAGGGCATGGACAGCTCGGGGAAGATGTCGAGGATAAGCCAGGTGATCTATGAGACTGACATCTGTCCATTTGTTCACGTATGAGATACCTCAACTTGTTGTTATTGCATTGCAGAGACAGGTGAGGTATACAAAACTTTGAAGACCGTGGTTAGGTTTGGAATGGGTAAAAATGTTGATACATCTGCGAAAAAAGCAGAACCACACCAAAAGAATGACTGCGTCAGCCGCGAATCGAACGCGGGGCCCATCGATGGCAACGATGGATTTTACCACTAAACCACTGACGCGTTATGATTGGATGAAATGCAGTCCCCGGAACACAGCTGTTGAGCATCTTCCTACCCGTCGGTGTATACCGCGACCTCGGCAGCGCCCCTAATGTTCCTATGTGCTGTAGAATTAAGGGCCTAGAAGTAGTCGCTGCTTGATACTCTGATACTAGGAACTTCATCCATTAGCCCGTCTTGCTGCCAGCCCACCAATGCACCTGCAAAACATGGGGGAAGTAGAGTAGTAAAACCGCATGAAGTCGTGAGAATGAGTTGTCTTGTACTCCGATTTTGCTGCCATGGTTCCTGTCTGGGTTTCAGTGTCCATTAGTCATGGTCACCCTTCTGGCCATGACCATCATCATACGCCGTAGAGCCAGCAGAATCAGCAGTACGTCAGGTCCATGGCATGATGGCAACCAAACCTGTTTCAACCGGCCGGTGGCGGCTGAGCGTCTAGGTAAAGATTGAATGGTTGCTGGTGAACAATATCGCTATTGGAGCATGCGATTTCAGTGCGCCATGACTAAGATTTTCGGCTTGTCATGGACTTAGCCTCGGACGATGAAGGCATAAGCACTCGCAGAGAGAGCAGGCAGTCTTCTGATGATTTGGATGCAAGAGCTTCCAATAATAAACCAGAAGGAGCGAACAAAGGCACTGAGTCGTAGATCCCATGGAAATGGCACGCACTCTCTCAACGTGCGGAATGTTTCGTTGAAGAGATCACTCGAGCTCCTTCCGCGATTGCTTGATATCTGCAGGTGGCTTTAATCCCGCTCAGTTGTTGTTTTCCTGTCACTTTCCCGTGAGTCACAGAATACGCAGGAGCACATATTCAACTCCATGTCCCCAAGAATAGGTAAACATACATGTACCTATCGAGTCTTGTGCTTCGACAAGTAACGATAGTGCGGTTGGGTCAATAACAATGTGATCCTAGGCGAGCATTTGTAAGGATCTGCATAGAAAAGAGTCTTCGTGTCATACAGATCATCCTCAACTCTTTGTGATGCACTTATCCAATGTTCTAGTAGAATGATGGGCCGTGAGTCCACAATGTCAGCATAAAGGCAACTTCACATCAGGGGTAACTTACAATACGCAACCCCAATCTGAAGGGTGCCATGTCGATGATGATGTCGTCGCGATGTTGCGCTCTTGCACAAGATTAAGTGACCCTCGGCGAAAGGGGCTCGGCGAGGGGAGCTCTTTCTTGCTCATGACCATCGTTGCTCGCAGTTTTCCAAACACGACAACAAAACCTTTTCTTCTCGTAGCTGTGAGAAGGCACCGATCTCTTCTTTTCACAGCAACAACTTGAAGCCAACAATCCGACTGCGAAGAATCGTACTGTAGCAAGCCACCCGGCCGGACTTGGTAGACAAGCATCAATCAAGGCAAAGCACGCCGAGATGGATGACACTGAAAAGACCAAGACCGGACTGCCCGTCGGGCCTCGTGGTAATGAACCCAAGTCGACGGACGCAGGGAGCCATTACCCCCTCTTCGCCCGGCCGCCCGAGACCCCAGTTCAGCGCTTGCAGCAGACCCAGTCGGCGGCATCCAACCAGGCTTCGACCGCGACTCCCATCATCACGGGTTCATCAAACCCCGTCGCCTCTTTCCAACGCTCTATTGCTGTCACCCAACAGGGACAGGGAAACAGCCAGCACCCGCCTCAGCAAGCCCTTCCGCTGCGTTTTTCAAACCAACAGGCCCCTACATACCCTCCCTCCATCCTGAACAGCTTGTCTCGAGCCCTACCACCGCCTGTCCCCTACCCCTCTCACTATTTCCGCAACGAGCATGAGACCAAAAGCACAGCATCCCAGCACGGACTGGACTGGAAAAGGCTGTTCTCTTACGTCACCAACAAGCTGAACGAAGATACTCGCGAGATGCTGTCCCAGCCCGTCCCCGATGTCTTTGATTATTACGGCGAGGAGCACGAGACCAAGAGCAGAGCAGCCAAGGAGGTGCGGGACTCCATGAAGCGCTCCTCCGACCTCCAGGACAAGTTCATGAACTCGCTAGATCCTGGTGGGGTGTTGCACGTATCCAAGAAAGACTTTGTGAACTTCGTGTCCGCCATCGGGGTACTTTCCCAGGTAGGACCAGTCCCAAGTATCTCCGACCTCCGGGCGAAGGGAGTGCAGAATCCTATGCCCAGTATGAGCTCTGAGGTCAACCAGCTCCAGCATCGACAAGAGAGCCAACCCGTCGCTCACTCGCCAGCCCAGAGACCCCTCGCCTTTGCAGATCTCCTCAATCTTGCGACCGCCCGGGCCCCGAATCAAGACCCAACTGTTGTGGCTCGCCCTAACCAGGGCCTTCTGCCCTCGGCGCTCCCAAAGCGGAAGCTCAACACCGCGATTCCATCAAATCAGCCCTTGGCGCAGAACGCCGCGAATGCGAATCCGTCTCAGCAGGTCAACCAGGGCCTCTTGCCTTCGGCGCTCCCAAAGCAGGACCTCAATACTGCGATGCCATCGAATCAAACCTTGAATGGTGTAGCTTCCCCGAAGCAAGGTCTGTTGCCCTCCGCGCTTCCGAAGCAGAATCTCAACGCTTCCATGCCGCAGAACTGTAACCTGAGCGGTGCGAACACGAATTCCATTTGGACGAACCAGGGCCTCTTTGGCCTGTTGCCCTCGGCACTTCCGAAGCAGAAATCCATTCTCGAATCCGCTCCGAATCAAGACCAGAAACCAATGGCTCGCTCGAACCAGGGCCTCCTGCCCTCGGCGCTCCCGAAACAGAATCTCAACCCTGCGATGCTGCCAAATCAGAGCCTGAGCATCGCGAATACGAACCCGTTCCAGAAGGCCAACCAGGGCCTGTTGCCCTCAGCGCTCCCGAAGCAGAATGCCAATCCTGCTCCAATGACACCGATGCACAACTTGAACGCCGCGAATGCAAACCCCTTCGGCCAGGCCAACCGGAGCCTATTGACCTCCGCGCTCCCGAAGCAGAATGTCAACCCTGCTCCAGTGACACCGATGAACAACCTGCCCGCCGCGAACGGGGACTCGTTCCAACAACCCCCGCAGCAACCCGCTCAACATCCTATCCAGGAACAACCCGTCCAGGAACAACCCGTCCAGGAACAACCCGTCCAGGACCAACCCGTCCAAGACCAACCCGTTGAGGAACAGCCCGGACTAGGACTAGGAATAAAAAAATGGACCGCCGGGGAAGTCGAGACCTTCGGGTTGGGCCACGAATATGGCTTCATGTCGGGCTTCGAGTGGGGCCAGATGAACATCCAGAGGACCTCGTACGCCGCGGGATTCGAGTACGGGCGTCGGTCGGCTTCGCCCGTCGCTTACAAGCTCCACCTGGCGGCTCTCACCGAACTTGCCTGGCAGGCGCGCGTCATCCAAACCAACCACCGCGAGATGCTCAGGCAGGGCACGCTCGAGAAGTCGCTGGATGATTTCGCCCAATCTGCTCAGAAACTCGTTGAACTTACGGTCGAGGCCGCGAAAAAGGAGGAGTTGACCTCTGAGGAGTATCGCGAGGTCGCTGAGAAGGGCAAATATTCAGACTTCTTGTCCCTGGCGGTGGCGGAGCCTGCTGTTCCCGAGCGGAGTCCCGGGGAAGACGGCCAGCCGGGCCCGGCGGGGGCTATGCCTCAGCTTCAGCGTGCTGTTCAAGACCATGTCCCCGAGCCTCGTCTCGAAGATGACCTACAGCCTGCTGTTTCCCAGCCTTGTTTAGGTGACGGCCTGCCCGGACTGGCGGTTGCTCAGGCTCAGCGTGTTAACCCCGTGACGCCTCTTCTTGACGGCGGCTGGCCGGGCCTGACTGTGGCTCAGCCTGCTACTCCCGAGCCTCGTTTTGACAATGGCCTGGCTGGTATTGGTCAGCCTGCTGTTCCTGAGCATCACATCGGTGACGGCCTGGCGGGCCTGGCGATGGCTCCGCCCCAGCCTTCTGCTTCCCAGGAGCCTCGTCATGGCGATGTTCTGGCTGGTAGTGGCCAATCTGCTTCCCAGGAGCCTCGTCTTGGCGATGGCCTGGCTGGCATTTGTCAGCCTGCTGTCCCTGATCTTTCTCCCGGCGATGTCTTCGCATTGCGTCAACTCTTAATGAGTCGACTCGCTGATCCCCTGCCTCGTCTTGGCGATGGCCTGGTTGGCTTTAATCAGCCTGCAGTCCCTGATCTTCTTCCCGACGATGGCTTCGCATTGGGTCAACTCGTAACGGGTCAACCTGCTGTTCCCGAGCCTCATCTTGGCGACGGCCTGGCGGGTATCATCGGTTTGGTTGGTGCCAACAATGGTGTGGGCGGTAACTCGAGTGGTGATGCTGCTCTTGCTGGCGGTGGTGTCGCAGGGGGCGTTGACATGATGGTTGGCATCGAAGGTGCTGTGGGTGGTGGTAGCAGCGACGACGACGATTCTGTTACTCTTGACGGTGATAAAATTGGCGGCGGCGACGGTCTGGCTGATGGTGGTGGTGCCGCGCTGGGTGATGTTGGTGATGCTGCTGCCAATATTGAGGACGTAGGAGAAGCTCACAGTGGTGAGACTAGAGAGATGGTGAAGGATGGAGGTGATGAAATGGACATTGATGATGGGTTGAGAGAGATGGACGAGTCCCTGGATTTGATGGATCATGGGGAGCTCTTTTATCCAAAGGAAAAGCTGTGAAGTTAGGAATCACAGCCTAGTGTCAGTGGGGATGGGGACAGTATCAGGTACGGAAAACTGTGCATTCACACGGCGTTGGCTCAGTCTGGGCATGGAGCGGTTTTTATAATGATGCCATGGCTGGGACAACTGTTGAACTATTGTCTAGACTACTTGTGTCTTTAGAGAAATCTTGTCTTGAGAGGTCAGGTACTGGTTTTCTGATTGCGACAACTCACATCTTGGGGCATTGTGAACAAAGGGTGAGAGCATCCCTTCGATAATGCATCGTTATTGTCAGCACAGAGCGCACAACCAAACCCTCAAACCTGGAACATTCACCACAGAGGTGCAGGTGACCAACGAGTATCCAAGAACAACCTCAAAGGAGGTGTGATCTTTTAAATTCATGCACAACTTGCTTCAGCACACTGTCATACTTCAGGGTATTTCGCATTTCAAAGGCTATGCATCCAAGTTCAACACCCCCGTCCACTCCCCAGGCTCATGCATATTACAAAGATATCTTGAGTGAATCACATAAGAAAACCAGAGGGACCAATCCATTAATCCGACATGCCCCAACGGGGAGCATTGATGATGATGCCCATCAGGCAGCCCGAGATGATACCGGTCATGGGAAGCGTAATGATCCAGCCGCCGTAGATCCAGGCGACCATACGCCAGTTGATGGTCCGCCACGTGCCAGAGCAGAGACCAACACCGACGGTAGCGCCAGTGATGCACTGGGTGGTGGAGACAGGGAGCTCTGCAGATGAAATTAGCACCCATGTGTGTTGCGGATGGACAAAAACTAGATATACTTACTCAGCCGGGTGGCCATGATGACCGTGATCGCAGAGCCAAGCTCCATGGAGAAACCACGCGAAGGTGATTGCAGAGTCAGGCGGTTGCCCAAGTTCCTCATGATGTGGTAGCCGTATGTCCAGAGACCAATGACCAAGCAGGCACCACCGAAAACCAGAATCCAGACGGGAACCTCAGCTTTGCCCTTGGCCGGGAGAGCCATTTCGTTCCAGATCTGATAGACGCTTGCATAAGGGCCAATAGCATTGGCGATATCGTTCGCGCCGTGGGTGAAGGAAGCCGTCATAGCGGTCATAACCTGCAGGAAACTGTACATGTACTCGGCCTTGTTGTCGTAGTGGGCGGCGTAGGCGTGCACCTCATCGAGATTGCGGGAGAGCGCGCTCTTGTTGTCCTGAGCTTTGACCACATCCTGGTCGACACCGCGCAGCAAGGCCCACTTGACGTACCAGAAGAGCACAGGGACGGAGTACCAAACGCCTTCGGGCTTGGGGCCGACGAGACTCTTGCGGGGTGGGGCCTGGGGAGCGCTGGGGCCCTCAGAGCCAGCGTCGGAATTCTCGCCATTGGAAACCTTCTTCTCGGTACCCTCAGCACCAACACCTTCAACGTCGCCACGCTCGGCAGCTTTGCGTGCCGCAAGCTCCTCCTTGGTGAGGCGGCCCTCGTAGTAGTCCTTGACGACTTGGACATCCTCGGGCATAGGCGGGGGAGCAGGGCGGCGAAGCAGAAGAAGACCGAGAGGAATATGCCACCAGCGGAGCTGCCAGTCGTCGCAGAGGACAACGCGGTACATCCAGGGCACAATCGTGATACTCATGAGGAGACCCCAGCCGGCACCTACGCCAACGATCGTGCCGGCAATCTCGGGATCAGTAAGGTTGATGGTGTAGCCACCGCCCTTCCAGAGAAGCAACATGGTGAGCAGCGCAGCCGTGAGGGCGAAATAGAAGGGGACGTAGAGCAAGGCTTTGACGGCAGGGTTCTTGCGCAGCATGACGCCGTACTTAGTGATTGTGAAGAGGATGGCGGCGAAGCAACCAGACAGGCCAGGCGCAATGATCCATGCAAGGAAGACTTGGACAACGCCAGAACTGATGGTCGCAGTACCGCCTCCGGAACCGACCCACGTAATACCTATCAAAAGCCTTTTGTCAGCAACGTTTTGGGTTCGGTTCAGATGCTCATTCAGCCTTACCACTAGTACCAACGGCGGCAACACCCATGCCGATTACGCCGCCCATGATGGAGTGTGTGGTGGAAACGGGCATGCCAACGCGGGTTGCGAAGGTCAGGTACAGCGAGGAAGCAACCACGGCGCACACCATCCCGAGCATGAGAAGCGCAGGGTCATTTTCGAAGAGGGACGTCTTGATAATGCCCGTTCGGATCGTGTCGGCAACGCGGGCACCCACACCGACTGAGCCAGCAAACTCCATTATGGAGGCGAGCACCATTGCTTGGAGATATGTCAACGACTGTGAAGCGACCGAAGTCGCCCACGAGTTGGCCACATCGTTGGCACCTGCAAGGCAAAATCTCTGTCAGTCACCATTCCGAATCTTTGAAGGGTTGAGCAACAGATGCTCACCAATGTTCCACGCATCGAGCGCGGCGAAAATGGTGCCAATGGCGAAAATGTAGTCGTACTGATGGAAAGGCATCGCGGCGGACGGGCAGTGCCTTGGCGCCTTTTTACTGTCGCGTGCTCAAAAAGAAGCTGCAACAGCAACTCGGGCGGGTTGAAGAGATCGACCTTGACTGAAGAGGAGATGCAGATGCAGGCCGGAATGTCTTGGTATTTAAACCATCGGGAAGGCAGGGCCTGCTCGAAGGGACCTGATGTAGCACACACGTGTGTCTTGGCTTCGCCCACCTCGCTCGGTTGCAGAGAGAGTTTAGCCCCTCGATTGTTCGCTAACGTTGAGGCGGAAGCCCATTTTGCACACCACCCACGGCGGCGCCGCGTCTTGGCGGCTCGATAGACCCACCGAGGTCGAGAGCAACAGCGGGACTTGCCATCCTGTCGAGGGACCTGGATTTGCTGTTGTGCGCCAGAAACAGTCCAATACCGCGGACGAAGAGGGGGGTCCAGGTATTTCAGGGCGGTCTTGGCAGGCCGAGTGGGTCAGTGGCAGATGGGCCCTGTGCGTCTGCTGGCCTCTCAGAGCGTTGCCTTCAAAACGTGCCCGGCGGAGACTGCTGGCGTGGGCGCACCTGCTCGGTCAAGCAATCAGGAATCTCAGCAGTTGCTCTCGAGTTGTTTGGTGTGGGAAACAGTTTAGCGTTGCATCTTTGTTAGCTGCATGGCGCCTCCCGCGGCCGATGCACAAGCTCCCTACCCACGCAACATGGCTTGGAATGTGGATATGGATAACCTGCAAAGAATGACCCTATTCCGCCCTATTTGCGCTCACAGACATCTCAGATTCGGCAGAAACCATGTCCCCAGAATCCCAAAGAGATCAAAAAGCAAACCTACAAGACTTGGCTTCTGGTTCGCCTCACCGAGCACGTCAACCTGCCGGGCCCGCCACGCCGGGATTGCCACTCAGTAGTGAACACTAGCATAAGAAACCGCAGATTCTGTTCCTCGGCGGGTCATCCCCATATTGGTGGCGAGCATGGTCTGGCCGCCACTGGACTGGGGGAGACCCAGCAGGTAACGGAGCCGCATAACAGTTAGATATTCTACATTATCGACTTTGATTCAGGAGGGTTCAAGCCAACAAACAGGCCCATTCATCTCCTCGCACGTGGGAATTGTCCAATAAGTGGTGGAACACAGAGCGTAAGACATCGGCACTAATTTTAAAAGTACGCCGATTCACCAAGCTCCATCTGCGCAAAATTCTGGTGTTGCAGATTCGATAATTCGAAGCACTCGTAGCATTTGGAAGTCCCGATCTTGAGACGTGAGGTTGGATGGCATGCGCGCCAAGAGCGGAATCGTGGCTTGGCATTGTGGGGCCCTGAAATCCCGGCAAGGGACAGGGATCTCGATTGCCAGCGCAGCAGCCAATCATGTTGCGAGAAACAGCAACGTGCCGCAACGTCCAACATCCACTCGCTCGTTCAACTCAACGTTGGGGTTGTATCTTCTTCCCTCTGCAGTCTGCACACTTTCGTCGCTGGCAGATGCGAACGAACCACAGGTCCAACCACACACCGAACGACAGAAACAGGATTCAGGATGCGGACCCGTGATTTTATCATTGCAGCCAAACGCTAGCCGGGCAACATACCCGAACAGGCATGTCGTCGATTTCCGAGGCTGAAGAGACGCATGTGCTTCTCGCTGCAATGTGGGCAAATGCACAAACTATTGTATGTACGGAACAAATCTTACTATTCGCTGGCCACAAGCGATGTTCGGCACGGGTAAGCCGAGAGGCCTCACCGAAAAGCCTTACCAACACAACATCACGTTCGCCATGACTAACGGCTGGGTTGGGTGTTCATCAGTGTAAAAAAGAACTCATCACTGTCATCAGTCGCCAGTCGCGCCTAGGCAGGAGAGCTGCCCGGATTCAGGACCGACCCAGAGCCCAGGTGAGCCACCTCGCCAGGAAACGCTACCTCATCTGGGACTCGGCTCTGCTCTACGGGGATCTTCGAAAATCAACCAATGAAGCGAAACCTACCTCATCGACAGCGAAACCAAAACGCTCCCGCTTGACCTTCCCACGCTCCCACGCTACCTACACTTCCGCTAAGCATCCTTGCTGACCATTCAGGTATATTACACTGCATGTGTAGTATTCGATACTATACTTCGCAAACATCCCGCTCTCTCCACATTACAGACAGAGGCGCACATGGCGTGCTGGTCAATGTCACACTGCATCTTTCCAGTGTCCCGTCGCGGGAGTCACTACCATGGTGTCGGGACTCTCCGCTTGCTCTTGGAAACCTGGCCATGGAACAGTCGATATTGTGTTTGACATGCTGGGTTTGATCAGCGTCCGGACCGTCTCCCTGCTGTGTGATCGGCTACTACACGAGTGGCAGCCGGGCTGTCATGGTAACCTGCTGACCTGCATAGGGGTCTACTCCCCCTGTCTCTCCAGATTAGACGCTTTGCGATGCCTATATCAGAACCCGAACCTTTAACTGCAGGTGGCTTTCCTGAGTAGCCTTGAGTACATATCATGGCACAGGCCCAATGACTTGTCGGACTGACTGGAGTGGCGTCTGAGACTCGACCGCGTTGCGGCGGTCAAAATGCCTGGCCCAAACGGCAGCCCGCTTTGAGCCTCGCATACGGAGGCAGTCTCTATATGATGAACAGTGCACTTCGTAAAATGACAGCACTGTCAGTCGACTCCACCCCTTTGGGATCTTGAACTCGTCGGCCACCGCCAACAGTCTCCACATGTAGACAAATGCAACCACTGCTCCGAGAGAGCCGGTTTGGATCGGTGGCGGTTTTTGCCCCTGCGATTTATCGGACAAGAGCAAAACGCCTGGCATATACACAGAAGTCAGAAGCAGAGCCTCATACTCCGTACGCCAAAGAGGCGGTTCCGGCCCCCACGCTTTTCCGGTCTGGTACTTTGCCCGAGGCAGAAAACATGAAGACCGTTACGACCGGACAGGCCGGTGCTAGAGGCAGCATGCTTCCGAGGTTGACGTTGCGTCCAATGGCACTACTCGGCACCAACATGAGTGTGCTGCTCTGATCTTTACCTGGATTAGCCAACCCGATGGCTCCTCAATCTACGGCGCTACGCCGCTTGAATCAATCCCTCACTCTTACGGACTCAGGGTCCGGAATCATTCACTAATGTACCCATGGATGTCCGCATCTCCGCTCCACAGTAGCCTCGGACGGACAAACATCCCAGTCGGGCCGGGTGGATTCGGGGGTTTTCTGGCCTCCCTACTGTCAGTGTCTGGTATGATCCCTTTGTAACCAGTCCCTAATTATAGCGTCACCTCCTCCTCCGCCAATAACAACACAGAAAAGACAGAGCAAGAAGAATGTTCAGATCAAAAAATCTGTTTGCCTTCAGCGGCTGTCCAGAGTGAGACTTCCTCTGCTGTGGCAGTCTATGTCCAGGGCTAGAACGATCTTCCTGGCTACATCCCGAATCTTCCAGACTTCAACGATCTAAGGGAGGGGCCTGGACGCCGGCGGATGGTGTGCCCGGAGCCCTAAGATCATACCGCCCTGCAGTCCAGAGCCGTCTTCATTGCGCTCCCTCCGACTCAATTTCATTGCGCTGCCCCTATCCTCCGGATTCGAATCTCGAACCTATCGTGGACGGATTGAGGAATTGCGCAACGGTCACCGTTGGGAAAAGAGGAAAAAAGAGAAGGAGGAGGAGAAAAAAACTAGAAAGGAAAAAAAGGCGAAGGGAGGGAGAAAAGGGGGCCCGTGGCTTTACATGTAGGGCGAAACAAGTCCCCTTCAAATGCAACTTTCAACTTTCACGGCACACACGAGAAGGCTGAAAGTTGCCAGAAAATACTTCAGACATAATTCGAATCCTCCACGTTTGCCTCCCACATCCGCCATTTCTACTAGCGAAGTTGGCCCCTTGGGCACATCGATAGGTGTTAGTTACTGTTAGAGCCGATAGCATCTCCTCTCTTCGTAATCCAGCAACCTCACTGAACATGGCCATTTCCCTTTCCTTTCCCCTTTCCTTTGCCTTTCCCCTTGCCTTTGCCCATGGCTTTCATATTGTTCTTTCCCTTTCCTTTGCCTTTCCCTTTACCCCTATTATTTGCCCCATCTTGCGCGCAATCGCCTTGCGCCTGGCCCGGAATGGGAGTAGCAGTCGCAAAATCGCAAGCAGTGTCTGGCAAGTCCGATGGCAAGGCGACGTCTCCTGTTGGAGCTGGGTTAGGGATGGTGATGGGATGTGAAACGTCCTCAACATCTTCACTTGCTGCAGAACACCAGTCAGCGCTCGGGGTAGCGTCAACTCCCTAGGCGGGTTGCGCTCACTGGATCCAACATAATCCGTCGGATCAAATTGCCCGTTCACTCCATGATCCCGCTCATCCAGGGAAGCGCGTCCATATCGAGCCCACATAGTGCCATGTACCGTACGAGCACCGTCGAGGCGTCGAAGATGATAGGCCGAGGATGAGCCCCAAAGCAGGAGCAGGGGAAGGAGGGCGGCGTATAGTGACGAGTAGATTTTCATAATTGCGAGACGCGGAAATGAAGACTAAGTCGGGTGTAACTGGAATACACCGAGGACCGGTCAGGACTCAATGCCGACTGGAGGTAAACAAAGGGGGCCTATAGATTGAGACTTAAAGCAACGACTCGGAATCAATGGTGATGGAGTAGACCGGAGCAAGAGGTCGTTGCAGTCACGGCGTCATATAAATATGGTCCTGTGCAATGTCTCAACCCTGCATCCAGTCTGCTGGCTGAGTTACGGGCCTCTCACTCCAGGTCTCTGGGATTGCCCATTGCCGCCTGTAGTAAGGTGGCATCTGGGGATGGCGGTATGTCATACATGGCGTTGTTTAAGGCCTTAAGTTCAAAGGAAGCCACAATTGAGGTCAGTGCCTAACTGGAGGTACGGATTGGTGCCTCTGTGAACTGCTATGTATGTCTGTACAGGGGCTCAGGGGTTGACTGGCCAATCCGAAACCCCAAAGTTCAGCCTCATGTTACAGAGACGGCGATACGCTGCGAAAGGACACAGGAAGGCATGCGATAAGCGAGCTGGCTCAAATTGTTGGAGACTTTAGTGGTCGAATATCCATCATGGTTTCAAGAGTTTATATAAGCATCAAGCTCTACACTACATCTAAGCTCTTAGGTACGTCACAACCGGCTGTACCTGAACGACTTTGGCACCTTCTATATGCCTTGTACCTTGATGGAATTCTATACTCTAACATTACTGCAGTCCTAAGAGTTGCTCCGTCACTATCTCGACGAAGAAGCCAAGACTTAGATACTAAAGAGAGGCCGCGGAAAATGCGAAGAAACCTAAGAGTTGGCACAGCACAGCAGCTGGGCTTTTGTCATAAGGCTACGGTTTAATGATGACAGTCCTGGGATTTTTTTATGAGGCTTACTGTTAAGGTCTTGTCTTGTTCTGAAGCGGGGAACCCGCTCCTGTTGGGCCAGAGTTGTTGATGTTCGTCCCGCGGTCTTGAAAGGGTCTCCTGACGAGTCCTAGCACTGACCTGACCTCATTTCTTTACCCCAATAGAACATCAGTTTATCTATCTCAGCTACCTTGAGCATCATATGTTTTCTTGCAATCAATCATAAGCAGTTTATATGAGCGCCAAGCAAGGACCATCCAGCCTGGCCCTCCATTCCAACCCCTTTATGCCATGCTATAACTTCTCTCCGCCGTGCCTTGTCACCAACGCAAAGCAAAAGAAATAAAGGGTAACAAGAAAGAAGAAAAAAGGAACAGAAGAGATAGGAGTTGTGGACCGTCGACGCGTTAAGCCCCAGTTGGAATCAAGGCTGGAATCCATCACTTGTGAGTTGGACCTGAGCTGCTCCAAGTCTTCGGCAATGGTTCAACAGGTGAGTTGCACCGACAACATAACCTGAGGTTGCACACCGCCATCTAAGACTTCGCTCCCTGCATAGGATGCACCTGCCTCACTAGGTAGGTACCTCTCTATGCCAGCAAGCGTACTGAAAGAGCACGCCCTACCAAATTCGGACTTGCGCACTCAATGTTCAGGCTCGGCTCCTGCAGTGAAGATCAGGGGCGTTGATCAGGCCAATGTCCACGACGGTTCCCAACGCCGACCCCATACCATAATGAGTCCAGAGCACCTAGTGGCAACGTCGATCGTATTAAGGGGCTTAAAGTCGGGTGAGGGCGGCGACAGCAAGTGAAACAAACAGTCCGGCATCGAGGGCTGCGCAGCTCAATCCTAAGCCGATCTAGGGCAAGTGGAAGTCAGACCCGAAGGCTTGCATGCTCATCCAGTTACACCCGACGCGGGGTCTCGAATCGTGCCATTGTCGACCTCAACTCAGCAGGCAGGAGTGATCGGGGTAGTGAGGGGTAACCGGGTAAGTCGCTACCCGACTCTCGGGTGAAGAGCGATCGGATATGTTCTTGCGTAGAGGAAACTGCGATGCTGATTACCTCTTGAATATCCTCCCGAGTGAGTCCTCACCCATCCTCTTTATCCAGGTCATATCAGTACATCCCAGCCACCAACCCGATTGCATCACCTCTCGAGTGTTCCTGTGGCCTGTGGTCAATCCACCCGCAAACCAGGTTGGCAATGTCGCCCTCAAGCACTCCAGATCAATCCCACCTCCCCTCCCATGATCGAGTAGTCCCGGGCTCGGTGAACCTTCCACCGGCGCCCTGGCCTCGCACCGCCCCGCTCCCTTCAAATCCATCAGCCTTCGGCCCGTCCGCCATTGCCGCGCAGACCGTCACCGCGCTCAACACGGCGCTAGCAAACGCCGACCCGGCCGCCGTGGCAGCCCTCTTCCTCCCGGATTCTCCGGAAGCAGAATGCTCTGATTCCCCCAATGCCACGGCAACCGGCTTTTGGCGCGACCACCTTGTCCTGACACTGCAGCTGCGCACCCTCAAGGGCGCCGGCCGCATCCGCGCCTGGTTGGAGGGCCTCGTCCCCTCGGGCCATCTGCAGGGTGTCAAGCTGGCGGTGGACGAATCGTCCGCCTTTCGAGCGCCGCATGTTGTCGGGTTCCGCCCCGCGCCGGGAACTGGCGAGCAGCAGGTGGAGGGGGTGGCGTTTTTTCTGTCCGTCACCGGCCCGTTTGGCAGCGGCAGGGGCGTGGTTCGCATGGTGCACACAGACGCCGGCTGGAGGGTGTGGACGCTCTTTACCACCCTTGAGGCGCTACACGGTGTTGAGGAAGCTAGAGGGCCCCGCAGGGAGGTGGGCGTGCAGCATGGCGCTTGGGTAGGCAGGAAGAGTTGGGAGGAGAGAAGGAGGGAGGAGGTGGAGTTTGTCAGTCCGGATGGCAAGGAAACAGGGCCGGAGGTGTTGATTATTGGTGGGTTTGGTTGCGGTTTGTTTTTGAAAGGAACTGACTGGGGATGCTGACTCGTCATCATGTGCCAGGTGCTGGACAGGCAGGCTTAAGCATTGCTGCGAGATTCAAGATGCTTGGCGTGTCGGCTCTGGCGATCGATTGCAACGCCGCCGTGGGAGACAACTGGCGGAAACGGTACGCCCAGCTCGTTCTGCACGACCCCGTCTGGTACGACCACATGCCGTACATTCCTTTCCCGGACTCTTGGCCGGTGTTCACGCCCAAGGATAAGCTGGCCGACTGGTTCGAGTTCTACGCCAAGGCTTTGGACCTTAACGTGTGGATGTCTACCAGCTTGTCCTCGTGCAAGTGGGACGACACCAAGAGAGAGTGGACAGTTACTGTCAACCGTGTCAGTCTGCACGATGGCCAGGTGCAGGCCAGGACCTTCTACCCAAAGCATATTGTTCTTGCCACAGGCCAGTTCGGCAAGCCGAATATGCCCCAGATCCCAGGGATGGAGACATTCCAGGGTGACATGCTCTGCCACTCAGCACACTTTGCGGGTGCTAAGCAGTCCGGTAACGGCAGAAAGGCCATTGTCATCGGCGCTTGCAACTCTGGGATGGACATATGTCAGGAATTCTTCGAGAGGGGCTACGATGTGACAGTAGTGCAGCGCTCCTCCACTTGTGTTCCTTCAAGCCCTGGCGTTTTGAAGATTACGTTTGGAGGGCTGTACGAGGAAGGGGGCCCGCCCGTTGAGGACAGTGATATCTCGACCCATGGTTGGCCTAGTGAGGTTCTCAAGTCGATCCAGGTTGATCTGACTCGGAAGATGGTGGAGCACGACAAGGAGATGTTGGATGGATTGGAGGAAGCCGGCTTCAAGACTGACACTGGACCGCACGGCGCTGGTATATTTGCCAAGTACCTCCAGAAGGCCTCGGGCTACTACATTGACGTTGGCGGCGCGAAACTGATTTGTGAAGGGAAGATCAAGGTCAAGCAGGGTCAAGAAGTGGTGCAGGTTCTGCCAAGAGGGCTGAGGTTTGCCGACGACACCGAGCTGGAGGCGGACGAGATTGTGTTTGCCACCGGGTACGGTGACATGAGGACCATCGCAAAGGGTATTCTCGGGGACGAGCTCACCGACAAGGTCGGCGGCACTTGGGGATGGGACGAGGAAGGTGAGATGAGAACACTCGGGAAGGAGAGCGGCCACCCTGGTATTTGGTTCCATGGGGGGAATCTGGCCTTCTGTAGGTATTATTCGAGATTGTTGGCGCTGCGTATCAAGGCAGGCCTTGAAGGGTTTGATGATAGGGCTTAGAGAGGCACGGCGGGGAACCATTGAACTAGCTATTTTCATTGCTGCTCTGGTGGTACAGCAGAGAGCTCTGTCATTGTTTTATTAGCTTTAGATGCACACCCCTAAAAAGCCTTCTTGATCACACAGGGCGCCAGAACTCCGTCCTCAACAGTGCCGTTTCCATCATCAGTCTTGAGAATCCGGCTTCTTCAGAGAGTTGGCATCGGCCAATCCCTCCGTTTTGGTATCTCGTTCAAGTTTGATGGCGCTCAGGGTCACAAACGCCCGCTCAATGTCCCCCTTGACATCATACATGTTCATAAACTCCCCTGCTTCATCCAGGAAAGCTCTGATCTTGTCCACATCGTCTCCAATACCTGGTTCGGCAAAAGCATACACGCGACCAAACTTCCGAGACAGTTCCACCACCTTCTGGGTACGCTCTATGCGTGCGCAGTTATATGTGGCGAGCGCGATGTTTATGTCGTCTAGCTTCCTCACCCCCTGGAACAACCGGTTGAGCATTGCCGCGTCCTCGAGCGCTTGGCCCGCCCCGTTACCGGCAAAGGGTAGAGCGGTGTGGGCGGCGTCTCCAAAGATGGAGATGCGACCGCGCGTGTAGTACGGCGCAGGGTCATGGTCAAGTGCTCGCCAGGAGGCGGAGGGATCGTCGGCGATCATGGAGATTATGTTCTGTGCAGCGGGGTGATAGTCCGTATACTCGGCTGGGTCGAGCGGTGGCGCCTGGTTGTCGTCGTCCCCGTCGCCGGGCACAGGAGCTACGCCGCGGATTGCAATACCCGCACTGAGCCGCTTGCCTTTATTGAGGGGGATGCAATTTACATGGCCGCGCGGGCCGAGCATGATGGGCACCGTGCGGGTGTATTCCTCGGCGATGCGTTGACGGGCAAAATCGGACGAGACAAGCGTGCGGTAGATCTGCCAGCGATCGTGATTTTTTGGGGCCGCCGCTGGGTGGTCGGCGCCGAGCAGGTAGGTCCGGACGCGGGAGTGGACACCGTCAGCGCCGAGAACGCAGTCGACGGTTGCAGCGGAGCCGTCAGAGAACTTGAGACAAATCCGTCGGGCCTCGCCAGAATAGGGGCGGATCTTGCAGAGGCGTTTGCCAAAGGAGATGCAGTCTTTCGGGATGAGGGCAAGCAAGCCCTCAAGTAGATCGGCTCGGCTCACGCTTTTGCGGCCCTTGGCCTTACCGAGCTCGGCAACGAGAGTGCCTGCGTGTGGGCCGTGAGCCATGTAGACGTTGGTGGCGATCATCTCTTCCTCTTCCGATGTAAGTGAGAGGGCCTTGTTGATGTACGCTTGCCGGACCTCCGGGCCGATGAGGGCCATGGCCTCGAGGGCGTTGCGATGCAGTGCCAGACCAGCGCCGACATCTTCGTACGCGCTAGCAGCCTCGTAAACGTGCACATTCAAGTGCCTTTGCTTGACCAATCCGGCTGCAAGGGATAGACCGGCGATTCCACCTCCCACGATGGCGACAGAGATGGGTCGACTAGTGCTCGTGTCCATGGCACGGCTGCGGCAGGTTGTGATTGCAGAGTGTTGTGAACTTGTGATGAAGAGAAGTGACCGACTGGCCGTTCTTCCTCTAAGTGTCCTTGAAATATAGAATACCCACCTCAGAAGTTCCAGCACAGATCATCTTTGCATAGCTTAGTGACCTACTAGGTATCCGAGAGCAGTTGGCGCGGTCTCTGAGACGACGGTGTCGACAATCATTGTCAAAGCTCTGCTTGTACTGCGTCGGGTTGTCCGGCTCTGGTACCTCTACACATCTGGACCAGAGTCAGCAGTCTACTCGTTATGGTTGCGATTGGGCGTAACGGCGTTACCGGTATGTTAGCTCAACGGTTGGAATTTGAGGCTGCGAATGATGGGCTCAGAGTGTATCCATATTCGTGCTTCAGAAAGCGCAGTGATATGAAGCTAGAATGCTACGGATGTTCTCCTAACCGTATAACTCCCATACTGGCAAGAAAATGCGCTGTTCGACAACTGGATGAGTATATGAAAGAATACTTACCTGAGAGAAGCAGCATGGAAGATGCGCTGCATCCCCATTCAAGTATGTCACCGTCTTAGACTCAGCTGCTTAATGTATCCTGGCAACGGAAGCTCGTGCAACTTCCCTAACGTCGCTTCTTAACTCCGGCATTCTTGATGCAGGGTTCAAACGAGCTGCAAGATGATGGGAAGGAGCGTCAATGCCTTCGACCGAGTATTAACAAGGCGCTCTCGGCAGCCCCAATGCTCCTTCCTCACTCTACCTAAGCGTAGCCCTGTTGGATAAGTGTCCTGACGGAAGCCTGGATTAGCAGTACCTTGCTGAATTCTTTTACTGAATCCTTGCTTCATCCACTCCTGCTCCCCTGGGACATTCGGCCCTCGGGTGAACACGGGCTCCTTTCTGCAATTGATACCGAGAAGACATTTAAACATCGTTAACATGAAGCCAACTTTCTTACCCCTAATATTTGGCACATTTCTGGCTGTCCCTCTCTTCGCGGCTCCCGTAAGACAGTCGCCTGAAATACCGGACTTACCTCGACTAGTGCTCTACTACCAGACAACGCATGACCCGTTCGGTCGCCCGATATCCATATTGCCCCTCGTCACAGAGAAGCACATCGCCCTGACGCACCTCATCGTTTGCTCCTTCCATATCAACTATGGCGGCATCGTCCACCTCAACGACCATCCGCCTCAGTCACCACTGTTCTACACACTTTGGAACGAGACCCGCGTCATGCAGGCTGCTGGAGTCAAGGTGATGGGCATGGTGGGCGGTGCAACGCCGGGCGCCTTTACTCGGTCCACCCTTGACAGCGCCGACGTTCAAACTTTCGACGGCTACTACAGCCAACTGCGCAACGTAATCGCAGCCTATCGACTCGACGGTCTGGACATTGACGTGGAACAGCGGATGAGCCAGAAGGGGATCACGAGGCTGGTCCGGCGGCTGCGACAGGACTTTGGGCCTGATTTCATCATCACGCAAGCACCCGCCGCATCGGCCCTGCTGCGCTCAGACGGCGCCCTAAGCGGGTTTAGCTACCAACAACTAGAGAACGAGGTTGGCGCGGACATCGCCTTTTACAACACACAATTCTACAACGGGCTGGGCAGCATGGTCGGTGCGGACACGTTCGAGAGCATTGTCGATGCCGGCTGGCCGCCCACCAAGATTGTGGCTGGACAGCTTACCTCGCCCGCAAATGGCGGCGGTTTCGTGCCGCACGAGCAGCTGAACAAGACCATCACGGAGTTGCGAGACAGGTACGGCGAGATTGGCGGCATAATGGGTTGGGAGTACTTCAACAGCGCACCAGGTGGGCGCGCCCGTCCTTGGTATATACGGCCCCTCTTATCGATGGCTTCGAACACGACGTGATGTGGCTGACTTTATCGGTTCAGGGAGTGGGCACAGATTATGACGGCAATTCTGAGGCCAAATAGCGTCCCCGTCCTGACAGTCTCAGATGCGACTGCCAGATCGCTGCTCCAAGCGTGGAAAGCGAGCACGTTTTCAGGAGCGGCCGAAAACCAACCAGACCGCGAGACAAACTCAGGTCCAAGCGTTGATTACATGGCCATGGTCGTTGGCTAAACAGACGCAAAGTTGAGATGGTCAATTGAGTCACTAGAATTGATGGTGTGCCAGATGCCTTGATCCCCCTGAGTGGCACTGTGAAATGACAACAAACAAAACAAATGCTCCTGACACGAAGCTTGGCAAAATGGTCGGACCACCCCAAACCTTGACAGCTGTTCGTCAGCTGGCCCGTTCGAGGCCCAGTTTGTAACCTCCCTTGTCCGAAACAGCGGGGTTAAACTTTTGTCCGACACATCAACAACACCTCATGTTGACGGCGACAAACTCGAGCAAAAACATCACAGCAATAGCCCAGATACGCGGTAACCACCATGACCCGAGAGCCAGGAAGTAGTGGAAGGTCCCAACTGAAAACGGAGGACCTCATCCGCATCCAGACGCTGTCGCGCGATGCGAAGATGGGCCCCAATGAGATCGAAAGAATCACGGGTTACAGCTCGTACCAAATCAAATACGCCATCCGGAAGAAAACTCCCACTGTCGGAAAACGCACCGGTCGTCCACGAAAGCATCCAAAGCCCGAAGACAATACGCCAAAGGGCAAGACGGCAAAGAAGCCAAAGGAGACAGCCACTGAGCAGCACCTGCAGTCACAACAACCAGAACAGCCACAGCAGCCACAACAGCCACAGCAACTACATCAACCACAACAGTTACAACAGTTACAACAGCCACAGCATATGCCAGTGTGGGGAGAGGAGTAAGTCACGGGAAGTCAAGCACATTGGTCAATTTGAGTGTTGCTGACTGATAGCTAAGCGGAGCTTCAATGACAGCTGCCGCAGCGCTGTCCTACGTTGCCGCTGAAAATCGGCTAGGGCGGGGGGTTCGGGCATGACAGGGCCAAATTAGCAGATTGCCAGAGAGTCTGCTGGTTTGCTATACTCTGGCCACGTTCCAGGATTACTTCGTTGCTCACCTGCTGCTCCTGTGGGATATCCTGACCTACTATGTTCAATGTCTTGGTGCCAAGTTGGTGGTATCACTTCACGGAGGAAGCAGACATTTACTAAGGATGTGAGTTGCCGGCAGGGCAATGTTTATCTCTACTCTCAGGAAAATATTAAAACACTAATAACGATGAATAAGAATTGAATGAGTGGCTCCTCCGAGAACCCGTCAACCACCGACTGGTAGGTTCAGTTCCTATGCCTCTCCAGCTCAATGGCCGACATGGTGTACCACCTAGGCACACAGCCGGGCTCGAAACCCTTCCTAGTAGGCGAGATCTTGACCGCTCAGACGAGGCCGACGCAGTCGAGGAACTGGATGTTGAGCCGAGTGCCCTAATTGTTTTGTTATGTTAGCTGTGCTCGAGTCTTGAGCGCACAGATTACAATCGAAGAACTAGGGGGGCTCCGAGTCACCTTTGGGGCCTTGGTTTCGCAGCAGTAGGTACTATTGACCCCGCAGCTGGCTCCCGCGTAGATGACAGTGCACAGCGGGACGGACCGGGGGGTGCAGCACACGGGCTGGGTGTGGTTATTGCACTTGAGCGCGGGCTTTCCGGAAAAGAGGTGGTTGGGAATATCGGGTGCAGGAAAGGCTGTGGCGGTTACGGCGAGGGCCAGCAAGTAGAAGAACTGCATCTTTGCTCGAGCTTTGCGGGAAGAGGGAGTTGCCCGGGGACGCTAGTAGGGTAGTTGCTTCGTTGAAGTGTGAATAGATAGGCTTGAGTCGATGTCGAATCAGTTCCGGGGACTGATACGGGGAGAGAAGGTGGTATATATAGCTTAATCTTTCCATCTGTCTTGTAATCAGTCATGATCCTGGATTCTTGTATTATTGCTTTCCTTACTTCCCCTCCCGTTCCCGGGCCGAATGGAGAGCATGTGCTGAATCTGATCTGGAGTGGCATCCCTTGCCGTCACGGTAAGTGTCAAAACAGTCAATAACTGGGTCGCAGACGGACCTGCATGGGTGCCAGGCAAGCAAGCCTGAGATGAGGCTGTGATGTCTCAGTGACCATAGCTTCAGCCCAGCACTTGAAGCATGTAATTAATTAGGGACGGGAATCGCCGCCCAAGAGCCGAGGACATGGTGTGTGATTGGGGAGAAGGAATGTTCCCGGCATTGGGGCTACATGTACATTCCGAGCCCAGGAACAGGTATGACGCTGCCCGCTCGATCCGCAGAATAAGTACGATGAAAATATGCGATCGGAATTTATGTAGATAAAAACAACCGGGACTCCAAATTGAATTAATGTTTTACTCAGGGCATATATTTGGACTCCAGAGATGGATACTACTAGTATTGTTCGTGTACACAGTACTGAGGACTCGCATTTCAATTTGTCAGGAGGAACTTGAAGTCAACATTCGAGATATTTCCTCCTATACTAGATTCTTGAACTCAAGTTCTTGACGATGATTATGATTCATCTAAGGTACTGTCGGTATGTGACCCCTTTGGTACTGTACTACTCAAGTTCCGAGGAGAGGTCGCCGACCAATACATGCATGATGCACAGCGGCCATCGTGCAATGTGCCTTCCAGCCTCCATCTGAAATTGACCCTAGCAACCAACTGCCACATCTAGCACAGCAACTCTTAAAGCTAGCCACATACTACGCTGCTGTCAAAGCTGAACGGGGTCATTGAAGCAGTCTCAGGCCATGTAGTATGGCTAGTTTCCTGCACACGACAATTCATGATAGTAGCGGAGCTCACAGTTCCTTTTCACGCCTGAGCAGAAGGCCACGGCCTCGAACACGGCCGTGGATTCTCACCAGGCTGCAGAAACTGCCCAACTGCGATTTGTGGGTAACGGTCTTATAAACATTGTTCTAGACTTGTGCAAGCGACAGGGGATGGATACATTCACCAGGTGGCCCATGTAGGTATACAGTCACGGACACATAATTCTCCAGTCATGCACCCAACCTTTCAATGTTCACATACCACATCCTGTCTATCCCTTTGGTGTCTGTATAACGTTCCCCTTCTCCATGCTCTGACGCAGGCTGTCTACTCGCCTAAGTCTGTGGTTTCTGATTGCTGTTGCATGAAGCGCCCAGTTGAGTCGGTAAAAGGCGCAACTGAGTTACCCAAGAATCTTGTACTTCTGGATCTCGCAGTAGATCCATTCTTGTTCTTCGGTCGCGGCACGAGCAGGGGATTACATGCCTAAAGGAGAACTCTCGAGCATGGCCATTCCCTTCGACTCTTTCCCGTGTCTTCAGATCGGGCATCGAAGCCCTGGTTTGATAAGGCGACCGATATTGCCGAGATCGCCGGTAACGCTCGAATTGGTGAGTGAGAGAACTCTCCAACGATTGGCGACCAATGAGTTTCGCTGGTGTTTGGGTGCGGGCACAACCAACAATCAACCCGGTGAGTCACCATGGAAGAGACCACGACGGTTGTACATGGCGAACTTCTTATCTATAGGTCAATATTATCGACAATTCAACCCTCCATCTTCCCTTGACACCACCTAGGCGGCCAATACCTGCAAGGTACCGACTGCAACGCTCAGATGCCAAGAGCGACAGTTTGCGGGGAAGATTAGCGAGCCGTTTTGCTCCAGACGGCCGGGTCCAAGCCCTGGCGGACCCTCAGCCCCATTGAAACATTCTGGTCAACGTATTTCGATGAGTTATGCTTGTGGCGTGCGCAGCGTCTTTTCGGAGTGGATCCACAGTGGTGATAGAGGAACTGCGAACATATGCTGCTGACAAAGACAAGGTCGAGGGAGCCGGACATAACGGCATGCTCTGCGGATTGAAAGTGCCGGTCGGTGCGACCAGGCCTTAAGAAACCAGGCATCCCGCAGGCTCAAGTGATGTCATGCGTGTGTCTCCGAAACCCGGATCCATTCTGCCGCTTTCGATTTTACCCAGAGCCAATATCGGCGCGGGGAGCCTCGTGGATGGCTCTGGATGAGGCAATTTTTAGGTCCGGTCAGGGGGCAATCTTGTGGAGCTCAGACCGATGTTCTTTGCAACTGCTGCTCTGGGTTTAGTGGGTCTTGGCCGCTGCACAAGTTGGACCGAGAGGAAAGCACGACTCCGGTTGCTAGCTTTCCATTTGCAATTTTGCAAGTCAGGTGCCCACTCCGTGTTGGTCTGAGATGCGGCAACGAGCAAAGGCGGGAAGGGGCTGCCCCAATTCAGAACCCCCGCGGCGCGGATGGGGGCCCCTGAGCGGTCGGGGGATAGAATCAATGCATCTGTAGGGCAACGTAACCCACCACCAGACACCTGTCGGCAAGTTGCCGACGGCAACCAGGCAAACACGAACTAAAATGGGCGAATCTCGGCCATTCGTGTCACCACAATAGCAGTTTCATACACTTTCACAGCCAACACATTGTGATGTATTACGGGGTCAATCAACACACCTGGAGGCGCTGACTGGTACTGTACCTATGCTGGGTTCGTGTTGTAGCGAGAAGTCAAATCAGAGCAGCAAAAATCAACACTCGACAACACACAATGAGCTAAAAAACAGCCAAGGCTCGCTTCCGACGTAAGTAAGCATCCTTCCTGCCTGTGCCAAGCGGAGGAGCGGTGAGATATTCTCAGTAACTACAGCACTAACGTCTATCAGCGAACTACCTACTATCGTTAGCAAGCGTAGGTACAGTACGGATACCTTGCCGAGTTTACTACACTACTACTGCAGCAATTCTCCCGGTTGCGAGCCGCTGCATACTCACATTTGTTGGGAGAAATCGGTAGGTCAGCTGAGAGGGCGTGGGTTACGAGTTGCTTACCCTTCCCCCCCTGGGCCACTGATGCATCGCTGGCACTTTGACAGGCACCCCGTGTGTGCCCATGACGTTGGCCATTTCCCCTTTTCCGTCTTCCGCCGTGCTCCAGGCTATCCAAAATAACGGCTCATCCCAGAACTAGTTCCCGAGCCTGTTGTCACCCCCAACTTGAGCTCCTTCCATTCTGTCCTTCTATATTATTGGGAGACTCAGAGGGAAATAAATGAAAAACTGAAACAAAGAGAGCAAAGTGAAGGCAGGAGTACAACCCCAATACAACTTCAAATACAGATCCATCTACATCTACAACAACCGGCCCCTTTTCTGACGCATCCAATTCCCTCAAGTGCAAGCACTGTCGCCCATTGCCAAGATGAGGAAGGAAGCCACAATCCTATGTCCGGCCAACAATGGGGCCCGCTACGAGCTCTACAGCCCTACCGCCATGCCCAAAGCCGCCGGCTTCCTGTGGAACAAGAAGATGATGATCCAGATTACCTGCCGCGGTTATGCCACAGCGCAGTTCATGCAGCCCGAACCGGCAAAGTACGCGCATGCCCCAAACATCGAGGCCAAGACGTTCATGCAGCCCGAGCAAAATTACTACGCCCACCACCCGGGCCGCTTCGTCTACGTCAAGGACCTTGAAAGCGGCCATCTCTTCTCAGCGCCCTATGAGCCTGTCCGGGCTACCGCGGACCGATTCGTCTTCTCAGCTGGCAAGAGCGATGTCGCTTGGGCAGTCGAACAGGACGGCATCCGTGTCGAGATGGTTATGGGCCTTCCGATCCACGACGTGGCTGAACTCTGGACCATCAAGGTGACCAACATTTCCGGCCGACCCCGGCGGCTCAGCGTGACGCCCTACTTCCCCATCGGCTACATGTCCTGGATGAACCAGTCCGCCGAGTGGAATCCGGAACTAATCGGCGTGGTTGCCAGTAGCGTTACTCCGTACCAAAAGGCAGCCGAGTACTTTAAAAACAAGTACCTCAAAGACAAGACGTACTTCTTGTGCGAGACGCCGCCGGACTCGTGGGAAGCAAACCAACAGGCATTTGAGGGCGAAGGCGGGCTTCACAACCCGTCAGCCCTGCAAGGTCCGCAGCTCGGCGGCGGCGATGCACGCTATGAGACCCCGACGGCAGCTGTGCAGTATCGCATCACGCTCGACGCTGACGAGGAGCGTGAATACCGCTTCATGTTTGGGCCGGCCTACGATGAGGCTGAGATCAGCTCCATGCGCTCGCGCTACCTAAGCAAGGTGGCGTTTGTGCGGACGGCGGGCGAGTACGCCGCCTACATGGAACGCGGGGGCGGCTGCCTGCGCATCGAGACCCCCGACAAGGACCTCGACAACTTTGTAAACAACTGGCTGCCCCGCCAGGTCTACTACCACGGCGACGTCAACCGCCTGACGACGGACCCGCAGACCCGCAACTTCCTCCAGGACAACATGGGCATGAATTACATCAATCCCGAGGTTGCCCGCAAGGCCTTCATCACGGCCGTTTCGCAGCAGGAAGCAAATGGTTCCATGCCGGACGGCATCCTGCTGGCCGAGGGCGCCGAGCTGAAATTCATCAACCAGATCCCGCACACGGACCATTGCGTCTGGTTGCCAGTTACCCTGGATGTGTACCTCGCCGAGACGGGCGACTACGGTTTGCTGAAGGAGCATGTCCGCACCGCCAACGGTGACAATTTCACCGTCTTTGAGCGCTTCTGCCGCGCGATGGACTGGCTGCTCAAGCTGCGCGATGAGCGCGGGCTCAGCTACATTGCCCAGGGCGACTGGTGCGACCCGATGAATATGGTTGGCTACAAGGGCAAGGGCGTGTCCGGCTGGCTTACGCTGGCCACGGCGTATGCGTTGAACCTGTGGGCCGGTGTTTGTGATCACGAGGGCATGCCTGACCTGGCGAAACGCTACCGTGAGGGTGCAGCCGAGTGCAATGCGGCCGTCAACAAGCATCTGTGGGACGGCGACTGGTTCGCACGCGGCATCACTGATGACAATGTCGTCTTTGGAATCAAGAAGGACCCCGAAGGCCGCATTTGGCTCAATCCCCAGACCTGGGCAATTCTGAGCGGCGCCGCCAGCCAGGGGCAAATAGAGCGGATTCTGCCCCAGGTCGATTCTCACCTGGGGACTCCGTACGGCGTGCTGATGTTTGCGCCGCCCTTCACCAAGATGCGCGAGGACATTGGACGCGTGACACAAAAGGCCATTGGGTCGGCCGAGAACGGCGCCGTGTACAACCACGCGGGCGTCTTTTACATTTACAGTCTCTACAAGCTGGGCGGGCAGCAGGACCGGGCCTACTCGCTCCTGCGCCAGCTGCTGCCGGGACCTAGCGAAGCCGACTACCTGCAGAGGGGCCAGCTGCCCATCTACATCCCCAACTACTACCGCGGCGCCTGGCGCGAGTTCCCCCGCACGGCGGGCCGGTCGAGTCAGCTCTTCAACACGGGCACCGTCTCGTGGGCCTACCGCTGCTTTATCGAGGGCCTGTGCGGCCTGCGCGGCGAGGACGACGGCCTCACCATCTGCCCGCAACTGCCGAGCTCCTGGGATGCGATCAAGGTAATGCGCACCTTCCGCGGTGCGACTTTCCAGTTGGATATCCGTCGTGCCGACGTCAAGGAGGTGACGGTCAAACACGGCGACACTGTGCTCCCCAAGCCGCGGATCACCAACATCAGGGCCGGCGAGACATACCAGCTTACTGTGTTGGTCCCACAGTGTCAGTGATTCAGTGGTTCGCGATACTAGTAGAGTGATGGCCGGCCACGGAGGGAGCATTCATTCATACGAGATTAGAAAAGAGTATGGCAGAAAAGGGACGAACCCAACAAAAGACCTCGTTTTGATCACTCAACTCTCATTTGAAAGGATTTGGGTCTATTGATCACTCCGACGGGGTGGAATTGGTATGATTTCATATTGGTTTAAGATTTTAAGGGACCACAAGACCCAGGTTCTTGACATCTATAAAACGAGACACGCAACCTTCACTAGGTAGGTATATGCATGGGCGGAATGGACATAATATACTATGCAGCACTCGGGAAAAGCTGTGACCTAGAGGCATCACAGCTCACTGCAGTAGGGCATTCAGCATTGCCAGGGAGGTGGGCTTCTGTTCTATCGGTCTCTACTAGTACAGGCGGCTTTTGTCGACATCAAGTTTACCATGCCTCAATAGACAAACCAAGAAGTGTCTCCATTTGGAACAATCATTCAAATCATTGATGGCTTCTGCCGTTCTACCTGACCTACCTCAGACTGAACAGACCGACAGATCTCAATGACCGCCTCATCGCCCACTTTCCGTCAGACTGCGCTTACCTGCGGCTTCGTCATCATGCCAAAGGAATTCAATTCTCACTTTAGTATCCAGCACCCTTATCGAGAAGAAGCCTCACAACCACTTCATGCCCGTAACTAGCCGCCACTAGGAGTGGTGTGCTTCCATGACGATCCCGGACCTCAACATCTGCGCCCTTTTCAAGGAGAACTCGTACGACCGCCTCATGTCCGTATTCAGCAGCTACCAGCAGTGGTGTGTTTCCCTGACGATCCCGCGCCTCGATGTCTGCGCCCTTGTCGAGGAGCTTTCGCAGAACTGCTTCATGCCCGTATTCAGCAGCTACCCGCAGTGGTTTGTCGCCTAAAAGATCCTCGCTCTCAAAGTGGGCGCCCCAATCGAGGAGCTGTCGCACAACTTCCTCATGCCCACGAACAGCCGCCCACAACAGCGGTGTCTTGCCATAACGATCCGCCGCCTCAATCGGGGCCTCCTTATCGAGGAGGTGTCGCACGACTGCCGCATGGCCCATCCGGGCACCACACAACAGCGGGGTGTCGCCAGAACAGTCCTTCGTATCAACGTAGGCACCCTTCTCTAGGAGATACCGCACCACTGCTTCAAGCCCTTCCAGTGCAGCAAACACCAACGGTACAAACCTGCCCGTGCCCTTAACGATGAGTTCTTCTAAAGCTTCCAGACTGGTAGGAGTCGGGTTGTCCGCACTTCTGAAGACCGGCTCGTAAACCTCTCTTAGCTGTTCAGTTGCCCTTCTCGTCTCTTGCCCTCCCCTGAAGGATCCAATTACGTGTCTAGCATTCCACAACCTAGTCGTTTTGTCTGAAGCCGTTCGCGAGTCCTTCATCTGACTGGGCAACCCTTGGCTAATTTTGAAGTCCTCGTAGTCTCCAGATGCTGACTGATGTCGATGTGCATCCCAGTCCCAGACGAGTAAGAAATCATCCGGGAACACAGTTGTTGATCGTACTTGCCAGCTACAACCTACTGCTCCATGTCGGGGATCATCCGAGAAGGGAACTGCAATCCTGATAACGGTCCAATAATCGTTGCGCAGCCTTATCACTGTAGGCTGTGATGCTCCTTGGAAGAGACAGATGAAATCCCCTAGTTGGATGGGTTTTGCTGCTGCTTGGATTGTGAAGTGTGAGCTCAAATTCTCTTTCACGTTAGAATGGTGGTGCGTATCCATCCAAGTTATGCCCACTTTTTGCCTGCCATTCCGACTTGTATCGTCTTCAACCATATATACTTCGCCTAGCACACACCCCTTGCTCTCGATTACTACTACCTCCATGTCGGGCCAAGTGTTGATGTACTTCTACCTGTTGTGGAGCTGTTCTGACACTGGAGGCGGCTATCTCGTACCCAGACACGCTGGAACCATGGACGGATAAGGAGGGCATGGATGGCTTGCTTGTTTGACTCGCTCGGGGCTGCTACTTGGTCCCCGTTCGAGGCCATCCGTATGTACTCGAGCGCTTGATCGCTGTTGGCTGCCGCCTCTCCTAGCCAGACAATCACGCGAGATGCTTTGGCATAGATCTTTGCCATAGACCGGACTTGACGTGTCTTCTCCGCCACGTCATCTTGGTTGATACAAATAGCATCTACCCAGATAAACCGCTCAATAAAGGGATCCCGAAGGTGTGACAGTGCCGTCGAAAGGTTAACGCCAACAGAATATTCACGGTTATTTACCGAAATAGGCTGGAGGCTACGCTCAGAGCCCCAGACATAGGACTATGCCTCGAAGGGATGGGCGGTCTCTGAGTCCAACAGAGGGCAGAGAAAGAGACGGCATTCGATGCGGGAGTTGGACGTCAAAGTGCGGCAGAAGCCGGAGCAACCGCACACAGCCCTCTGGCAGGTATGAGTAGTGGTGTTGAGACATGAGCGAATGTTGAAGACTTAAGATTGAGACTTCGGACTGCTGCCCCGACTTCCCTCTCTGTGTGCGGGACAATCATGCCTGTTTCAAGATTTCAGGTCCAAAACTCCAAGTGCAGGCGGCGCCGCGGCAGGCAGCAATTGCATCGAAGCACGGCAGGCACCTCGCTGGGCCAAGACTCCCGTCCCTTTCAGGCTCCAAGCCGCTCCTGCGGCGACAGTTCTCATAGCCTCATACCACGTCACGTTGAAATTCCAGGTTTCTATGTATATCTGGCACCGTAGGTAGGTAGGTATGTGCGCGAAATAGCCCATGGCCCCAGTTCCACTGCAATCAGCAATGAGTTACGGATGGATACCTTTAGCTGGAGCTGTCCAGTCTAGTCGTTGTAAAAGACGCATCTTTATAAGAGGTTTTAACCTAACGTACCTACCTACCTAGGTACAATACCTAATAAGGTACACTGCCCGTCTTGTAGAGGCTCGAAGCAGCTGAACGGTCTTGAACCGACGAGTACTAGTATGGTTTGGCCCAGTGTCGCACCGGGCACCGCGGGCAGGCGTCAAGTTCAATGTCGAGAGGCCAAGACAGGGCTCCACAGGCCGAGCCGGGAATGTTTCCCTTCTTCAAAACAGGCTGAATTCGTTCGCTGTTGGGGAACCGGCTGCCACGAAGATCCTAATGCGGGGACAAACTCAGCCAAGACTCGTCCTCAGCTGATTTTGAAGACATGAAAAGACAAAATACCTACAGAAACGAATTACGAAACAGAAAAAAACGATACTATTGAAAGAGGAGAGAGCCGTCCCGTATGAAGGCCATGGGGAAACCCGGGAACCCAGACAACAACCGTACGTCCGAGTACTGTACCCAGCCCGAAGTACCACTAAAAGATACCTAAGTTATGTACAGTAAACCGCACGCGGCGAATTCTCGACTAGGGACGACCAGAACGAAGAATAGTACCTCCGTAGGTATTAGGCATTTATCATACCAAAGTCTCGAAAATAAAACTATCTTTCCTCCGCACCGTTCGATGCAAGGTACGGTGCACGCTGGCTCCTCCTCCCCTCCAGCACAGCAAGGTTAGTGGTGGAAAACGAAGATGCACCTCGCCGTGCATCGGCTTGGCGGAGGGGAACCAAGGGAACGGATTCTGGATAAATTGAGATGTGGAATCGACAAGACGGAGACATGGGGCGATGCTACCTGACATTTACCCCAACGTCGTCCCGAGGGACCGATAAACTCTCGTGATGGCGCCTCCTCGCATGCCCGCCGCATCAGGTCGTGACAACACATCGGCGAGCATCTCGACTCGACAACCCTGGTAGGCATCCAACAAGTATGCGGAGCTTGCTGTGGCTCGCGGCCCTCGGCCTCGCCGCCGCTGAGGACGGCCTCAACGGCTGGTTACGATACGCCCCGATCCCAAGGGCAAAGTGCTTTCACAAGAAGTTGCCTAGCAGCATTGTCGCACTAAACGCTACCGAGGGTTCGCCAGTCTACACGGCCCGCGTGGAACTCGAGGAGGGCATTAAAGGCATCTTCGGCAAGGAATTGGCCTCGGGGACGGGCAATGGCCCAGCGGCTACTGTTGGAACCATCCATGCTTTCGTCGAAGAGAACCCGACAGTGGCCAGCAGCCTTCCGGGCCTTATCGAAGACGGCTTTTTCCTCAATGTCTCCCATGGGAATGTCCTGATCCTTGGCCAGAATGAGCGCGGAGCCCTCTACGGAACTTTCCACTATCTGTCGCTGCTCGCCCAAGGCAACGTCTCTGATCTGTTGTTGACCTCGAACCCCGATGCGCCTGTCCGGTGGGTGAATCAGTGGGATAACATGCAAGACGGAGGGACGCACGGCAGTGTCGAGAGAGGCTACGGCGGCGATTCCATCTTCTTCTGGGACGGTTGGGTCCGCGAGGATCTCACTCGGGCTGCCCAGTATGCTCGCCTCCTGGCATCCATCGGTATCAACGCCGTCGTTGTCAACAACGTCAACGCAAACGCCTCCATTCTTACCCCTGAGAACATGGACGGCCTGGCAAGGATCGCCAACGTCTTCCGGCCGTACGGCGTGCAGCTTGGAATTTCCCTCAACTTCGCTGCTCCGCAGCTGCTTGGTGGACTGTCCACGTTTGACCCACTGGACAAATCTGTTATCGACTGGTGGCAAGGCGTCACGGATCAGCTTTACCGCAGAATTCCCGACATGGCCGGCTATCTCGTCAAGGCCAACTCGGAGGGTCAGCCCGGCCCAATGACGTACAACAGGACACTGGCCGACGGCGCCAATCTCTTTGCCCGTGCTTTGCAACCCCACGGCGGTATTGTCCTCTTCCGTGCCTTCGTATACGACCACAGAAGTCTCAACCAAACGCTGGACTGGAAAGCAGACCGGGCCAACGCCGCAGTCCAGTACTTTGATGGCCTTGACACCGAGTTTGAGGACAACGTGGTCATCCAGATCAAATATGGGCCCATCGATTTCCAGGTCCGAGAACCTGTATCCCCGCTCTTCTCCCACCTGATTCAGACGGGGACTGCCATTGAGCTGCAGATCACCCAAGAATACCTCGGTCAGCAGGCCCATCTGGTGTACTTGGCCCCTATGTGGAAGGAGATCCTCGACTTTGATCTCCGCGTCGATGGCAAGCGCTCTGTTGTTTCTGACATTGTCAGCGGCAAACGCTTTAACCGAAAGCTCGGCGGGTACGCCGGCGTGGCCAATGTTGGAACCAACACAACATGGCTCGGGAGCCATCTTGCCATGTCAAACCTGTACGCATATGGCAAGCTCGCGTGGAACCCGTCTGCCACCTCGACGGGCATTCTCAAGGAGTGGATCAAACTCACGTTCAGCCACGACCCTCAAGTCATCGACGTCATCACCAAGATGTCAATGGAGTCCTGGCCGGCGTACGAGAACTACTCCGGTAACCTCGGTATCCAGACGCTAACGGATATCCTCCTCGGCCACTACGGCCCGAACCCGGCTTCGCAAGACGGCAACCCATGGGGCCAGTGGACGCGGGCCGACGCCGACACGATCGGCATGGACCGCACCGTCTGGAACGGCACCGGATTCGCAGGGCAGTACCCGCCCGAGGTCGCGGCCATGTACGAGAAGATCGAAACGACGCCCGACAACCTGTTACTCTGGTTCCACCACGTCCCGTACACCCAGCGTCTCAAGTCCGGCAAGACGGTGATCCAGCACTTTTACGATGCGCACTACGAAGGCAGCGCCACGGCGCAGACCTTTGTCCCCCTTTGGCAGTCGCTCAAGGGCAGAATCGACAAGGAGCGCTACGAGCACGTGCTCTTCCGCCTCGTCTACCAGGCGGGCCACTCGCTCGTGTGGCGTGACAGCATCAACATGTTCTACTTCAACAAGTCCGGGATCCCGGACGAGGCCGGCCGCGTCGGCAACCACCCGCACCGCATCGAGGCCGAGGACATGACGCTCGAAGGATACAAGAGCTATCTCGTGTCGCCGTTCGAGGCTGCGAGCAAGTTCCACTGCATCGTCACGGCGGACAACTCGACGCGCGGGACCGCCTACACGACGCTGCAGGTCGAGACCGGCAAGTATGACCTGGCGGTCAACTACTATGATATGGCGATCGGCAACTCGACCTGGGAGCTGTACGTCGGCGACGACCTGGTGGGCACGTGGAAGGGCGATCTGGAGTACATCCTCGGCCGCGCGCCGTCGCCGTACATTGACGGCCACACCGCGTCGAGAATCACGTTCAAAGGCGTGAAGGTGAAGAAGGGGAGCACGCTCAAGATTGTGGGCACGCCTGACGGACTGGAACCTGCGCCGGTCGATTACATTTCCATTCTGCCCGAGGGGGTGATTGACTGACCTGGTCAGGCGAGACTCGGGAGTCTGGGAAAAGCTTAGGACAAGGGGGTTGGGAGAGGTGAACTTACCTGGAAACTGTGTGAAGCGCCTTAGTTACCTACCTATTCGTATTCATTACTAGTAATCATATTGATTCCTCTGGATGTCGCGTGGTCGTAGCAGCAAGTGCAAACTGGTTTTTGCCCGTCCTCGGGCCCTATGGAATTTCCAGGTTGGTACAGCGGCTTATTCTGATTCAGGCGTAGGAGCATGTGCTAGAAGCTTTAAAGTCGAGCTCAGGTGTGAGAACCGAGAAACCGAGCCGCGCCCCTGAACCTAGGATATCGGAAATGCAGCCGAGCCCGATGAAGGGGGCAGCGCTATTGACCACACTTCCTCTAATACACTAGACAAGTTTCCCGTCAATGGCTCAGGATGCGGAGTCTAATGTTCCTAGCCCGGAACTCGGGTGCTGCTAGTGGGAGTTAGCGTATGTTAGACAATGTGAATTCGACCAATGTCAAAGATGGACCTGCGTCAACGCCGACACGGGTCGTTTGACTTTGAGGGCCGCTACAGAAGTAGACAAGTCTCAGCGGACGTGCCGCCATCACCCGGGCCATGCGAGTCATGACATGTCTGTAATTGCAAGTTGGATACTCTTCAGTTGATGTCAATGGTGTTGAGGTCGATGACGTCTGGGCCTCAGGAAACAGTTATGCTGGGACTTACCCGACCCGACCTGGATGGTTCAACCGAGGGCAGTTCCAGGTTTGTCCTGTGCAAGCGAGACGACGGACGATTCATCCTGAATCGTGATTGCCTGAGCATACTATGTGCTTGGCATGGAGCAAGCCAAGCCTCTCGTTGGATATGGATCGAATGCTTCAACATTAGGCGTGGCTTGGCCTCTGGAATTCCTGAATCGACTTGCTAAACGATGCAATCATCGCAATGCTGTCAGTATGGGTGGAAACAAATGGAGCCCGCCAGATGCGTTGCGGCTGGAGAGATCTACTTGGGCCCCCAATACTTACCTAGTATTTCTCACACCTTTGAGAACCGTTACCGGTAAATGTTTTGGGAGAAGGTCCAGTCCCATTTCGCAGCAAATTCTCGCGTTTACAATCGATGGGAGGTCTGGACTCTGGAACTTCGAAGCGAGCTCGGCTTTTGGAGTCAAAACCCCACTACGTAGGATACCAGCTGCAGCCTGCAGGGCACGTAGGGCTTCCCCGCACCTGCCTAGTGTAGTGTAGTGGGGCGGGTGGGGTTGTTGAGCGCCAAATGAAACTTCTCAGCACCAGACGAGACCTAGACCTAGACGACTTGACCGTGACTTCCACGGATGCAATACACAAACCGGAATGCAATACAAACCGATTCGAGCATTGGCGATGCGCAAAACGGAGTTGAGCTTCAGAGCCAGGATTACCTCCCATAGCCTGACTATGATACAGGATCATTTCATTAGTTGCAATCCGAAGTGGCGGGATTTTTCCTTCCTCGCGTCCCGCGGCCAGCATAAGGAAATTAAAAATGAAAGCAAGCATCTCTCCATTCACAACAACATGGATCGCACCAACTTTTGCATAAAACCCCGCCACCCTCGATGTGCTCCCAGATTCGACGATGACCGCCGGGGGTCAAGCCCGATTGGGGCGCAGTGACGTCTGGGAGCGGCATACCAACACATAACACGCCCCAGACAGATGGTTCTCCTGATCCCACCTGAGTAAGTACATACATGCATACAACACGGGGCTTTATCAGCTTGTACCTTCCAGGTTAGGTATGTAAACCATGAGCCCCTTGCACAGCCTTCCCATCACCAGCTAGGCAGCTAGGAAGCAGTCTCTTGACCGGATCTTGCCCTACGAGATACGAGTGCGACGTGGTGACAAGCCGTTAAAGACGGTTTGACCATTGCCGGTATTGACACTCGGGACGACCCTTTAACTTCAGGATGTCGGCAGCTCCAAGAGGCGTTGCCGAGGCTGAGGGAGTTCAAAGAGAGGGCCCACAGCTGACAGAGCGCCGCATTGACGCAATCCGAGAGACAGCGGTGGGACATGGGCACATTCGCATTTGGGCAACCACATGGCTGGCTAGCAACCCCCTGAACGATTGCCGCTTGCAGCGCGGGATACAACCTTCCTGGACCAGGGGCCGAGATGGTGTGTGACCCGCGAGACATCCGTGCGGCCCAATGGTCTCGTCCCCGAACCGAATTTTCAACATTCAGGTTGTGAGGCCTTTCCAAGTTCGTCGTGGTGCTGGTAATGAAACATGGTCGATGCTTTGACAAACAGATAACGTGAGCCCTAAGACGAAAATTTGCGCAGTCGTTGGGGAAGATACATCTGACTCCGCATCTCACTCAACTACACTTACCATCTGGCTTGGCTTGAATGGCTTCACCGCTGCATTGGAGGCTGGAGGTCGCTTACCCAGCCTCCCGCAGCCTGCACACCAAGTCTCAGAGATGCTGGCTGATAGTGGAAAGGTTGTGTGGGAGGACAGGACGATAGCAGGAAGAGATGATGAGCAGATCTAATCTCACGCTCCAAACTCGATCATCTAGGGTATCCAATCAACCGCCGGCAGCAATTCGATGCGCAATCTGCCAATCTCAGTGCTACGACTATCCCAAGTTCCCAACTACGACCCGAGAACTGCACAAACCTTTCCAAGGGTCGGGAGGGTGGTATGTATGCACCCCGTAGTTGGTTGCGTTCTAATAACCATTTCTCTAGTCCGCCTTCTCTCTAAAAAATAGTTGAACGAAAAAGTCCAAACTCTCTAACCATCCGCTTAGTCTGATAGGTATGCAAATCTACATACAGTAACATACGAAGTACGTCTGACAGCTTCGTCGTTATTCGTACACCTACCTAGTTAAATGGTAACGTCAAGGGGACTAGCAGCCGTTTGACGCCAATGCTAGTCACCGGATTTGTATACACGAACGCGCTTCAAAGCTGGCCTTAACAAGGATCGCTCTAGTGATCCCTCCACTAACCTATCGCCAGCAGAGCTGTCACCCCCTGTGAACGAGGGTTGCCTAGAGTGAAGTGGCTTCTGCACGGGCCAGAATCACACGATTTCGAGAACGGCTGCATCTCACACTCGCTGTGGCGTCGTTAGCTGCAGTGATTGTGCCCTTCTGCTGACCAACTCCGGGTAACCCGGTCCAGGGCCGAGTCGAGCCCCTCACAACCAGATTCTTGATCAGGGGCACTGGGACAGCTGCGATGATTAACTGACAGGCCAGGTCCCGACTGTTTGAGATCAGGAACCAATCATGTTGAGAAGTGCTGTACTAGTCCTGGCTCCTGGGTTTCTGGTTGTCGATGTGCACAGTCCGAGCTGTTGGGCCAAGCCATTGCGATGACTGGAAAGGGAAACGGACCTTCAACTCCCCAGATCTCCAGGGTTGTCATCTCCTTGCCTTCAGGGAAGTTATTCTCCTGTCGGCTATATTTCTCTGTCTCCTCTCACCCTGCGCTTTCCTGCTCCTTTTCCTCCAGGAGCCCCACCAGGGCTATCAAGGCTCCTCATGTCAGGGCAATACATCGCATTTGCAGGATCCCGTTTCTCGCTCTCATGAATGTGAGCGTGACCTTCACGTTCCATTCATACCCCGGCGAACCCGGATGCCGGCAGCCATGATCGGCCTATCGCCGGAGGATGCAGAAAGCATCGTCACTATCGAGCGGGCGTGCTCGGCCATCTCGTTGCTGGGATGTGTCTTTGTCCTTTTAACTTTTGCCATGTCGGATGCCTTCCGTCAGCGCGCCATCAACCGAATGGTCTTCTACGCAACCTTTGGGAACATGCTGACAAACGTTGCGACATTGATGACAACGAGTCAGACGCACGACGTCGATTCATTTGGATGCCAATTCCAAGCATTTCTCATCCAGGTGTAAGGCCCTTCGGTGGTTATTCGACCTGGCCGAGCTAACTCCCCACAGGTTCATGCAAGGCGACGCGTACTGGGCCCTAGCCATGGCTGTCAACGTCTATCTCACGTTTTACCACAAGTACGACGCTAGGATGTTGAGAAGGATGGAGATTCTCTACTTTGCCTGCTGCTACGGCATCCCCTTCATCCCTGGATTTACATTCATCTTTGTCTCCAACCAATCCAACGGCAGGCCATATGGGGACGCCGTCTTGTGGTGCTGGCTCAAGTCTGAGTGGGAGGTGTATCGGATTGCCACGTTTTACGGACCCGTCTGGTATGAGTGCTGACTGTGCCTCCGTGAGTGCTGAAGTGGACGGGAACTAACAGCGTACTTTCAGGGTGGCCATCGTCGTTGCCATGGCTATCTACATCCGCGCTGGCCGTGAAATATATCTCAAACGCCGCAAGATGCTGAACTTCAGCTCCGGCGGCACTGGAACCGGCACTGTCGTCGGCTCTGAGCCCTTCAGCCCAATGAATGAGTTCTCCCCTGCCTTTAACTTCAAGACCACCGAGGTGGTCCAAACAACCGAAATCATTCAAACCCCGGCCTTAGTCGCCTCAACAGGCCGCATCTCACCCTCCTCAGGCCCGATCAAGGATCCCAACGTCTCCTACTCGGTCACTATTTCGGCCGACGCGGGCGCACATACAACAAGCAACCTCAACCTTCGTGCTTCGCTCGAGGAACTCGAGCAAGAAGCCGTCGCCGCCAGCGGAGGGGGCCTCAACTCCGCAAGCAACAGCTCCTCCAACCAAGCCTACCGAGCTGGCACCGGCAAGCGCGCCCGCGTCATGAGCATTACCCAGGGCTCCATCGCCCCGCCGCCGACGGCCAACCCGGGCTCGCGTGACCCCAATGCCAACACTAACAACTTGACCCTCCAGATGCGGCGGCGGAACTACTACGAAACCCACCGCGCGACGTGGTCGTACGCCAAGTGCGCCATCCTCTTCTTCGCCGTGCTGCTCATCACGTGGATCCCGTCCTCGGGCAACCGCGTCTACAGCCTCATCAACCACGGCGACGTGTCCAGGCCCTTGTTCTTCGCCTCGGCGTTTGTCCTGCCCCTGCAAGGGTTCTGGAACGCGATCATTTACATTGTTACGTCCTGGGCGGCGTGCAAGAGCCTGTGGGCGAGCTGCTTGGATGCTATTAGCGAGTTTTGGGGCGCCGTCGGCGGGTGCTGTTGGCGCGGGAGGAGGGGAAGTATCGTGGAAATCACTAGAGGTCCGGGTCGGAGGGATGCGCACCACCACCACCACCACCACCACCATGGTCTTGGTTCCCGGGGAATGCAGGGTTGTGATTGTGCAAGTGGTGGTGGTGGGCGGGGCCGGGGTGGCATGGTTGCTAATCTGAAGTGGGTTGGGAGAAAGGAGGGGAATGAAGAGAGTACCAGTATGGAGGATTTGACCGGAGAAGGGAAGGTCAAGTCGGCGTCGCCTGTATGACTTTGCATAGTACGAATTGTTTAATCACTGTTGTGTACATGTATTTGGTGGCTTGGAGGTGGTGTCGATCGGCTGTTGGGTTACGTGTACGCTGGTGCTGAGGTAAGGGATAGGATACCGATACCCCGGGAAAAGGTTGGACAGCGAGTTGAGAGCATCAGTGGGCTTAATGCATCGGTTGGTAGTTTCGTTCTCGAAAGATCTTGGTTTTCGATATACCGGGGGACCTGCAACATACCCCTGAGTTCGCTCGCCAGTTCAATGTACAGCACATACACAGAAACCATAGCTACGTGTAATGTACTTTAGCTTATAAGTATTTCAGGCATCAATCTCATACCTCAGGTCACTAAGACAACTTCGCCTCTCTCCCGACATTCCATTTCTAAGGGTCTTCCTTGCCTTTGGCTTGTTGCAGGGTCGCCATCATACCCCTGAGCTCAAGGAAGAGTTGCCGGGGAAACCGGGGCATGTTGGGCCGCGATGTGGGGCCGGACGGACCCCCTTTGCTTATTCCGTGCCACCTCCGATATCTATCCGTGCCGTCGCCACGTGTGAGGGTTGCAACCCGTCCGTGTGTGCGCACACGTAAGCGAACTTCAGCGAGGCGCGGGCCGGCGGCTGAACCAACGTGACGGAAAGTCTGTGCCGGATGACTATACGAGGCTCCTCTGATTCGGTATGTAGAGTACCTGCTTACAGTACTAGTCTGAACGCTGCTAGGCACCATCTTTACAGTGGAGTCATTGTTACGGCAGTATGCATCTTTAAGGCTGATCTTGAGACTTGACAGATTCATTCCCTGCAAGAGGAGTACTAGGGCGGTACGTAGTTTGAAGAAAGCTACAATACAGGCTCCAGCTCTACTAAGTATCGATCCATGCAACCCTAAACGTTAAGAAAAAGATCATTAGTACGAAGGTAGGTTTGGGCACTTATTATGGGTACTTTGCCCTGGAAAGCCTACAGGTTGAAAGTTACAACTAGATCTCCTTCCCTAGGTGCTCTTTTCGCGGAGAACCTCCACCATGTGTTACTCAGACCTGCCGGCTTAAGGTATTCTCAGGGATGAAAGCAGGCTGCCAGGCTGTGGCAAGTGTGATGTTTTTTGCGAGGGTCCCGTTGAAGATCTTGCTATGTACCGTAATAGCACAACCTACCCAGGTACTCGACTTAGGTGGCCTCTGCTAGCTCCCTTTCACCTGCGGAGAAGCCTAAACGCTACCTAGTAAGCGTAGTAATGATTAATGCAGATCTAGGTGATTCCACATGCCAAATATACCATACATCCGTAGCCCCTGACACATGGTGCCAACACCGGGTGGAAAATGGAAAATACCAGGATCTGCTACACTTGGTTGGTACAATACAAGCACAATGTCCATGCAAATTGGAACGGAGATATATTATATTCAGAACCAACGTTTCTACTTAGTAATGACAACGCACGACACGTCAGACAAAGAATAGCATGCTGAAAGGAACAAGATATGTTCCTGTCCATCATATATTAGACTAATTACTAATACTCGAAGCTCCCTGGTGGGAATTGGTGTCTCTAGTACAGTATCTCAGAGAGCGCCAGCGAAAAGAATCGCAACAAAGAATGTCACGAACATGGGGAAAGTGGACGTGACAACCGTGTCAGCGCCAGCGGTAACAACTGCAGACTGACGGGTGGTAGTCGATGGCCTAACACTCGTGGTGAGAGTGTTTTGTCCTCCTGCAGGACGCGTGCCCGGCTCAGGTACTCCAGATGGGCAGTGCCAATGGTCCCCATGAGGCTCGCACTGGCCCCCAAATCCGGGCGGCTGGGTTTGAGCCGAGGGCGGCGTGGTCGGCTCCGGTACACCAGAGGGACAATGCCAGTGGTCCCCGTGAGGTTCACACTGGCCGGATCCGCCTGTGGGGGATGGGCCGCTATTTCCGGGTGGAGGCGTTGTAGGCTCTGGCACACCAGTCGGGCAGTGCCAGTGGTCGCCATGCGGTTCGCACACTCCCGATCCGCCTGTCGGGGATGGGCCGGTGTTGCCGGGCGGAGGCGTTGTGGGTTCAGGCACTCCGGGCGGGCAGTGCCAGTGGTCCCCGTGGGGCTCACATTCGCCGGATCCCGTTGTTGCCGGCGGCTCCGTGTGAGCAGGCGGTGGCGTGGTTGGCTCAGGCACTCCGGGCGGGCAGTGCCAATGATCACCGTGGGGTTCGCATTGGCCGGACCCTGTTGTTGCGGGCGGCTCAGTGTGAGTGGGGGGCGGCGTCGTGGGCTCCGGAACTCCCGAGGGACAATGCCAGTGGTCACCATGGGGTTCGCAAGTTCCGGTAGGCGAGGAAGTGGTTCCAGTGGCCGAAGACTGCGGAGGGGGTGTCGTGGGCTCCGGCACGCCTGACGGACAATGCCAATGGTCCCCATGAGGCTCGCAGGTGCCAGTAGGCGAGGAAGTGGCTCCAGTGGCCGAAGACTGCGGAGGGGGTGTCGTGGGCTCCGGAACTCCTGAGGGACAATGCCAGTGATCACCATGGGGTTC